TGCTGCAAACGACCGGCCGCGGATCACATCAGCGGTGCCGACTCATGAACAATCCTGGGTGTATCTAACACCTTCGGCAGTTTTCGGAAAGCCCTAAGTCCTACCAGCCCTACCCTAAACCCTAAACCCTACTAAACCCTCAAGACTTTCTGAAGAGCCAGGAGTTGAGGTCCGAGAGGGGTACCTTCCAACTTCCAACTAAGATCCGAGCGGGTAGCAGTCATCGACGATTCTGTACTGCTCATCCAGGCACAGCCCATGTCCCTGGGAACTTTGGGGGCGCTGAAGATTCGACTAGGTTTTGGGTGCATATTAAAGACTATGAGTTTATAGTTTATATCAGGGGAGACGGTGAAACTAAACTGTGGTTCTATGGGGCCCCTAAGGGGAGACTGTGACTAGCTACTAGTTACGCCGACCGCTGTATTAGTCCCGAGTCTGTGGTCTTCGGGAGTGAGGATCCGAAGATCTGAGTCTCAGGCCTTTACCAGGAAATACCGAGGAATAAATTAGAGATGTATTCCCAACTCGGAACCGGGGTCGATTCAAGAAGATAGGGAAGGACTGCTCCACAGCAACCTCCAACTAAGCACCCAAACTCTGAAGCAAAGAACGTCAAACCGCGATTGCATCTCCCCCTTTCAGCTCGCAAGTCCACACAACTCTGCTGTCGAGCCTTACAGCAGTGGGCTTGGGATTGCAGGTTAATGTTGTGGGTGTAGGCCGAGGAATTGAATTGGAAACACTGGTGACCTGTCTCCAGGACTTCTCGTGTAGAGTAACCCCCCCATATTAGAATCGTGTTTGACACATCCTGCCCTAAACCCAGCCCTAGCCTCTAAGATGCTGAAGCAGCGGAGAATGTAGACGAAAGACGCTGGGATTTGCCCAATGTTCCTCCGCACGTAGAAGCTGTGGCATGAAAGTCGGCATGAACATGTTGACAATCCCATAGTTGCTACTTTGTATATACTTGTTGTTGATGCAAGAGCTGAAACCTGGACGCATCATGGGACTCAAAAAGTGCGCCATACCTGCAGGAGGAATCGACGGGGCTGATCTCCAGACTCCAGGGTGGGATCCCAAAACCTCTGTGTAGTCTTAGACTAAGAAGCAACTACTTCTGCACAAGAACCCATCCATCACTTAATTTGTGACGTGTGCTATCTTCAGGCCCTTGTGCTTTGATACCCGAATCGCATCCCATGCCCGGGTCCCGGAGCTCTGCTTGATCTCGGCGAGGGCCGGGAGCACCTATACTGACGGTGTGGTTGATGTGGGGATGGTATGCACCTTCAAGCTGCGTATGGAGGATGGTAATGTAAGATAAGTTTTAGTGCTGACTCACAGGGTATCGGGCGATCGTCACAACCATCTCGTGCTACACTCTTGACACGGCCAATATCGTTCTGACTTCTGGACCTCACCCTTAAGCCTAAACCCCGAACCCCAAACCCTCAAACATAGGCCCTAATCCCTAAATGCAGCTCTGGCACATCTCGGATGCGCCTGGTGGCAGTACCACCTGGCGCGCAGCAGGAAAAGCTTTCAGCGATCGGCATGGCTCCCTGAACCGCACAGCCCGAAATCTAAAGCCTAGAATCAAGAGTTCACCATAAATCGTCGAAGCCAATGGCTGCCCGGAACATCAAGCATTCGGGAAGCCCGTTCCTGCATGTGAACTTAAGCCATAAGCCTGCAATGACGGTTGAGCATCGACTAATGCGAGTATCCCAAACCATCTTGCAAGCAAGCAAATTCCCGATTCCCTGCCCATTCATCCTTCGTGTCTACTTCCAAAACTCGCTTCCAAACCCAAACCCTAAGCCCTGTCCGAGGGGACCCCCGGCGTCCGTGCCTGATGCCAAGCTCTTGAAGACGGCACTGCCAGGGCAGCGGAGCTCTACTTAGGATGAATGAACTTGGCAGGGGCCACGAAAAATACTTTACATCAGGTTCTCTTCATGTCGTCATTGTCGCAAATTGTTAGCCTTACTAAGTCCGCTGATGCCGTCGGTACAGTGAAGGGCGACAGGGCCTGGTGAGCATAGAGCAAAGCCCCCTTTCTATGGGAGTTCATGAAACCGAGGGATCGCAGAATAGACCGTAAAGTGGGATTTCGCTGACGAGGACCCTTGAAGCTCCTGCGTAGACCCTTGGAGGCCTGGCCTTCATGACTTGTTGTTGGCATTTACACGGGTTAGCTCATGGGGACTAGGGATCCGCAGGCCATAAATCCTGAAGCGACAGCCCGAGCAGCAGCCTGCATCCTGTCCTTCCCAGCATATGTACAGATGCAGGCGCCTGATGGAACTGGCAACAGCTTCTTCTGCGACGGCATTCTGCCGATCTCTTGCGATGAAGCCCATCTTGACCTGAAGGCTCAGTGCTACAAGTAGCTGGGGATAGTATAAATAATACTTGCCGAAATTTAAGACTTGCGATTGGCTGCAGTGTGCTGGGGACGATGCCAAATCATCAGGAATGGCTTCGTAGTCGTTGGAAACAATGTGCGCCACCTGAGCATCGTGCCCACGAATTTCTGGGTTGAGAGACATGGAATATGTCAGTTTTGCAAAGATGGCCGCGAACCACGGAAACCTGCAGCACTACTGCACACGCAAGGCCTTTAGCAGAGTTGAGGCTCTGGCAAATTGAAGAATTCTTTGCTGCAGATCATTCTGGATCTGCGCAACCAGCCTTGCTTGCAGACATAGCAACCCTTTATCCGGCAGTGGTCCAAAAGTTGCCTGCCAATCTTGCAAGTTTCTACATACATACTTTCTCAGCATAGCAGGTAATCACTGCGTCTGGCATGAACAGACATCGAAAGCACTCTTGACATGCCCTCAAAGGTTCGAAAGCCGTTCGTGGAAATTTGGACCTATTCATGACATGTTTTCGAAAGGCGCCGGCCCCCAGTCGATGACAACTAGGACGCCATCCTGGCAAAGAGCGTCGCAGATGCGCATGTCAAACTCGTATGTAGAGCTCCTAGCTTCCTTTCAGCCCCACTGGCAGCTTCAGAGTGCTTCTGCGCCGTGCGAGATGCCCATGACCCGTGAACAAGCAGCCTTCAGATTGAACCCTTGGGCTCGAACGCGTCTGACAGCTCTTTACCCAGGACACTTGAGCCACACTGCGTGAAACACTCGTGACACGCCTCGAGACCGCTGTGGGCATTCCTCTACAGTGGACCCGGGCGACTCTAGTTCTACTGTACAGTACGTGATGTGAGCACACGGACAGTTAGCAAACGGGGTTAAGAGCGACTGTAGTGAGTTTCGACGGCTTGGATGACGAACGGCTTCGGACGGTGTCTGTTTAGCAGTTTCGGAGACCATCTGCGACTACAGGTGTGAACTGTCGCGCAGGCTTCAATGTGAACTTTGCCACATTCCGAGCAGACTGTGTGGGGGCACAGCAAAAGACCGCCCTCTGCATCTTGTCCGGTCATGGACGTACGCTTCAACCACACAGTGTGCGACCCAAGCATCAATTAACCTTCCTCGCGAAGCGGTAAAGAAGTCATTTACAGTCCACGGAAAGCAGTGGCCCGAAATGGATGTGGCTTTGACCTTCAGCTGCACGCTCTCAGGACTTCGAACACGTATTGCAATCTCCACTTGCAAACCCACTGCGGCACAACCTCCCCCAACATTGGGTTGTGACATGCGCGGTGTCCTGAAATCTTTGGGTCGCTGTAAGATTTTGTTATGACGTCTTCCGCCAACACGGGCAGCTTAATTTGGAACAACATTGACATTGAAAACCGCTGCTTTCCGCGAAGGCAGACCAGAGAGTCTTCAAACGAAGAACCTCCGTGGAAGTGCTACGGCTTTCTGTGACTTTAGTGGGCCTTCCTCAAAATCAAGGGCCATGGACATAGCGAAATTGTATGTCTCGAACCCCTGCTCCGAAAATGAAACATCATAGAAGATTCGACCAATGGGAGAACACCAGCACTTTTCGCCCATTGTCGTTTAGGATTAGCTTCTGTAGACTTAGCAGAGACAGCTCTCTTGCGTGACTTCCGCTGCGGCAACAAGCGACTGAATTTAGGATGCCGATGTCGCAGGGCGAATGTCACAGTTACAAGTGCACTGAAAATGTGACCCTTCTCCTTCTTTGTTTGAGGAAGGCCCCCATCGTCTCACCTGGCTCTTCCCACCGCGCTGTGGGCCTTGCTCCTGGCGAGGTTGGCAGCATCTTCGAACCGAACTTTGAGATGGCACTCGGTTGTAAGGTTCAATGGCCGTCCGCACGGCAAGAGGCAGCTCAGGGTGGATTCGGGACCTCCCAACCTTTGAAGACAACATCTCGCACCAAGGAACTGGATCCGAGTCCAACGTTGCAGTTTGACTGGACCTTCTTGGTTCTTAGCTCAGCACACAAGCTCATGGGGAATAAGCCCCGTCCTGGCGAACCTTCCTCAAGTACCCTGAAGGCTGGGTTTGGCTCATCGGAACTGGGCCAGTCCAAGGAACTTCTTCAGAGATGTCCTTGCTATCCTTGCAAGCACGGGCGAGCTCTAACGATCGGTAGGCCAGCAGGATGTCTTGAGAGGGCGAGAAAGAAACAGCAAGGAAAAACAGAGAGCGAGGGACAGGAGACGAGATCACCCCCCTAAACCTCTGGGCTGTGTAGCTGTGCGGCTGTGGATTCGTGTCGATACACCTCGGAACAAGCTTGCTACGTCCCGCCTTGGCCATAATGGCGGGCTTGGGTCGTGAAGGAACTCTGCTCTGCCCGTTTCACGCAGCTGGGAATGACCGTCAGGATGGAGTGGAAGTGTTGCAAGATGTTTGCTTCCACCCTGCACGAGCTTGTCAACCATGAACCGGGCTGCTTCACTGCAATCTGCAATCGTTGTCGGGGCACGAATGCGTATCTGCTCTCCCATATGGTCGGTCTCAACTCCACATCGAGAACGGCCTTGGTCTCCCGCATATTGTAACACGAACAGTGTATCCGGGCTGTCTATAGCCAAGTACAGTATGTCAAAACATGGAAACTTGATTGCAGAAAACCTGCAACTCCACGCCCTCTCCCAGAAGGACGGCCTCGTGTGCTTGCACTCTACACGCAATTGGTCTCTGAACCAATCGTGCTTCGCATCGTGCGGTTGCCACTTGCGGGTACAGCATTCTGTCCACCTGCAGGACGAGCTGTTCGATTAGCATGCCTCGAGCCGTCGGTGTCAACGTTCCAAACGGATGGTTCTGAAAGGCGGCAAGAGCCCTTTGGGCTGTCGTGGATTGACAAAACATGCTGTAAGCGTTCAGGACCGCTGCTTCCGAGGCAAGCTCTCTTGTCACAAGATGTCTGGATGCTGAGGAGACCTTCTCGACGACATTGCGAGCGGCTTCGTCGCAGGAGTGCATGCCCATCGGAGAGCTGTATTGCACAACAACACCCCGTGAAGCGGCTCTGCATCCTGTGCCATAGATGCCTGTTCTGCGGTCATGCACAAACAAATGAATACGAAATGGTGTGTACATGACGAGGAGCAGCTCGTCAAGACGGTCAAATTTGATGTTGTGGAAGCGAGCTCGCCAGAGCCCCTTCTTGCTCCAGCAAAGCTGAGCGGTCTTGCACTGTATCCTTCGACCATCACACATCCAATCGTACTCAGCTTGATGGAAAGCACGGTGAGTACCATCGCATCTTCGGCCTGGCACGGGATCGGACATTGAACAGCCTGGGTGTTGCTGGGAGTAGATCGACCGAGCTGCAGTCTTTAGCACATGCCCACGCCAGGTCGGGGAGATGGTAGCAAGTAGGCAGCCGCCATATGCATCACGCATTCTCCAGCTGTCGTCATTGGATAACTGAGAAGCCAGCAGGTCCATTGGAATTGTCACCACCGCGCGCGGGGCAATTGAATGGATGTTGAGCGAAGCACTGCTGCAAGCTGGTTGCCATTGGATCCGCATGGGACAGAAACGCACCCGCATGCTGACCATGGCGTCAATGGCTTGACAGCCCGCTACTTCTTCTTTGCACGATAGTTATCTGAAGGAGTGCTTCGAGCAGAGCACACGGAGGGGTTGCTGTAGTGCAACGAGAGCCCGAAACCGCAGAGCAAAGCATCAAATACTGAGACCGGCACATTGCGAAGAGTATACCCTGCAATGAACTCGTAGTTCTTAAACACAACAGCAAGTGATCCTGCAAAACCGCTTAAACATGCTATTGTAGCATCTGTTCCTGTTCCCGGCTGCTTGTTGGAAGTATGCTAAACTGCCGTGCAGCTGCCTTCCTTCCGTTCAGCCGGCTCTGCCCGCAAAGGTAATACCATGCAGAAATTTGTCAGCTGCAATCTTGCGGCTCTGATTCTAAACGACAGCAGCCGGAACAACGACTCCACATAAAAAAGAAGGATTCTCTAGCTTGAGGTTCATTCGGCCAGAAGGTGGATATGTGCCTTTCCAACATGGCGAAGACAGCCTTGTCTTACCACCCTGCCCTCCTCACGCGGCCAGCATCCGACCCGCGCAAAGGGTGGCAGGGTCTTGGCCTGAGACTGAGACTGGATGTGTCTGAAGTTTGAAGTCCCGCTTCCGTGGCTTTGCATCGTAATTACAATGGATGGAGATCAATCATTGGCCTGCAGACTTCGTGACAGTGCTCTTAACCCTGTCAGCAACCACACTTTCGATCTTGATGCACAACATGACACAAGACAATCCGCAGCCGAGCAGTGCAGCTGGGCGCTGCGGCTAGACAGCCAGTAATGCATGAGGTGTGCACCGGCTGATGTAAGGCCACACCGCACAAGACAAATCCGTGGATCCACGATCAACCCCCGAACCCTTAGGTGGCATTCGAGTGGCTGTGCTGTCCCAGGTGTAGCTGCAGGCCTGGGAGAATGAACTTCAGGCTGCGACGAACTACCGAGACAGGCCGTGGAGGCATAATATCAGCTCTAAGAGTCCAAAGCCTACAGACCAAGGAGGAATCCGAAACTCAGTCCTCAATGCCGAAGGTTGTGCTTGCTTCTGGAAGGTAAATCTTGCAGCAGAGTGAGTGTCCGAGTTCCTCAAGCTTAAGCTCGAGAGCCTGCGAAGAAAACTTGATAGCACCAGGCCGCAAAGAAAATGAGGCGAGCAGAACCCACACAGACTGTGGGTTCAAATGCAGAGACATCTTGAACACCAAACCTAAGATGAAGAATCCCTAATCCTAACGCCGTACAACGTCAAGCCGAACCCCTGAAACAAGAAACCCAGAAACCCAAACCCAAGAAGCACTGCCTTTTGGTCGTCCGGGCTCCGCACACTTTGGCCTGGACACGACGGATGGGACCGCTGGAAGACAGCGGCACCTTGTCGAAGGCTCGGAGACTTTGGGCGTAGGGTTTCGGGGCTTGGGGTTAAACATCCAGAACATCACACCCTGGCGGCGTGCATTTTCGTGTGTTCGTTTTTGCATGCAGTATGTCTTGAAATGCAGAACACTTTAGAGTTTAGGAAGTTTAGGGGGTTGCGGCTCTAGGGCTTGGGGCTGGGCGGAAGGCTTGTTGTGGAGATGGGGAAGGCTGGGTTCAGGATTTCGGGCCTTTTGGTTTGGAGTTTGGGACCTTTGGAGGTTTGGGATGAGTGGAGCCGTCTTGGCAGTTGCTTTTCGTGCAAGCCGCGAGCTTCAACCGCAAATTCAGTCCGTCAAATATCCACCGACCAGCATTCCTTCGAAATCCTGATGCATTAGAAGTAGCATGGTAAACACATACCCTCCAAGACCGATTGAACTTGTGTAAGTCTAATACTAAATGAACCATGAGCCGAAACACATCTCGATCCAGAAACCTGCATCTAAATCCTGGTTGTAGGTTGTAAACCCCAAGCTTTAAGCCCCAACTACATCTGATCTGAAAACTAGGCCTTAGAACCGCGCACAATCCGAGGGCTGTGCCAACTTCCTGGCCGCCGGAGTCTTCTCCGGCAGCTGCAGCGAGCCCGTGCTCGAGCTCCTGCTGAATCAGGCTTAAATACCAACTGTTACTCTTCGGATTTAGAATTTCGGCTTGCAGGTTGCTCTTAAGGGATAAAGGTTAGTATCTCGGGTTGCTATTATGGTTTAGGGCCTAGGGTCTCTATTCGGGGAACTATATGGGGGTTGTATAAGGGTCGTTTCTGCTAGAAAGTTTACAAGGGTTATATATATATAAGGGCCACCAGTAGGGTTGCTATAAGGCTCTTCTTCAGATTGCCATTTGGGGATTACCATAACCAGACTTATAAGGGCCACCATTACGAAGGACTGCCATAACGGTTGTATAATACAGGCTACTTGCTCTAACTAGTACTTAGGGTTGTTACTAGGGTGTACAGGGCTACCACAAGCGATACCTGTAAGTAGGCATGGCTCAAGTCAGACATAGAATACCCCGACCGTACACGGAGTGTCCGGTTTCCGTATTCCTGTAGTCATGAAAGAGAGCCCTACATATTTCCAGAGATACTCCAAAATTTAGGAGCAGTGGTCCCTCGCGGCAACTTCAGCGACTCGCCCTCATTGCCTGAACCCGAAGTCGTGAATGCCTGCGATACCTCAACCCGTTAAATAGTGTCCACCACCGCAGCTCTCAGAAGCAACAGACATAACCTTCACAGCTCACGTGTCCTCTGTGGAGCTCCAGCCGGCGCGCTACTCTGTTTCTTCCGCCTGATGCTCAGCTCTGTTGCTACAAGCTGAGGCTCAGGATAGGGGAAAGATCGCTTCCAAGCTTGTGGGCTTGGGTTTCGGGCTTATAAAAGGGCAGATAGGGCTCGAAATTGTAAATAGTACAGGGCTTAGAGACTTATAGGGCTACCCGTCATGTCACCAACACGCGAACCCATACAGGTTCAAGATGTTTATGCTCGTTCCCAGAGTCACAGCGTCGGGGAAACCCAAGTATACCAAGTCGGCCAGGTCCAAACATGCTATCATCTCGGTCGTATATTGGCCGCAATTCTGACATGCATCGACCATCAGCATGTTGCGTGTGTGAGGGTGACGAAAAAGCTTGTGTACATCAGCGAAAGCCCTGCCAGGATCTGCTCTTAACCCTGAGCCCTACTACCCCAGGCCCTATACAACCCCAAAGCAGCCTGCAGCTTCCAATTCTGTTCGACGTCATCTTAGGAAGAGGGTTTCTGATTTTTGGGGGATACTATACCATCTTCGTATAAACAAAAGATATTGATGTTTTTGTTGCCCTTGAGGAAGTCGAACTCGAGTTGGAGGCGCCTCCGATGCATTCGCACCGAGATGGACTGCTCGGGCGGACAGCCATGCCTGATCTTCCGTGCGGCTTGGGCTTTAGGGCTTCATGTGGGGTTTAAAGCTTCTGGGGTTAGGGGCCATAATTAAGGCTTTTTGGTAATTATGAGGTTTGAGGTGACGGGTGTTTCACTGTCTACATCTGCTACTACAGAACCAGGTGAGACAAAGGACTGAACCTGCTGTTTTCTCCCCAAAAGCTTACAGGTGTGTTCAACGGCCAGGGACCATGCGAGGGCGATCTCGCTTCAACCGCGCTTTCATCTCACTTCCAAGTGACATCCCAGCAATCCCTGGACCAGTTCTTACGTTCCCCGACACCTGTCAACCCTTGAACCACAAAGCTTTAAACTCATCCATGAAGGACATCAAGAAACCTAGACTTCAGAATCGGACATTAAACTAAAACAAAAGTTCCTGCGGCCCATACCAAAAAACTGTCTGACTTTGTACTCAAGCAGTAGACGAACCTAGATATTCATTCGAGTGCAGGAATGAGAGCATCAGCCGACCCTGCATGCTCGCGACACTAAAGCCCAACCCGAGCTGTGCCTCTCCATGACGTCCTTCCATGTCGCAGGCGCCGGTCGGGGATTCAACTCCGGGGCAGACTCGCTGTGCCTCCAGAGCTTGTGGCTTTTGGCTTTCTGGCTTCTAGGCTCAGAGTTTCTGGACTTTTTTTTTTTAAGGTGCAGCGGCCCTTTTCTGCGATACTAGAGGTCTAGGAGTTTAGCCCAAGATACCCGAGCCCGTTAGATGGGTTTAGCGGCTTCGGGGCTGCTTCTGGGGCTCTCGTGCGGAGCTGCGGGTTACGACGGTACCTGTGTTGAAAGTTCTCTGACGTCCTCAAACATGACCGTGTCACTGCTGAGTCTCCGGCATCACTCTATATAAACCCTGAAAGCTACACCCCTGAACCCTAGACCGCTAACCCTAATCCCTCTCTTACCCTTAACCTTTGCTTTTGTCAAAGACTGGGTCTCTGGCAGCAGTGGCTTGGACACGGCGGTCATCAAGTCTCGGCCGACTTCGGAGACATTCGCCTCGACAGCTTCGGGAATTAGTGCACTTTAGGGTTTGAGGGTGATAAGGCTTTAGGAGCTTAGGGAATTCAAAACAGCTCACGATTCAGGATTTTAGGGCTTGGAGCTTTAGGGCTTTGGTAGGGTTGAACAGGTACGATCATGGACCCAGCTTTTTCATGAGGCCAACAGTATTGGGTGCTGAGGCATTTGGCCGGCGTGGCTGCTTTCTATAAATACAGTGCACCGCAGCCTGAATAAGCCAAGTGAAATTTACCAACAAACAGCACATGCAAACATAGCGAGCTCTAGCCATCAGTTTCAGGGCCCATGTCCCACAAATCCTGTTGCAAACTGTGAACCCGCATAAATCCCGGATCCCCCAATCCTCACAGACATAAACCCTGAACCGCAACCCCCAAACTTAAACCCTCATCAACCCAACACCCGAACTCTCCCTACTTGGAGGATCATGGGACTTAGCAAGTAAGGTTATATGTACCGTTTTGGGGTTATAAGCAGCTATAATCTATAAAAATTGTCACGTAATTTCTGAGTCCCATGATCGTTTCAGTAAACCCTACGCTGCAAGTGCGGAGTCTGCCGAAGCGGCCTCGAAAGCTGCCATCAGCGTCTGACGAAGGTCATTGGCCGATATCAGCCTGCTGACAGGGCTCCGGGCCTACATATAAGATTTCGGGCTTCTTGGGGGGTCGTGGAGAAGTTTTTCGATAACTGCTTTTTGTAATGAAGGGCTCCGTGACTAAAAGGGGATAACTACCAAGAACTCCGACTCCTATAGAGATCGACAGGAACCACCTCAGAAGCCTCACACAGCGCCAGAGATACAGCGCCCATGTTTCTACAGCTTTCGAGAGCTTGGCACACGTAAAAAAAGAGACCCCCCACCTACCCTTAAGCCCCAAACCCCTAAAACCCTGAACTCTTTACAGCCCCAAACCCCAAAGCTCTAGACTGCAAACACTTGCAAAAATCAATCAAAAGCCAAGCCACTCGCGCTGAAGCTCCGATTGGAGCGACCTGGGAGACACTGAGATACGGTCGCTTGGAAAAACTACTTGGGATTTGTTAGTCGTGCGACTGTTCTAAGGGGCGCTAAGGGACTACTTTAGGCTTCAGGGGGCTTAATACTTGAAACAAGGTTTGGGGTGTTGAGTATAGTATGGTTATCATAAGGAACCCTGTGGGATAGTGCACTACTATAAGGACCTGAACAGTTATAAAACAAGGTTTTCGGGGTAGGTTATAGAATATTTGAAGTACTCGAGGCTTCAGGGGCCTTGTGCCTTCAACCTTGCCATGCAAAGCCCCGGTGACTATACTTGCACCTAGCTGCCGGCATCTGTAAACTTTTTTGCGAGATCAATAATGTTTTGGAGCGAATACTTAGAGTCTCGACGTAGTACAGTCTTCTACCCAAGCCCCAGCAGGCAGAATTCCCGCCTAAACCCTGCCTTCTAAACCTTTATACAACACACAGCTGCTGCCGAGAGGCTCCGTCTTGTCCTCCATGTTTCGGCTGAGACGAAACAAGCGCTCGCTGCATACCTGCGGTTGGGAACGTTTGCAAAGTGTACTGCTTGGACCCAAGAAAACCTGCCACAGCCGTAGAGGGTAAAGCACCGCACATCGTAGCTGAGCCCACAAGCCCGGGAAACGACAAGTCGAAGCGGTCGACGGGGCAGCCACAAACCCCTACATAAACCCCAATCAGGCCAAAACGTGTGAAGACTAAGACCCTAAACCCTTGCGCCCTAATCTTATTCTAAAGGTCCCAACCGAGAGGCCTGGAAGGCGGTCAGCTCCGACGAGAGGACGACGGTGCGAAGCCGATCTGCTTCAACGGTGGCTGCCTGATAAGGCTTTAGGGCTTATGGGGCTTCATGGGGCCTGTTTGCTTTACGGAGCTTTCATAAAGTTTGTCCCGAACGTGTTGTGCAGAGTTATCTCCATGGAGATGGCTTCTGGGTAAAATGGATTATAGGATGCATTGATGCTTCATGAACGGCGGGATGTGAGGCTTTTTTGGGGTTCTCTTTATCAAAGGTACAATGCTTCACATGTTCCATCCAAGAACTGAAACGGCATGCACGCACCAAAGGAGTTCCTCGTCGACACCTTAGGATAGCGTAACTTTGTCTATACAAATACTTTTGCAAATACACATACAAAAACAGATATATGTGTGATACTCAACTTACAAAATGCAGGGCATCCCTCGTCAGCACTCCGAAACACGCTTCAGCTTTAATCACATGCATAACACCCCTATCTGTCAGCTTAAGAAATCTCTCAGCCCTATATACCCTTTGAGCAAAGCGAAGGAAAAGCCTCCGAAGTGTAAAGCATCCAAATGATATTGTGACTATCTCTTCCGGTTTCGATTATACTACTTTCTTCATGTGTTTTCATGCGCACTAGACTCACTCTGTAAAAGAATTCTCTTAGAATTGGTCCCTGAACCCTAAAGTTTAGGGCCTAAACTCTAAACCTTATGATGAGAACAGCCGCTGATTCCTAAGGAACGCCCAGCGAAGCCCCGGGTTCGGCCCAAACCTCGTGAGCCCGAGCTTTGCGCAGCTCCGCCTCCGGGTTTTTGAATTTTGGGGGCGGTTCGGGTTAGGGTCTGAAAAATTGGGGCTCAAAGTTTAGGGTTTGGGAATCAGGGTTTAGGGTTTAAGACTTAAGGGTTCTTAGGGTTTAAGAATTAGGGTTTAGGGTTTAAGACTTAAGGTATAGGGTTAGGCTTTCGGGCTTTGGGTTCATTGAAGCCACAGGGGCTTTGGGTGTGGGGAGCTTGAGGTTTGCGTTTTGAAGAGTGGAAACGAAGCCTGGGAAACACTGGCAGCAAGTAGCACGATGACAGGCAGCACCTGAAATCCTAATCCCCATAGACGATGTACATTATGTAAGCCCTACAAAGGCTACATGAGACCTATCAGCATTACATTAAATTAACTACTATGCAGACTATATCTTCTTAAAGATTATGAAGACTGACTGGCAAGGCTGGCAGATCTCACCTCGGCGGCACCCACTTCGCCCTTCAAGCGCTCAATGTCCAGCTGGAGACCTTGTTTCGGTTGCGGGACTTGGGGGGGTTTCGGGTTTGGCATTCAAGGTTACCGGGTTTCAGGTTCAGGGAGCTCGAAAACTCCAGCACACCAAGCCCCTAAGCGCCCCTGCTGGTCCACAGCTTGAATCTGATGCTTGCATCAACACTCGGATCCATCTGTCAGAAGGCGTGGGCAAAAAAGTGACACTGACAGTACAACTACACCGCTTTCGTAAAGCAAGAAACCCAAGCACTCCACATGCCTTGTGCTGACAAGCTTTTCAATCGAGTTCGCGGCACGTCTCAAAGTGTGCATGTATCATGCCACACCTTTGCAGGAAATCTGCATGCCATCGCCCTGAAGCGCGGCAGCGTGCTACCTATGGCCCTCGGTCAAAGTCAGTCACCCCACAAGCTCACGGATTCAACATCTGGCGTCACACGCAAGATACCAGTAGGTAGACAAAAACAAACTGCAACATATTGGGGAAAAAATATTTTTTGATATGTTAACACCACCCCGATATGTGACGACCCGGGCCCGAAGATTTGCCGGTGTCGGGGAAAAACACGCGGAAAGCCACGGTGTGGCCGGAGATGGCCAGAGCAGTACAGGAGTCAGGAGTTCTCCTACGATCCGAACCTAAGATCTCATCCCATCCTTAGGCTCTAACTCTCACTTAACACCGTAAGCCCTCTCTAAAAGCCCACAGAGCCTGGGAAAGGGCACGAGTCCCGAAACTCCCGACACCTGCGCCCTTCGAACCGAGAAACTCCAAGAGCCAGAGAGTGTGGGGGTTTAGGGCTTTTGGGGAGGGGGGTCTTGAAGCTTGGAGCTGTAGGAAGTTAGGACTTCTGGATTTACGGTGGTGCCGTGGTGTGGCTAGAGACATTGATGGATTTTGTCGAGGGACCATCTGACTCATCTCATGTTCGTCTGGCTCCTCGGAAACTTCTCGGAAATCGCATTAACAGCTTGGCTGCTCAGTCTGGTTCTCTGTTGTTCAGCTTCATTTGTCTAGAGAGAACAGCGGTACTATAGGAGGGTCTGAACAACTAACTAATCAAAGTATAACAATAACATCTTTCAGGATTTAGTGTGTGTAGTAGAAACTACCCCAACGTGCATCCTAATCACTCAGGCCCGTATATGGGAGTTTCCGAACATAGGGGACCCTAATATAGTACCATTATATAGGACCCCAAAATAAGGTACCCCTAACTATCGGAAACTCTCATACTGCTTTACTTCGGGACCTATTCAACTCGAGCTTTGCTCGGTCGCCTCAGGACTTTGCACCGGCTTCTCACTCTCGAAGCCGAAGGTCGGAATGGACTCCGGCGTGATGACACCTGAAGGGTTTAGGGCTTAGGGGTTTGGGGTGACCAAAACACGAACAGTCATATAGTAGTATGAGGTAGTGGTCGAGACTGTTCGAGGAAAGTGACAGCAGCAACTCTACAAAAACACGCTTTCTCAATCACTCGCAGCTGGCAGCTAGAAGCAGTGCTGGTGGAGGTCGTGGTAGTGCGCGGGATTACGGCGCCCTACACCCACAGACAGAATTGGACCATGACTGGGACTGGGACGCAGACTCGTGCAAGGACCAGGTCAAGGAGGGGAGTAGCAGCAGGAGGAGGAGCTGTAGGAATAGGAGTGAAGATAGTAGGAATCGGAATTGAATAGGAGAGTAGAAATAGGACTAGGAGCAGTGGTGGTGTAATTACATGCAACAGAGATACAACCCCACAAACACGAGCAATTCAGCGCAGCAGACAAGCAGATATGCCCAGACTCGCCTGAAGCGTAGCCCACGCCTACTGCCGCAGCAGCAGCGAGCACACCCGGGCTCATGGCGGCCCCGGCAGCTGCACCAGCGACGCCAATGCCCAAGTCCAGGGCTCCGGCAACAAGGCCCGTTCCAGCTGCAACAAGCCCGGTGCCTGGTGGCAAGAGCGAGGAAGAACCAACATGCTTGAGGGAACTGCGGACATGACAAGACAAAGACAAAAACCAGTCATGGAAGTCGCCATGCCAATTGCTGAATGCCTGCACAGCTAAAGCCGGGAATCGCTGAAAGGCACTCTTCAAATCACTCTTCGAGAGCTGTAGGTGTCCAAGTTTGCTAACTCCCGGTATCCTCACCGAACGTGCCGGTCCGAATCATTCTGGCAACTGAGAAAGTCCTATCCTACAAAATGCGGCTCGTCCCGAGAAAGCCTTTGCATCTCGGCACCACGGCTACCATGAGAGAACCCGAACACCATCATCCGCATACGCAGCCCGTAGCCCAGCGCTAAACTCAGCGAAGGTGCCCAGCGCCGCGTCGGCAGCCACGAATGCACCAGCACCAAGGACGGTCTTGACCTGCCAAACAAGCGCAGCATTGATATTCTTGCGACCTTATATTCCAGTATGACATGATGATGTAACGAGGACTAGACATGCTACATATTCTAACCCCCCCCCCCCCGCCCCGCCCCCCGTATTGGCGCCACGATTTTCGACAGGAAGCTCGACGCTACAACCCCCAGGACAATCTTGAAGCTCCATCTCCTACCAGAGCCCCATGAATCCGAAACCCCCAACCCAAAACTCCAAGCCTAAACATGAACCCGCGATGCGAAATCCTGCCGAGCCCTGAAGCCCCCCCAAGGCCAAACCCGAAATTCCCACCAAAGGGGCCTTAAGAGATAGAGTAGGGCTTTCGGGTATCTTGAACAAGTCATGACAAGCAACCCTAAGGGAGAACCCTAAGGAATAGTACACCATGCTCTGTGCGTTTGCAAAAGTCGCGCTCAAGGGATAGTCTTGCTCAAGACTACTATGTATTCTGGGCCCAAAAATACAGGCACCGGCGCCTGCTCAGCCTGTCTGAACGGCAGCTGCTCCTTGTCAATCCTCAGCGGCTGCGGTTGTTAGGGCTTAGGGTTTAAGTTCGGGTTTACGGCCGTTTGGGTTAGGGTTCGGGGATTAGGGCCGTTTGGGCTTAAACTTTAGGGTTCTGCTGCCCGAAACCCTAAACCTGAAGCCCGTTTGAGTTAAGGGTCTGAGGCTCACCGAGTTTCGGGCTTCGGACTTTCAGGAAGCCCAAACTCGAAACCCACAGATTGCGCGAAGGCGGAAGTCACCCATCCCTGTTTCAACCCCTAAACCTGCATGATTCGACTCTGTCGAAAAGCCTAACCTAATATCGCATGTCTTCAGGCTGTGCGGTTGTAAGATTATTTGAAACTTACACCCAAACGTGCTTGAGGATACTAAGGGTGGCTTCATGCCTGAACTCATAGAGTGGTAAGATGCCTGTGTGGGGGGTTCAATTTTTCGAAGGGCCTGGACCCGTCCGAATTAGAACGGTGGAGGATAGAAATCGTGCCTCGCGGAGAAAGACTTTCCGGTGAGCGGTTTATCACTACCCCGTAGGCCCTGAGCCCCTAACCCTGGACCAGCTGCTTCCTGCAGAACAGTGGCCCCATGTAGGTGCACAGCTCCACGGCAAAGTCCTGGTAACACGAAATCTCTGCAACTCCCGGGTAATCATGGAGTAGAGCCGAAACTACTCGAGGAACCCTTCAGCCCCTGTGACTGCCGAGTCCGAGCCCCGACTCTGGAGTCAGTGCTCGTGGTAGTCATGGTCATATAATGCCAACAAGTAACAATGATAATAACAATGATACACATCATAGTGAGAATAGTGATGAAGGTTTTAGTAGTAGAAGTTGTTACAGGAATATAACCATAGTAGCAGTACAAAGCGGTGCTGCGAGACTGACGGCTTTCTCAATACGTACAGAAGCCACAGCAAACTGGACCCCAAAACGTTGACGGCTAAATGTCAGGAAATGTCCTTGCTGTAAGAGCCTGCAGAACGGGATCTCCAGTCTTTAAAGAAAGCCACATCTTGCAACCGAAGCTTTTATCCCTGAGCCATCACCAGATCCCATCCTTCAACCCCAAAAGTCCAAAGCCCTGCAGCCCGAAATCCCCACCAGTTGTTGTGATCCGCTTTACGCGATAAGCCCTAAACCCAACAACACCCTAAGAATAAGCCTGCATCACATGAATTACGTAAAGAGTCACGGGCACTAGCTGTAAGGGTCTATGCGACTCCAATTTTGAACCTCAAACTTGCTGACCCCGAACATCGCAGCCTGGCAGTTCTTTCCTCCGAAGATGTTGTTGCCGGCTGCATCGTAGCTGTGATCCGCGCCGAACTGTGTGCACCATTGGGAAATCTCCCGGTGAGTCTTTGTAGTACGACCTGTAGGGCTCTAGCGTTGCTACGAAGGGTCCAGCCCGTCAAGGCGGTCTACTATACAGGGTCCAGCATCTGCAGGGCATGGGTCACAGGATTTCGGGTACAGATCAGGGTGCGCGGCATGTCGAGAACACCAGCCTCCAAGACGAGAACTTCAAAACCAAGCCGTGAACATCATGGCGTCGCAAAGATCCCCAAAATAGCAGCAGGATACTCTAAGTCGAAATGGCGGCTTAAATCCGCAGCAAGCAGTGATCATCTTAATGCTGAAGATGATAGTTTCGAAACAGCAGCGACGTTAATCATCATAGTAATGTATACAACTATTAAGATGAAAGTATTCACACTAATTAAGTTATATGGATAATGATGATGCTATTTCGAAACAGCAGCGAAGTTAGTCATCGGAGTAATATACAACCAAACTGGTTAGAGTACTCAAACACACGGGTGGTTGTCAATATTGGGGTCCCTGTTTGGGTCCTCATTGTAAAACGGCACCAATTATTTAGGATACCCAAAAAAGGAACCATGATATTGACAACCACCCACATGGCGCCTTCCAGCTTCTGTGAGCTGATGGGAAGGCCCTTGTCGAGAGCCGTTCGCTTGCCCATGATGACGCCGTCGGCCTCGAACTCGTAGCCTCCGGGGGTTTAGGACAAGGATTGCCTGGACCCTAAGAAACTTACCTTTTTAGGGCTCCTTGATACAATTTCCTCATGTAAGTCCTTAAAACGGGTGGGTTATTTGGGATCAAGGTAGGGTTTATGGCAGTTTATGGTTTAGGTGGGCTTGTTAGGGCTTGCGAGGGTCTCCGCTTGAGTTTAAGGGTTGTGAGCGTATGTGAATACAACATCATGTGGGATCCAAGCCAAGCAACACCGCGAAGCCTTGGTCCCCACGACTCGTAAAGCCCAGTGCATAATGATGTCATTCTGTGGCACAATGTCCTTACGTGGCGTGGACACTGTTGTCCTAGGAACTGGGCTCGGCGGCTGCATCGCACTAGTACTATGGTACGACGAGGACGGCTGCGAAGCACTACTACGACGAGACGACACTGAGACGGAGACCCAGCGACAACGGTGACTGCTTCGACGACCAGAGACGAACAGTCTGCGGGTGACAAGCATTTGTGGCATGTCAGGTGGGCTTGGGGTTTCAGGGTAAGGCCCGTACTTCTGGGGTCTGAAGTCTACGGAACGGTGAGATCTGTCCGTGCAACATATTACCTGTAATTACATCAAGTCCAAAACGGGCAAAAGCTAGCATTGCTCGCAAGTAACACCCAGATCTACCCGAACATTTCTCTTATTGACTCGACCCAGTCGCCAAGAAAACGTCCTTTGCATCGGAATCCACCAGCCGTTTCAGCTTCTGCCGGTTCCTTGGCTACCACTGTCCGGCAACTTTGAGCACAGAAACCCACAACCAAACAACCCGCCGTCAAACGAGAAACGTAAAACATAAGCCCGGCATAAAAGCACGCCTACGACACCGTGCCTTAGCCTGAAGCTAATTCTGACAGGAGCTCTTCTGGAAGACCCACTGTCTCGCATCGAAGGCATCAAACTCCAGGAAGGCATCGTCATGCTCATCGAGCTTCACGAGAATGCCAGTCCTTGACTTCTGCTCTGCGGTCTCATGTAAAGGCCTTAATGCTTAGAACGGGCTTCGGGGTACAATCTAATGTACATCTATAGCGACTCACGGGAGATACGGTTGATGATATAAACACTGTATTAACCATAATATGGAATATACCACAATTCCCATGGTTTAGGGTCCTTACGATAATGCAGGATGTATATCATCAACCGTAGTATTAACAAACTAAGCTTCAGTTTGCCTGGCGGAAGTCTAATTTGCCCCGAACCATCGGCCCAAAGGAACGGGTAGTCAACGGATCCAACACATGGTTAACCGAGCATCCAGGATCTCAAACCCAAAACCAGCACTTCTAGAGCAGCCCCTGACCCCTAAACCCCAGATCCATGTAGAAACCCTTGCCAACGCCCTGAATGCGATACCCCTCTATAGACCCCTGGACCTGCGGCCCTGAACCTCAAACCATAAACCCAAACTCCTTAAGGCCGAGAAAGCCAAACTCCTGAACCCTAAACTCTTAACCTTTAAAATCCAAGCCCTGAACCCCAAACTCCTGAACCCTAAACTCTAAACCTTAAAAAAACCCAAGCCTTAAACGCCAAACTCTTGAACCCTAAACTCTAAACCTTAAAACCCAAGCCCTAAAAGCCAAACTCCTGAACCCTAAACTCTAAACCTTCACCCCAAAGCCCTAAAAGCCAAACTCCTGAACCCTAAACTCTAAACCTTCACCCCAAAGCCCTAAAAGCCAAACTCCTGAACCCTAAACACTAAACCTTCACCCCAAAGCCCTAAAAGCCAAACTCCTTAACCGTAAATTCAAGACCTTAGAGCCCTAAGCCCTAAAAGCCAAATTCCTTAACCCCAAACTCTAAGTCTTAAAGCCCTAAGCCCGAAAAGCCCACTCCTTAACCCTGAACTCTAAACCTTAATCCCCTAAGCCCTAAAGCCCAACAAGCTCAGGCCAGGGTGCATGTCAGGCTCCAGTTTGACTTGGTCTTCCTCCAGCCGGGGTAAAAGTTTGGTTTGGATTGCTGGCTGGCTTAGAGCTTGGGGTTTAAGGTTTCCGATTTGTGGGGTTTAGGGTTAGGAGTTTCAGGGTTTTCTGGTGTTTACGATTAATGGTTTAGGGTTTCCAATAGGAGCAGATTGTGGGTTTAGGGTTCTCGCCGTGTACACCTTTGTGTACCGTGTGGCTTCTGTTTGCTACCAAGCCACGGAGTCTGTCATGAACGGCTCAGTCACGCAGACCTTATCTTCACAAGGCGTCCGCGAGCTGCAGTTGAACGCCTTTTGCGACTAGGCCGGGGTTAGCAAGACGCTGCCTGTAGACATGCTCAGCTTCCGGCAACGTCTCCCGCTTGCCATGCTGCAGCTGCTATCCAACCTGATTCCGCGGGCTGTCTGGCATTTCCTATCTGGGGTTGTGGCTTTTGGCTGAAGGTTTCACGAAGCCTACACCTTGAACCTTGACCTCTCGGCCGCACCGCCCTCAAGAGCATGCAACTTAAACGGGATCCGAGTACCAACCCGAAAGGACGTGGTTCCACTGTCAGGAGCCGACCCCGATAATGTCATTAATATCGATGTCTGTATTCTAGGGGCCTTAAGAATCAACGAGAGGCTTGGGGTAGATAATTTACTGTGATGATAGCCGGAACTGTTAGGAACCGCATCCCTAATATGGGCTGTAGCTGTAGCTCCTTAAAGCCCCCCCCTCCCGTCCCCAACATCCATCCTCTCGGGCCTTCGATCGCTTCCAACCATGACTTCAGCTCTTCCGCCTTTTCGGCCTTCGGCAAACTTCTTCGGTGAAGAGCGCAGAGTTTATGGCTCTTAGCAATCAGTGAAGGCCTATACCCGTAAACAAAAACGACCTGTCAAACCCCAGACGAAACCTGTGTAAAGCTTTGGAAAAACCACAAGCCCTCAGAAGAGCGTGCTTAAACCCCATACACCACCGCAAGACCTTTACAACATCTTTGGAACACGTACAAGTCTAGGTCCCTGCCCGTGGCATACAAGAACCGAAGCGGTTTGTTTGGAATTCCTCATTTCAATCACCGGAAAGAGGCATCATTCGTCTGGTCAAGCTTTCTGGTCTAGGTTCAGGGTTTAGGTTTAGACTTTCAGGGCTTCAGGTCTAGGTTTTATATAAGCAGCAGAAACAAACTTGAACAGGCAATGAGCTGCTAAGCCACATCGAAATAGCTCACGTTGTGAAGTCGCCCAGCAGCAGACGACAAATCCAGAGCAAAGCCAAATGGCCGGTCTGTCCTTAAGCGAGGCTGAAACTCGAAAGTAGGCCAGGGCACGGGCGATGGCTCAGGGTGCTTCCATACTGAGGCAATGCTGCAATGCCCAGCAGTAGTACTGATTCAGGAGACGAAGGGTAGTGTCGACGGCAACGCTACTTTCAAATCCCGTAGCTGGCCAACCTTAATTCGCAGTTGACACGAACCTACAAGAGCCCAAGAAACCTTTAAACTGAAAACCCCCAACTCGAACAGAAATCTCAGCAGCCCTCAGTCCCAGAGCACCCAAAAATCATGTGAAGGCAACCAAGCAAGGATTCTGCCCAGAAGCTTCAGCTTTAGAGCTTCTCCTGCGCAAGGGAGCCAAGCAGAGAATCTAGGAAGTACCTAGTGGTTGATGCTCTCTAATTTTCAGCTCTTCCGTGTTGCTTAGGATCAACCAGGAGACTACTGATGGGAGGCCGTAATTAAGGGAGGTTTAAGATTCTTGGGGTAGGGATTCCTTAATATGAACCCCATTTTGGGAACCCTAATCCCTACTAAACCCCCATAAACTAAAACCCCTCTTGGCCTCCTATGAACTATGGTCAAGCTCGACCTTGGGAGCGACGGTGGAGGAATACATCTGCCGCGAACTAAAGGGAACTCCAGAAAGTTGGAATATGGTGTCAGGGTAGGATACCCTATAATTTACCATAAAGGGTTTAGGATAATCATATTCCAACTTTCTGGCTTTTACTTTAGGTGCCCTGAAGCCCCGCACTCTGAATCCTGCGCGGAGTATGGCCTGAAGCCCGAGCTGAAGCCTCAACACCAAAATGCCCAACCACCAAACCCCTAAAGCCTGCATGGCCTCTAAACCCAAGCCCAACACTGAAGACCCTAAACTTAAAACTCTAGCAGCCAAACCTTGATGAATGAATTCCACCGAAAGAAGACAGGCGCATCCGCCTGACGCTTCTGGGCTCGCGAAAGCACTGACTTTTGAACCTGTTGCTACTTCCAGGATTTATAGGGTTTAGGGATTAGGGGTAATTAAAGGGTTTAGGGGTTTAGGGGCTGCTCATTACCAGGGTTTTGGAATCTTTGCACTACATTGGAGCTGCCTTGTGTTGAGGCGCAGGGGCTCGGGCTTTGCTTTTACGTAGTCTTAAATTATGGTTGGTTTGGCTTTTTAAAAATGTTTGCATGAATCGGGTCAGGGCGTAGATCAGGGGACAGTGTGTCGGTACAACCCAGCTTCTCAGTACCTCTGCTGGGGTTTCTTTGCTCGGGCTCTTGGGAAATCCTAGACATGTGGGTTTGAAGCAAAACTTTGCGTAGTGCTAACAGGCGCAAGAGATGTCAGTAGCTTACAAAGCAGAAGTAAGACATCTCCAGTCGAGTACAAAGAGCTCGACCTTGTCTGTAGTTAATAAGTCATAAGTTCATTAGAAACCCTACGGATGCAGTTTAGAGCCCTCACAACCACCTGCCTGCCCAGCCCCTCTAAGCCCTAAACCCTAACCGCAAATCCTTAATCTAAACCCCTACACCTGTAAACCCTAACCCTTAAGCCCCTGGCCCTCTACCCGTAAACTCCAAACCTTAAAGAACAGTAAACTACGTCGCAACTGCAGAAGAAGATCCTGGGCCGATGGGCAGCTCTCCATCATGCTTTGCTGCCGCGCCTGTAGGGTTTCTGGTCGAGGGAGTTCCGACGTTGAGGAGGGAGTTGATTGTGGGTTTGATTCTATCATGGTGTTGCAGCGAATTTGTTGGAGAGTTCGCTTCCCCGTTTCAGCTTTCCTGTGACCCCATACACGCGAAGCCTCAAGCTTACAGCTTCCTGTTCAAAGGCAGCGCTTCTGGCTCGTCAGGTTTACGGCACTGGAGTTGAAGGACTTCGCTTTGGGGACGACTGCGGCGTGAGGATGTTTACATTGACGCTTCGGAACCAAAAGGATACCTGAACAGCCCTCAGCTCTAGTGTGTCAGACTCGGGGATTTGAGGTGAAACCCGAAGCCCCAAAGTGAGGTCAGGGCTCCTTTTGCCCAGAGGGGTGTGCTGTTAACTTTGTTTTACGCATGTCCGCAGTGTCAACACAGACTTTATAGCAAACTTTGTCGGCTTCCCTGAAACAAACACATACTCAACTCTGAAGACCTGCAAACCCCAAGCACTGAGTACCGCGCTATCTGCGAAGTAGCGAAACCCGGTTTCATCGAGCACCTGCAGCAAATGTGAGCTTTTTGGGCCTGAGGCTAAGCCTCCGCAGCACAGCATAGTACCCGATTAATGTGTGAAGGTGTCGGACAGGCCTCTGCTAGGGAGGGCGGGGGGGTGCGGTGAACTCGAATCCATGCCATTCTATTCTGGGGTGTAGGGATTCGGGGGTTGATCAGAATGCGCTCGTGATGTTAACCTGAAAAGTCGTGGGCTTAGTCGCCCTGTACAGTCCCGGATCTGCAAGATACCCGACGTAGAGACGCAGTTTAACCAGTTTGGACTACTCTTTGTCAGGTCGTTGTGGTCATCATCATCATCATCATCATCATCGTCATCGTCATGGTTGGTCACCACCATAAACATCATCACCAACATCATCATCATGCCTGACAGTCTGACAGAGATAGCTGGTACTTGTCGTAGTGGTACAACTCGCAACAGTGAGAGTCGGGTGGAACAATGGCAGTCTTCATAGAAGTTGGAATTGTACTGACATCTTTGCAATGGTACTGCAAACGAAGTGGTAACATGATCGACGGTCGATAGGTACATAGAAGCAATAGTGGCTTGAGCTGAACACTCTGATTTAGCACTGCATGGCGGTAGAGTTCGCAGCCGACAAACCACCAAACCGAAGCGACCGCAGCCATTTTGCCCCAAGCTTGAACTCCCGTCCCAATCGCCAGCAGACTTTCTCCCATTGATACAGAAGCCTGAAAAGGTGTCCTATTGCAATGACGGTATACATTACCACAAAACCCTATTCCAAACGCTCTTGTCTGCATATGATCACTCCCCCCCAAGACCTCTGGAGCACACAGATATGTTGCGGTGAAGAGGACTATAAAGCTCACCCCAGTGGGTGGGCTTAGTGGCTGAGGGCTGCAGTGGTGGTCTTCAGGCCTCCGGTTGTGGATTTTGGGGCTGTTGTACCTGTGTCCAAGTGGCCAAATCGTGAGCTTTCGGTTGGTCCCAAAACTGAACTCTAAAACTGAACTCTGAATGCTGTGGTCTCTAAACCCTTAGCCCTGGCGTTTGGGCACTTGGACCCATTTCGAGGCTATCAGGGTCCTCTGAGGGCTGGGCACACCACTTGGAAGTCCATACGTTCTGCAGCGCTGGTCCCAGTTTGAGCAGCCATCCCTCTTTCCGCACAGAGGCCATGCTGCAGTTTGGCTTTGAGGGCTTGGGGTCGGCTGCTGTTGCTGTAAAGTCTCGCTCCGTGATTCGCCATGATTAACTGGCACTTCAATCATGATCAGAGCTTGGCTTCTCTTGAGATAATGATGGTACTGCTGATGCTTCGGCGGACTCTGATTGATAAAGCAATACCGGTCTCCCTCAGGGCTGGCACCATTTCGTCCGGCAGTTTTCTGGTCAAGGGTTGTAGGATTGCGGCAACCTCAAAGCCTCAAGGATACCTACTCAACTACGAAGGTTTTTCAGAATCATGGTGGAAGGCACTGGCTGAGAGCCAGATCTGCTTCGGAGCCCAACGAATCAGGCATGCCCCAAGCGAAGGCAGGAACCACGACCCTAAACCGAATATTAGCCCTAGAATAAACCTTCTATTATAAAGGCCTTAACAATTGGGATAGGGTTTTGAGCTTTGCTGCCCATTATGCTATAGTTATCATAAGGCACCCACGAAATAGTATGGGTTTTGGGTTTAGGCCCCTATATGAAGCCCCCCCAAGATGCCCCGCAGGCTACCCTAAGCCTTGGGATTTCTATGGTCTATGTGAGGGAAAGCTGGCCGGTCTTGCGCTGTTGGGTGTATGGAAGAATTGCAGCAGCACAGTTCCGCCAAATTCCTCAACCCCAAAAAAACTCTAGCCCCAATGCCCCATAAGCCATAAGCCTACAACACCCTGACACACTGAACCAAATGAGTCAAGAACTCCAGGGTCAAAAAACACGCAACGAAAACATGACCTCCTCCCGAACCCATCGCATCTCAAAGACAAGCAGACCCAGAGCCCTTACACAGTCCTCGACCATGAAGGCTATGAACCATCGACGCCCAACAGCACTTAAAGACAGACTGAAACCACGAAGGCCCCGAAGCCGAAAACCCTAGCAAGACTCGAAACCCCTGGCTCCTTCGATCAAAATACAGCCCTGAGCTGCTTGCTCTTCAGCCAAACATCTTCGAACCCTCAACAGTGAAATCAGCCTAAAGCACCCAAAACCCAAAGTTTGAGCTTATTGCAAACCTAAAACCCCCAAAATACCACAACCGCCCTCAGATAAAAACTGTTGGATACCCAACAGACAGTGTCTGGGCTCCTAGCTTTCGATCCGGCTCCCGAGCTTGGCCGCAGTTGTTCTGAGGCCAAACGGATCAAGGTCGGACCTCGGAGGGGAGGAGGTTTGGCGAGGAAACCCGCGGGGGGGGGGGATATAACATCATGTACAAATGTACATACACGAATATGCAGTTGCTTTATGTTTCGCAGGGTGCTTTTTATATGTCTACTTCTCCCGTATTGTCTTCCGTTGTAACTTTGCAGTACTACATCACATCGCATCACCTCATAACGTACAATACCATACCATACTACGTGGCACCATATCATATCATATCAAATCATATCAGATCATATCATATATATCATGTCATATCATATCATATCATATCCCGTCATACAATATCATAACATACGGTGTGCAATAGCTGATACCAGATGAAACATCATACAGTCTTATAGTTTCGACTAGAACAGATCAGATTAGACTTTGCTATACTATGTTTGCGATAGTACTTTGTGTAATTCGTTGTAACGTGTGTTGTGAAACTATGAAACGAGAACCGGATTGCATCAAACCGCTTATATTACAATATACTACCTTGTGTGGTACCATGGTCACAAAGGTAGTGATGTACCATAAATGCGTTACATTATGTGATACTTTATTATACTGTACTAGTATACTATACTATACTATACTGTGCTATGCTATATTCGATGCATACACACTACACTACACTAGCCTATACTGTACTCTACACCGAACTATAGTCTACTAAATCAGTTTTAAAGCCTAGAGGTTTTTGTTTGTATTGCAGAGTTCATTGTTATTCAGGAGACAGCTACGTCTAACAGTCTGGCTCTAAAATCATGTATACAAACACAGACACATGCACACACACCTATATCCATGTACATTTGTGTGCTTGTTCACCGGCTGTCTACTAGCCAGCTAGCTGTGCCCATGCTTGTACACGTGTGAGATTTGTAATGGGCCAATCTTGCAGTATGCTTACCGCCCACACAAGTGGTAACTCTGGATGCTGTAGCTGTGGAGTTTGGGGTTGAAGCTTTGAGGTTTGGGGTCAAACTCTGCACTGACCACTGCGCAGTTACAACGCAAAGCCTTCCCCGGAACATACTTGATAGGCCCCACACCCCAAGCACAGCCCCTATAACGTCCGAGGTATCGGCGGGCGGCCCTCTGCTATGTCCTCCGGGGCTCAGAGGGACTCCGGCTTGACAGTTGAGGGCTGTAGGTGTGAGGCTTTGCCGCATATATCGAAATGAGTCAAATCTACAGCCGAGCCAAACAAGTCACGTGCCAAGGGCAAAACCACGCTTTAGGCTCTTAAACGGGACTTGGTGCAAGGTGACAGTCGTGAAGAAGCACGGGCACGCATCAACTCTGCGAGAGGTTGCAGAATATAGTTCTACATTCACCTGTGGAGCCCGGACAAATCACTAGTACACAGCCCATAACAAAGGCTCCTGCTTCCAGCTCAGAAGACGCGCGTGCTCCTGGCGCACGTCAGCCAGTGATCTGCTCAGCACTGAGCAGGCCTGAAGACATCAGGGATGAGCTGACAGTCTGGGAGCCCATACGAACCTGCCTTGAGACTACTAGAGGTCTCAGCTTTCGAACTGGATCTTTTCAGATTCCCGGAACGCACAAGCGACATCGCGACATGCACGCCCCTGGGCAATACAAGGGCCGTAACAATTGGAAGAGGGCTTTCTGGCTTATTGCCGCGCAATTATGATTCACCCTAGACGCCTAAGAATAGTGTTCGCATTTATTTGAGCCCTTATACATTCGCGTGTCCAAGCGCGCTGCCTGCTGCCCTTCCCCGGCTGCCAGTGCGGTAGATTCTTTGCCTCGACAGGGCTGGTATATGTAAGCATGTGTTCATGTATTTACATATGTATATACATATTGCTTTGATATTTACATGTGTATACAGTCACATGTACACACACACACATGCCTAAGGACAACACATTCAAGGTTTCATGACAACCCGCTGTGATATCGGGAGAGCCGAGCTTGATTCAGGTCTTTTGGGTCGATTTGAAAGTTTTTCTAGTAGAACTACATAGGGACTGTAGAAGCAGGAGATTACCCAGTAACTACTCAACACATCGGCTGCCGGCGACTCACATGCCCTTCGGTTGAGCCGCAGACGCGCCAGCAACCGTGCGAGCTGCTTCTCTTCAGCTTGAAGTGCACTTTGGCACATCTGCACCTGGCATCCGGCAGCATGGCCAAGCTACGCTCAAATTACCCTGCTCTAAACCCCGAACACTACGCCCTAGGCACAATACCCTACACCCTAAAACCAAAAAGCACATGTCCAATTTCTAGCTTCCAAGGCCAAAGGGCAACAGTCCGTGGCAGGCCCAGAAGCGGGTGCAAGAGGGCACCTCCTTGCAGGCAAGCCCTAAGTAAACTCTAAACTCGAGGGCTTAGGGCTAAGGGCTGAGGGTTGCTCTAAACTGGGGCCGCCTCAAACGGGAATCTCTGAAAGTACGGTGTTTTCATCAGAAATCCCTAAGAAGCCCCTCTCATGGGAAATATTCCGAACACCTCAAAAAGATGTCCGTACTTGTCAGTTACGGACTTTGGACAGTGACAACGCTGGCCAAACAAGTAACATAATAAAGCAGAACCAAATCCAAGACTCCAAACCCAACAAGGACAAGCTGCATAAGCCCTGCTACAAGAAGGTTCTAAACCCTAAGTACTGAACCCTAGAGAAACTTATCGACAAAGAATGCAAAAGTAAACCCTAGACTACCTGAACCGTTGTAAAACCCTGAAAGGGACTCTGGTGTACCCAGGTGCCTGCCTCTGTCTTCCATCGATTCTTAGCTTCCGCATGTGCTTGCTGAGCTCTTTGTGCCTGCTTTAGGGTCGAAGGTTACTATGGGGGGTCTCGTGTTTAGGGTTGGTACGAGGGGTTCAGCTTTAAGACTCCGGTGGCAGGGCTTGAGCTTGGTACAAGGATGGGTTAGGTCCAGGTTTTGCAACAAGGGTTTTGTGTCTGGGGCTTATATAGCGCTTCGGGGTTTAACGGCTCACGGCTCCAGGGTTTTGCACACAAAGTCAAAAACGGTCTCGCCTCCCCGAACCCAAATGCTGCGAAGAGAGGTTCTGTAAGGACTGAACTCCCGAACTTCGCGGCAGAGGCAGCTTGCGGCGCAAATATTTCACAGTATACACTTACATATCATCCGTTATCCATTATGTAGTATAACATGAACCGCATATACTATGTATTGTACAATAACTGCAAGTTCCATAATGTTTCGCGCAAGCGCTTCACTTCCTCTCTGACCATCCTTGTATACAAGTCCTAAAACCCAAGGCTCTTCTCGTTCATGACAGCCCTGAAACCTCCACCATGAGGGCTGTTTGCATGTTTAGCTAAGAGGAATAAGTTCTTGGGAAGGCTTGGGGGTATGAAACTCGGTTCACATATGTACCGACTGCTGAGGCTTCTGTGTCATATTGGACGACGACATGACATTACTGGCCGTGGCGGCATACGTATTACGTTCGAAACGAGATCCCAAACGTAACGTTCAAAGAAAAACTTGGTCCTTATTAGCAACAATGTAGACCTGATGCAGTGTGATCGGGGTTCCGTATATCGGGACCTTATGACACCACCAATTCTCCCCGCGATCCTCCAAGTCCGCCTCGCGTCGCCGCTTGGCCACCTGGGGCAGTTCCTGGCTGTAGTATTCATGGGCTCAGGGGTTAGGGAATCTACGTTTTAGGGTTTCGGGTTTGGGGATATCGTCAGTTTCAACGCTGAAGTCCCATGCATTGCCCCCTAAGCCCAAAACACCAGATTGCTTTTCGAGAGGGTGATAGACAGCTTCTTTTTCTGACTGGAGTCTAGAGTGTGATCCTTGACCCAGAGTTTAAATTATGGCAGAAAAGACTATGATTACTGAGGAAAACTAAATCAAACCTCCTCAGGTCTTGGATGGTCCTCGTACCTGCAGCGAATCTTTATACTTACATACTTATAAACAAAAAATAGGTACGTATATATATATATATATATATGTATATATATATATATATGTATATATATATATATATGTATATATATATATATATATATATACATATACAATGTGCAAACAGTTGGGTGTGCTTACTTGGGCCATGCTTTGAATACGACCATGAAGGCCCAGGTCTACTCTGTGCCGGCACTACCGTCATGAAACCCGTGCGAAAACCCTTAGAGAATCACTTGTGAGCCCTTGGAAACAACAGAACAGTCCCATTTTCAGTAATGCGCTGGGGTTTTATTCTGATAAAGCAAAAAAACCCTAAACCCTAAACATAGTTCCAAAGAGCAGCGCGAGATGGCCTTGGCAGAGGTTTCCTGCAACTCCTCCTGCAGCTTCCCAGCTGCCTGGCCGACTCAGAGGTTACTGGAAATTCTTGACTGATCCCTTTTTTGAAGCGGGGTGTGTTTGGGTTCAGCATGTAGGGTTCAAGTTGCTTAGGATTCAATATGAGCACCCGACAATTTTGAAGGGGTGTTTGGGATTAGGAGCACCCCACTGTCCGAAAGGCCCTTGCTTTCTGAAATCCCGCATTTGGAATTCGAGTCAAACGCCCCAAGCGACCTTTGCGAAGATATTTGCTACACGTCCGTCCCCCACGTTCTGATGGTCTCGTGGTTAAGGGTATAACCGGATCTTGACTCCCATGAAAGCACCCACGAGAGTACCGGTGTGTGGCTGTAGGTGTTACAGGTGTCTTGTTGGGGCTGAAGCATGGACATCAATATAGCTTCTTCACACTCGACCATTTGAGAGCCTCATAACTCCAAAGTAGGGGCCTTAATAACTAGACTCGAACTTTTCAGGTACGTCATCTCAGAAGTATAGAAAGGCCACAAGAGGATATTGTTACAACAAACTCAAAATTATGCATTACTTCACTACAGCCTTGGACCCCAATCCACACAGTCCCAAGGACTCCCCAGACCGCAAGGAGTACCCTAAACCCTAAACCTGAACACCGAACCCCTGAATTCCTAGGCGCCAAGAAACAGCCGGAGCCCAAGAGCCCACCAACCTCAATGACTCAAGGAAACCGTGCACCCCAAAACCCTAAAACTTAAATCCCTAAACCCTAAACGCCAACCTTAGGGAAACCCCGGACTGCTAGGGTCTAGGCTTTGAGAGTCAATTAAGGGTTCGAAATTCTTATTTGCTATACCAAGGCTAGCCTTTTCCAGTGCCACTGGAGGCCCCCTAGTATGAGGGCTAAAGGCCCTAAACACCCAAGAGCACAAGACGCGCGACACAAAATCCGCAAACGTCCGAGAGAACCCTTCAACCTATTTTCGAGGTTTCCCCTCCCCTACACCCTAAAGCTCTGGAGGCCTCAAGCCCTACAACCCTGAATGCAGGTGTGTCCTAAACCTTTTCTTCAATCATTCCCTAAACCGTAAACCCTGAACACCCTATCGTAATCTGAACCCTGCCTAAACACCCGTAAACTCTAAACCCTTGATCTTTACTCTTAATCTTTCTTAAACTATTCCCCAAACCCAAAGCCCCAAAACCCTATCAACCCTATCTTAATCTAAGCCCTAAGCCCTAAAACAGAAAAAACCCTAAAACCCTAAATCCCCTAATGCCCTACAACCCTGAAGCCCTAAAGCCCTAATCCCTCACCCAAGGCACCTCCTGAAGCGCAAGGCGCTTCGTGGAGAGCTCTGCCAGGGCCTCCAAGCTCCGGGGGTTCTCCGGTTTTTTCACAGCAGTTTTTTGTCTGGCTTTAGGGTTGAAGGGTCGGAAGTTTAGGGGGTTTAGGGCTTAGGGGTTTAGTATTTAGGGGTTTGCATAAGGGCTTAGGGGTTTTAGGGTTTAAGGGTCTGCAGTTTAGCGGTTTTAGGGTTTAGGGTCTAAAGGTCTCCGGGGAGGGGCGGAAATACTTAGAACAGCGCTTGCTTTGGTTTTGGGTTTTCGGGTTTAGGGGCTTCACGGGTTTAGGGTTTAGGGCTTTAGGGGTTTGGGGTTCAGGGTTTATGCATGCATCCATTGCGGACTGTCCCGAAGCAACCACTTGAGGACTGACTACGTACAACACTGCGCCTTCAGTGTGCCTGACGGTGGGCACGCTTATGCGCATAAAAGATCTCATGAGGGGACCGGAAAGGGATCTGTGCCGCAACCGGTTCCTGTACAACTGTATAGCCCTCCTTGAGAACCTGCCGGTAGAGTCGGCCAGTGAAGTGCCGAAACAAACTATCACACACCACTCTTGCCGTATGGTACTGAGGCCTCATGCGCAGTGCTGGGACTTTGCATGGGACCCCGACGCATCGCAAAGCAAACTGTGAACTGAGCTTCCATGGGCATTTGCATGCAGAAAGAACTGCACGCAGAACGTGAGAAAAAACTAGCACTTGTGAAGTGAGAGGCTGAGCACACAAGGATATCTGAGGGCACTGGACCTGATGCACCCAAGCTGCCTTGACCGACACTTTGTCAAAAGGTGCAGGTCTGGCAGCTTTGTCCCACTTAGCAACATTAACTGGGGCTAACCAACCCGTTTCGGCAGTGAAAGCAAAATACATTTCCATCACCGAAAAACCTTGCTCATCTGGAACCCATCGATGCCGCGAGCACCAGTCGAATAACAGTTGCGCGAAAGGCGGGCACAACAAGAACACATCCCAGTTTGGGACATTATCTTTACCAGGAAAAACAACCCCTGCGTCAGCAGAAAGCATGCCGACTCTGTCTTGAAAGGTATTTTGCGAGGGGGGGCTTACATGCGGGTTTAAACTTACAGACTTACGGGTGTGGTGCTTAGTGTTGAAAACTTCCGCAACGCTTCTGTGCAGAGAATACACTTGCGCCTGTGCAGCGCGCGTGCCTTTTACAGCTTGCACAGCTTGACGGTGGCAGTCATTGACACGCTTGTCACTTCGAGAAAACACCGCTTTGGCATACTCATCTGCAACGCCGTTGTGGAACCAAAGCCACGCGTGTTGCTCATCAGGCGCTGAGCGCCAATCCTGATGACTTTTGACTTTCACGATCCGCCAAGTGCCACTGCAAGTTTTAAGTGCTTGGGAAATTTCGAACCATATATCAAGGTTGCTGTGTTTCCACAACTTCCTGATATCCCAGCCATGCTGCAAAAGCAAATTAAAACCTGCAACAGCAACTTCCGAATCGGAGTAAATAACCCCGCCATCCCCCAAAAGTACGGCTGCTGTTGTTCGTGTGATGTTCACCTGGCACATAATCATGCAGCATTTTGGCTTGGCTCAGCACCCCAGGTTCTGCAAGCACAACAGCCCAGGCAGACAGACTGAGGACTGGATCTGTCGGATGCAGAGTGGAACCATCTGTGAACAAGTGGACGTCTTCGCCTTCAAAAAACTTTGTGACAGTCTCGCAGGTACGGGTGCGCATCAAACTCTTAAACTGAAGCAACTCCGGTGGTTCTTGAAACAAACCCCATTGCAACTCAAAAGTGCTCAGAGTCGCAGGGAGCGTCAGCGATTCTCTGCAACTCAACGTAGCTGGGCAGTGCACAAGCATATGTTCAACTGTAAGCTCAGCTTTACAAAAAGGGCATAACAAATCTTCTGGTGCTGCAAAATGCTTCCGTCGCGATGCCGGCACTATGGCGCCACATGCGTAGTTTGCAACTTGAGCATCGTAACCGTGCCCAGTTTGAAGCAACTGCCGAACTAAACGAACCGAAAAACTTTGGAGACCCTCCAACCCTTGGTAACTTTGCACAACTCGTACAACTTCGCACTGCCAAGCCTCCAACCAGTGTTCATAAACAATATCCCAACTAGACAGAAGGATGCTAAGCTTAACTTGACCTGGCACTTCGACCCAACCATCCGGAAGGGGGATCCATCCTAAACTACGAATGTCCTTGAAGAAATACGTCAGAGGCCCTCCGCACTTGGACACACGGCTGTGTAGCAAGACATTCCAGGCACTACGAACGACAGGGTACAGGGCCCACATGCGCTTAAGCGTGGTCCAGCGCCGCCTAAAGACATGAATCCATGGCTCATAGATTTCACTTGCACCAAGCAAAGGCGCAAGGAAATGATTTCTTTGGTTTGCAGATCCCCAAACAGCTTTGTTGCATTTGCCTCGGAAGGTACCTAAAGCAGAAACGGACACCGAGCTCAGCTCCGACCCATACAAGGCTGACGGAAAAACAAACCGCGTCAAGCAGGCAACTTTCTTGGCGATACTCCAAGGCAGCACTTGAAGGCGCTCCAACTTAACTAAATTCTTATCCACTCGGCCCTGAAAGCCTTTCGCAGACGATGCTTTGCGGGTGCAAAACTGAACTCCTAAATCACCAAAATCATTAGCGACAGGAATAAAAACACCCTCAATAGAAAATCGGCGCAAAATGCCACGGAATTCCTTAGAAGTAGCATAAGCTATTGACTTGTCGGGCGACAGAGACATCCCTAAGTTTTTGGTGACGGAAGAGACGGTGCTGGTGGCCGCACAAGCAAGTTGAGGATCAGAAGCTTGTATACGCCAGTTATCAACGTATGATCGCAATGGTAAATCGTGGCAAGCTTGCACCTGACCGGACACTGCCCACGTGATGATTATCATGGACAAGACAGCGAGCGGGCATCCTTCAGGTACACCGGTCAAGCTAGTGCGTGGAGGAAACAGCTGACCACCAATGCGAAAGTGACGTCTTACACCGCTCAGGAAGTTTCCATAAGCGCTGACAACGGATGCGGGCCAACCAAGTCTTGATGCCAAGACACAAACTACTTCCCTGGAGATCGTATTATAAGCTTTGCTTAAGTCTAAAGAAAACCCTGCCACATGCTCGCCGGTGTGGAGTGCAAGTTCTAACTCATTCTGAAGAACCCATGCAAGGTCCATGGCAGACTTGCCTGGTACTGACCCGTACAGTTCTTCAGGAAACACAGGGCTGAGATGGGAATAAATTTTCGCAGCGATGCAGCGTGCCCATACACGATACAAAGTCGCTAGTACAGTGATAGGTCTACCATCTTTGGCACTGGTCGGGTGGGGAATCTTAGCAAGCAGTGCTACTGTAGCATCAAGCAACTTCTCAGGCCACTTACCTACGCGAGTTACAGTGTTGAATAAAGACAATAACATCTGCTGCAACACTTCTGGCATGGCTTTCAACTCTGGCATCGAAAAACCATCCAAACCCCTTGCTGTTCCCGTTTTGGACGTTCGCAAAGCCCACTGAAGCTCCGAAAGGGTGATTTCTGCATCAAAAGCTGGCATGACCGGCAAATGTTGAGCTAAAGTTTGGATAAAATCCATGTCAATTTCCTTTCTATTTAACCAAAACCCATCCCAGTATTTTGCAACAGAAGCAAAAACAGCCTCAGGCTCAGCGCACCAAGAATGCTGTTGTGCGGACTTACAATACATGGACTGACACATGGGCCGGTCCGAAGTTACGACACCTTTGTTAAAAGACACAACACCACACTTAACAGAACCAAAAGACCAAACTGTCCCTGGTATCGGCTCACTCCCGTGAACTAGTGTGAACTTGGCAGGTGAGCCTTTGCAAACTCGCCTTGGAGACACGTGAACGGTTTGAGAAGTTGTTATGCTGTGTAGTGGCGGCAGCTGCTCATCTTTAATGGCCCTGGCATGACAACGACCACCTGAAGACCAATCAACCTTCATGGCCTCCACTATGTGATGGGACTTTTGTCTCTTCACTACAGTATCCCACCATTCAGCTTCAGAACGTAGGGCATCCCCTACCTGACACAACCACACCTTATCTGGAATACCCAAAGGCACAAAGTCAACAATGTCATTGTTAAGAACCCATTCCCTAAACCCACCCGGGAAACCAGGAGCTTTACAGATCTTGCGCCACAAAATGTGGCAACCTGCGCAAGGCTGGACAGGACTCTTCGCACGAGCATGCGCCAACTCTAAAACCCATCGGACAACACGCAGACGCTTACCAACCAAAACCCTATCTGTGGCGAAAGAGCCATCAACTAAGGCACGGACGCGACCTGTGTTTAGGGGTTTAGGGTTTTAGAGTTGAGGGTTTACAGGGTTTGAGGGAATAATTGGGGGGGAGGGGACGGAGGAGGCTTCGGAAATAACTAGGGCTTGGGGCTTGAAGCGTTTAGGGTTGGGGGCAAATGGCAATGTACTTCCGGTGTATCTAAGAATATGCGTACACCTGGCAAAACACATAAGCAGACCTTGAACTATACAGGCATTCGGGGCTTTGCAGTCATCGGCTTGGTTTAGAGCTTAAGGGTTTCGGCGTTGGGCTTTTCTAGGGTTTCGGGCCTAGGGTATTGAAGGACTCGAGTCTCAAGCGTGATGCTGTCTGTTGCGGCATAGAGCTTTTGGAGTTTATATTTCTGGGCTTGGGCGGTAGGTACCCTTAAAGGAACCCTGAGGAATGGTAGATGATTATTACGAATGTTTCTGGGCTTGGGGGGGGGGGGTAGGGTTCCGGGTTTGGACTTCGCTGCTGAACTCTACAACCCTGAAGACCCTGAACTCCAAGCCCCTAAACCCAATCCTTAACCCAACCCCCTGAACTCTGAAGGCACCGATGTTACCCTTATAGATCCCTTATAGTAACCCTGATAGACCCCTTTATAAAGGAACCTTAAGGCATAGTAGGAAATTCTTATCAGGCCCCTGCATTAAACACTCAAAGCCCTGACACAAGGCCCTAAATCCTAAACCCTAAACCCTAAATCCTAAACCCTAAACCTTAAATCCTAAACCCTAAACCCTAAATCCTAAACCCTAAACCCTAAATCCCCTAAGCCCTGACCCAAGGCCGTTCTCGCCGCCTGCAGAGTCGCCTCCTCACGGCTCTTCAGCGCCTCCAATCGCTCGGCGCGCCGGGAGCCTTCCTCCCTCAAAGCCTCGGGATGGCTTGGGGTTTATTTAGGGTTTAGGGTTTAGGGTTTAGGGTTTATACGAGGGTTGTTTTTGTTTTAGGGCTTCGGGATTAGGGCTGAGTGTAGGTTCAAGCTGTAGGGTTTAGTTTTAGGTTGAGGTTTGGGGTTTCGGAAGTTTAGAGCTAAGGGTTTTGGGCTGAGGGAGTGCTTGGAGGCTTAGACTTAAAGGAACCGGTGGGGATGAGGATGAGGTCCTGGGGGGTTAGGGTCTTGTTGTTTGGGGCTTAGGGTCTTGTTGTGTCATATGGTTGAGATGGTAGGCTCCGGGGCTTAGAGTTCGGCTTAAAGGGCCAATCTTATGTCGTCCGCGTGAGGATGGGCCATCGGTGCAAACATAAGGTGTGAGGCTAACAAGAAATACAATATGTGAGGGCTGCGATGTGCTACGATCGAAGAAAATGCTAGCTAGCTGTTGGCTTTGAAGGGGTTTGGGGAGTACGAGCTTGTGGTTTTGCGGCTTGGATGTCTAAATTGGGCAAACTTCCTACATGCACTGTAGGTGAACTGTGGACTGGCGGGATTCAGGCCCCGCAATCCTATCCGGATAACTTAATTACTGTTCGACAAGGTGCCTCCAAGTTTGTACTAACCTTTTACCGCCTTAAACCGCACATGGAACCCCCCCGAGAATCACCTCAAGGAGCCCAGTCTGGAACCTCCTTCAAAAAGCCAAGCCTAACTTTTCCCGTGCGTGCCGAAGCACCAAGTCAAAGACCCTACACCTTGCATACATCTAGACTCTCAAGATATCGAGACCCGAACTGGGAACACTCCTGCACCTCGGCCCCCCACTCAACAACACAAAAAAGCCACACGATAATAGACTGTGTACTGTGTACAGTAACAAACATCCTAAACAGGATACATGAATAATGAAACTGAAACCAAAACACATCATTGAGTGTGCAAGTAGTTACCAGGAGTGAAGATACTGTACAAACGAACAACACAAGCTAACAAAACACGCACGCAAGAGCAAAACTAAACGACCCCAAACCCTAAACCTAAACCCGACACCCTGGTAAAAGCAACGTTGCGCCTCCAGCTCCTTGAGCGGTCCAGCCATCTCTTGGACCTGCAGGCGAAGTGGTCCGATTTAGGGTTTGGGGTTTGGGGTTTAGGGCTTAGGGTTTTGGGTTTAGGGTTCGAGGTTGAGGGTTTAGGGTTTGGGGTTACGGCCTTTGCAGCAAACTCCGTGTATGGCACGTAAGAGTGACTTATGTCGGGGGCAGGAAGGGGATGGTATGACCAAGTGTTCGGACCGCTAGAGTAGTAGGTTGCTGGATTACGGGTACTAGAGTCTGAGAGTGAGTTTCCAACTCTATGCCGGTTACTGTAGGATGATGCGCTTGAGAGTATTACGCCCGGTCGTCCTCAGTGACTGCTTGCACAAACCCCTAAACTCCTAAACCCTAAACCCTAAACTCCTAAACCCTAAACTCCTAAACTCCTAAACCCTAAACCCTAAGCCCTAAACTCCTAAACCCTAAACTCCGCCTAAACCCTAAACTCCTAAACTCTAAACTCCTTAACCCCAAACTCCTAAACCCCCAGGACCCCTTCGGACGTACGCCTCTTCCTCGATCTGCCGGCTCTGCTTCTCCAAGGCTTCGGAGTCCGCTTGCAGGGTGCTCACCGCGGCCTCTGTCGGGGGTAGTTAGGGTTCCTTTAAGGGTTGCTTTAAAGGCTCCTTTGAGGGTTGCTTTAGGGGCTCCTTACAAGGTTGACTTAACGGCTTCTTTAATGGTTCTGTAAGACAAGAGGCTTGAGGCGTAAATGTGGCTTAATTGTAGGATGCTATGGCTTGAAGATGAAGGTTTCGTGTTCACCATCGTCCTTTCTCAAAGAGGGGCGACCGTTTCAAGCTGGTGCTGCTAAAGGAGTAGGCTCTGGGACTCTCTTTCGCTGGGTTTGTTGCGTTCAGGTTTTTGGGCTGTACTCCGCGGAGGGCATGCCGGCGTTCTTACCTTTGGTTAGTAGGGAATGGAAGAACTGTGGTAATAGTAGTTATAATGTAATTACCCCATTCCTCCATTCCTTACTAACCAAAGGTAAGTGTTTCAAACTAGTTCTTGAGCTCCAGTCTCAGTATTTAGGGTTTCACGGCTTCTGGACACGCGTTCAGGCCTTACAATGACAATTTTGGCTAAACTCTCTTGTAAACCCTACTACACATCCAAAACGCCCACTAAAAGCCCGTACAAGCCCTATCCCCATCAAAGCTATAGCAAAAGCCGTGTTAGAAGTCCTGTAAGCCCTATTGTGAACCCTACGACCCATTAGAAACCGTATGTTTGGCTCGAGAATACTCCACATAAGCCCTAAAGATGTGCCATACACACCCGGTTAAAACCCTATAAACCCTTCTAGAAACCGTATAAACCCCATATAATGAACCCTATAATTCCTGTTAGCCCCATTATAAACCCTATAAACAATACTATAAACCCCAGAGCTCTCTGAGCCAAAGCCAGGCCTCCGCCTCGCAAAGGCGAAGGGCGGCCTCGTGCGCTTCCCTCGCGAGTGTGAGCTGCGAGGTGATCAGAACCTGCCGAAATGCGCTTCTCGGGCTTACTATAGGGTTTAGGGTATAGGGCTTAGGGTATATAGGGTGTAGGGTTTAGGGTATACAGGGTGTAAGGTTTAGGGTATAGGGCTCGTACCGAGATGTAATTTCGGGGCTTAAGATGATGTCCTAGAATACGGTATAGTATGGTGCAGCAAAGTATAGTGCAGCAAAAAATATGGTATTATCGACTCGGTGTACATGATACCATGTTTTGGTTTAGCACATGTAACTGATAGGTTAAAACTTAAAACTCCTGCCTTATGAATCAGGCGTCTACATTACTGGGCCCGTTTTGAGGCTTCAAGGTTGTGTTGCGTATAGCATTCTACAGAGTGTGTAAGCCAGGTCTCGGCACTATGGACGAGGCTCGAAAGGCTTGAGAAGAAGGTGCTCGATTAGGCATGGCTTAAAGGGTCGAGCCGTAATCTTCGCAGCGGCTTCAGCCTTAAACCCAAGACCCCTTGAGCTTAAACCTATAAGCACCAAACCCCTAAACCCAAAATCCCTAAACTTTCAGTTCTATTACATTACAGTCCCTCCGCGAGTGAAAGTCACAAAGGTCCGTGCCGCAACCGTCTGAACAACGCTCTGCCCGCGGCGCATTAAGACTCTGACCAACACCACAAGATGCACACGCCAAGTATCTTGTGTAGTCACTTATAAGCCACCTTGCACAGTTTGGATAACCATACAATGCAAGGTAAAAGGTTGAAACAGCGAAGTTGAGTGCATGTTCATCACATCTTCAGACATCACAACCCTTCCCTGATGACTTCGCAGACGCCTCGCTGCCCTCCAGCGGCGCAGCAGTTGAAACATCGGCCTTGCAGATTTAGGTCATGAAGCACTTAATATTTAGGGTCGTTGGCGCTGCTTGTGGCTGCAAACCGATGGAAATGCTTCAATTCCTCGCAGGCCATGCTCTTGGGAATCCGGGTGCCGTCTGCGGTTCCCTGACGTGCAGTGTTTCCCACTGCTTCAATGGAAATTCATGCAAATTTTCGGGACCCCCAAATTAGATGTGGCATTCTGACGAGGCAGGAAACTTAATCCAAAGCACTGATATTTGACCTGAGCCCTAGTCTCTGAACCCGACGTGAGGTAGGACTGACAGATTGCTGTGCTATTCATAAAGGGAGTGCTTCCTTTGACATCGCTTCTTTTTCAGACTTCTGTTCAATGCTATGCCGAGAAATGCTTTGAAGAACGCGCACCTTTGCAAAGAAGCCTCCGGTGGCTGGCAACTAACAATGAGCATAACAATGCACACGAAACCTCAGAGCACTTTCGAGCACTTTGAGGTTACAAACTGTCTCAAATACGGGCGACCACAAGGGGAAAGCCAGGCCTCGCCCTTCTCCAGCCGATCTTCCGGCCAAGCGGCGTCGCCCTCCTGGTGCCAGAGGCCGAAGCAGCGATGGTCTCTGGATGGGGCCGGCACTCAAATAGGCTCTTAAGATGTTTACTGAGGCTTTATTTAACTTACTTGAAACCCTAGATCCACAACCCTAGGAGGTCTCACACTCTCACTGCTTTCCATCCAACCTGAACTCTACCTATCTCCTGAAAAAGCCCCACAGCCTCGATCCGACTCCTTGGAACCTCAGACCTAAATCCTAGGAGCAGAGCAGAGAAGAACCTCACATCTGTGGGTTTCGGTGAGGCTTCTATACGGGGGAGGTCCATCAGGTTTACGCATTTACGCTTTCGGGCTTTCGGCTTTTGACCCACAAAAGTTCTGATAACAACAGCCTGTAAAGGCCCTAAAGTTCGGCACCCTACCGCGTAGAACCTTGCAAACCCTCCCAACCCCCAAAACTCTCGGTATACTCAAGTGACTCTAATGGCCTCAAAAAATCTGACCGGAAAGTCCGTGTAGAACCCGAAGCCCTAAACAACCCGAGATCCCACTCCCGAAAGCCTTGACCCCAAGCCGCTCCTTCTTCGGGCTCGGCCCAGAGCCAAATGCGAGAGTTGTAGAGACCCGGGACCTGATTGGAAGCTCAGATCTTTCCCCTTCTTGGGGTTCCTAGACCCCAGGAGTCTAGGGTCTAGGATTTCGCGGGTAAGGATCCCTTCGTGGTGTTCCTTGAAGGGTTCCTTTCAGGGGTTTCTGCAAGGATCCCTTTATGGGGTTCGGTAGAAAAGTTTAGGGCTCGAGGGGTTTAGCTAAGATCTTTCCCCTTCTTGTGGTTCCCAGACCCCAGGAGTCTAGGGTCTAGGATTTCGGGGGTAAGGATCCCTTCGTGGTGTTCCTTGAAGGGTTCCTTTCAGGGTTTCTGCAAGGATCCCTTTATGGGGTTCGGTAGAAAAGTTTAGGGCTCGAGGGGTTTAGCCTTTGGGTCCTTGCGGTTTCAGGGTGTTCAGGGTTGAGGGTCTGGGAGTTTGGAGCTCCGAGATCAGCTGCCCATAATATGTATACATGTATATATACACATACATATATGTGTGAACTGTATAAACATATCATACAACAATAATATAGTATAAGATAATTCGTAACAACTATCGGTAGCTACCATAAAAATCAACATTCCGTAAGTCAAAGCCCAACCTAGGTTTCTCAACTACGAGAGTCTGGGCCCCATAGACCCCAAAAGCCCCAAACCCTGTAAACTCTACCCATAGGCTCCATACTAGTTCCTTTTTGGGAATATAGGATTCTAAATATGAACCACAAAGAGGAACTACTATGGATCTCTAGGTAAACCCCCCAAAAAAAGCCACCCAAAGACCGCGCTGGGAACAAGACAGCGCGCTCCACGAACTCTGCAGACTCGCGTTGGCATCCTCTCGGCTGGGTTTAGGGACCCAGTGAGGCACACAGAAACTTGACGATCCTACCTTTACCACGCGCGGGATTCTAGAAAGCTGCTCTTGTGGGTCAGATCTCTGTGGCGAGGCTTGACTTCCAGTCTAAAGCCCTCATCTGGACACAACAGTGCGCCGTGTCGGCGTGTGTTTTCGAGGTTTCTATTGTGGTAGATCCTTGTCGAGCTTTCCTTGATGTCGACACTCCACACTCCCAAACTCTAAGGCTGTGGGGCTTCACCACTTTGACGAAGGTTTGGGACGAGGGAAGAGTTCCGACGAAAGACCCTAAATACAAACTGGGTTTAGGGATTGGGTCCCCGAACTACCCGAACCCTAATTAAGCCCCTAACACGAAATATCTTGACCCCGAACTCAACCGCGAAATCTCTCGACCTAAATCCCTAGAGCCCTAAATCCTAGTCCTACAAAGCCCGAATCCCTTGCAGCCGAGAGAGGGCCTTTTCTTGTCACGAAAAAATGGTTGAAGAACCCAACGCCTGAACCCCAATGTCTGTCATTGGCATCTCCAGATTAAGATTCCTGCTGCTGAGAGTTGAACTGTGGATCGCACTTTGATAGAATTCCTAGCATAAAAATCATTGGTAACACTGACATCATCACGATGATGCGAACAAATGAGAAATGACTTGTGTTTGTCAAACTGAAGACTAAGAAGCAACAAACGTTAGAAGTTATAAGTACCAATCCTGATAACAGCAAAGATGGTCATGCGCATGCTTTGCATATGTCTACTATCCTGACGAGAGAAGTTAGACTGACATAACCCCTGGTCACAAGAAGGCAGCGGGTCCTGCGCTTGCGAGATCTGCATCTCGAGTCGCTGCTGCTGCCTCCTGAGATCTGTAGCCTTGAGACGAAGTTAAGGGTCTAGGTCTATAGGGTATAGGGGTAGATTTTGACTGCGGATTGAGGCTTGGGATACGGGTAGTTGAAGGTCGTGCGTTGAGGGTGAGGAGGGTTTACGAATTCTGCTTGAAGATTGTTGGGGCTCAGGGTTGAATGTAGTGGTTCGGGGTGCTAGCGTTGGGGATTATAAGTTGGTTTGACAAAACCATGCAAAACCTCAAAGTTTAGGCTTAAGGTTCAGGGATGCTGGCATAGGAATGTTTAGGTTCGAGAGCATAATGTCAAACAAACATGCCAAGAACTAAAGCACCTTCAACAAAAGACTGTAAGCCTAAATAAGTGAAAGCACCACTTGGGGCAGTTGATCACCATATAACATCCTAAAATCTTGGCCGTGCCCCAACCTCCGCACATCACACGTTGGCTCACTCAGACCTAGATCTTGATTGCAAATACCTTCTTGAACGCCAAAAACACTCGAAGCCTCCTCCCTCCTGTCGCATCAAAACCCATGACACTGCTTCCCATGCCCGGAGGCCTCCTTCAGCAGGGAGAAGATCTCCTTCTGCTGGAAATCCTCCTCCACGGGCTCCGGCACCTGCTGAAAGGCAAAACTCCAACTAGAACTGATACATTGGAACATTGGCATCCACGAATCTTGAAGCTCGGAACAGCAAAAACAACGGTGTAATGACTTCTGTTTCTATCTTGCAATCGTATGGCCTCGTTGCGGTGTGTTGATGGCTTCAATGTTTATGTAAGATCCCAAGGCCCTGAACACCCTCGGCCAGAATGTTTAGTACTTGACATGGGAGAACCATCTTTTCGGGCTCAGAGTGTCCGCTAATGGGCATCCGCGGGATTTGCTTAGATTGAGGACTTGGGGGGTCCACCGGTAATCATAAGAGATCTTTCAGGCTGGTCACCGACAAAATGCGATTACAACAGGTAGTTCGAAGCATTGCAAGTTCAAAACATACCCGGCTTCAGAAGCCCAGCCTGCACCGGAGGTATGGCCACCGGTTCAGACAGGCGAAAGCCTCGAACGAATGAAAACAATCAAGATCAACTGCATTGATGCGACCAACCCCCACGGCAGTGTCTGTCCTGCATGATGCTCTAGCATGGTCGCAAGAGACACACCTTCTCAGCAAGTACAGACGAGCAGTGAATCCGTGTCCACTATCTTGGCGTGCGAAGCCTGCCTAAGGCCGTGCGATATTAGGAGGGTCTCGCAAACTGTCGATGTCGCGTAGCAACTCTGAATTGGCTTTGCTACTTCCACTAAGAAATGCATGAAGCTCCGGCATGGCGCGCGTCACCAGGCCTCAGCGTGGCACACTCCTCCCACTTTGATAAGAATACCGGGGGGCGTGCAACATCCAGTCATTGGCCATTGTGGCTGTTCTTCTGAAGATTGCATATGCCGGCAGTATCAAGCAAGCATCCATGCCAGAAAACCAGAGCATCCATGCTGACCATGATAACGTCCATGTTACCAGGACGACCAACAATCTTCATGAGTTCGCTTGCCGAAACCCATATGACTGAATTAACTATGAACCCCGCGCAATAGGCCCTCGTCAACATTGCCTAAATCCGAGGCCCACGGCGATGAAGTTGACAATATATCAACGAGATCAAGGCTGGGAGGTCGTCGGTGTGAAGTAGCGCAGGCTTCTAGTGCCAAAGGTCCATCCTCAAAAACACATCCACTTGCCAACAATCATAAGGAGTCCTAATACAGATTCGTGGAGCACAGGTCTAAAAACGGAATAACTACTCTTGCCGAACAGACAGACATACCCAACATACACAAGCACATACATGCGCATACATGACTGTCTCTTTCTTGTTCTGTCGCTCTCTCTTTCCTTCTCTCTCCCTCTCTCTCTCTCTCTTTATCTGTCTCTCTCTCTCTCTCTCTCTCTTTATCTGTCTCTCTCTCTCTCTCTTTATCTGTCTCTCTCTCTCTCTCTTTTTATCTGTCTCTCTCTCTCTCTCTCTCTCTCTCTCGCGATATATATATATATATATATGTATGTATACATATCGTACATTTCTACGCGTCAGGTACAGTAGACACTTGTACACATGCGAAGGGTAAGGTTGTGGATGTAATAAAATATTGGGGTTAAGTCTGCAAGGATCAAGTTTTCGAGAACCCGAAGAATAGCATTACAAACTAACTATCCCCGCAGCCTTCTATACTACCCTGCAGATGAGACATGTAAGAGCTGCTCGCCACTTAGGGGCGCTTTAAGATCCCCGAAACATCACGCCAGAGGCCTAGATAACCGCATGCATGTCAGAAGCCCCCGACTGCCCCGCCCACGGTGTACTCTTGCTGCAAGGCTGCTTATATAGGGGCCTTGATAATTACCTGTTTTGGGGGTTCCTTATTATAACTATTAGTATGATGGGCTTCAAAACCCTCTCCTAACTATTACGGCCCCTATATTAGAGTGCCAGAGTCTACCAGAATAACATCGAAGCAGCGTGCTCTGCACTCATTGAAATAAAGGATTCTTTGGCATGCTGATCAACCTTCCCCAAGACTACAATCCGGGACCTGTGCAATAAGCCATACCTGCTCGCTCAATCACGTCATATCCGTCTACATGCAAATGTTGTCGAAGCCCTTAATTGTACACTGGTTGTCAGACCAGCTTTTAGAAATACAAAAGCCCAGAGCACCCCCCAACCCCACACCGCTCTCGAGCCCTGCACGACAGCACTGAATCATGACGCTGAACCCTTGCAGTCTCAAGAAACATAAAACAGCTGAGACACTCAAACCCAATACCCACAACTCTAAAACCCGTGAACCTTAAACGCCTTAAGCCCTGAACGCCTAAAGCCATGAATCTCAAACGAACATGCGCCCGAACCGCACCCAATCGGCCTTCAGCCAACATGCGTGGTCACAGGGATGCATGGGCTGCTGGATCTAGGATCCAACTCCATCGCTCAAGGCATAGGACTGTAACTGCATCGTTGAAGGTTGTAGGGTTCAGGGCTTTGGGGTTTCGGGTTTAGGGCTGTAGGATTGTAGGCTGTCAGGGTAGTTTAGGGCTTACTGTAGGATTCGGGCTTTGGGTGCAAAGCTGAGGGTTCAGGTGGAGGATTCTGGAAGCTTGAGTCCTTGGATTTCGGCTCTGGATTTTATGGTTTAGGTTGGAGGGTTTGGGGTTTTGGGCCGTTGGGGGTTTAGGATGTAGGGTGACTTGGTTTGGGGCCTTGTAGGGTTTACGGTGAGATGTTGAAGCTTGCGTGCAGACGTACAAAGGTGCGGTTTGACTTCGGCACTGGCTTGTTTCAGATCTTGTTTCAATGGCATGAGGCCTAGCAAAAGGGTTATTTAGGGTTCGGGTATAAAGATCTGTCCCCGGAGTTTGGGGTAAATCTGAATGTCGTCCCTGCTGGTGGATTGAAAAGCGAGCATCAGGTCACGCATTGAACGAACAATTCTCAGTTGGACTTGCCTTGTTCGAAGCTCCCAGTCCGACACACTGTGCCCATAGGGTTTCGATTCACAAAGACCCCAACCCGACGGGTCCTCATTCCAAAAGTTAGGTGGCACCCATAGGGTTCCGATATGTGCTGTTTGAGTATCTGGGCATGTATGGAAACGGCACAGACACTTAAATCAAAATTGAACCAGCAGTCCTGAATACCCGAAATCCCCAGTCCAGCTAGTGCATGCAGGTGGCTGTCAAAATTAGGGTTCCTTTTTGGGTACCCTAGATAAAAGGTGCCGTATTATAATAGGGACCCAAAACGGACCATGATTTTGACAACCGCCCATGTCTGACGTGGCATCCCAAACCTCTCATGACCAAAATTCTCAGTTTGGGATCCTGGAAGGAGCTTTGGCTTCAGTTTCAGGGATTTGGAAGGGCTTCACAAGAAGAGCATGTAGTGTAGGAACCTGATTAAGAAATCTTGGGGCTTTATAAGGGTTCCTTATATGAATCCGACTATTTTGGGGTTATAGGCCCAGGATTTCTTAATCAGGTTCCTACATTACCGGCATGTACCCCAGACACCCTAACTCCAAACCCTCAAACCAAACCCTAAACCTTGAGGGCTTGCTGCTTCCGGGTTACAGCTCGCAGTTCCCCTAAACCCTAGACCCAAGAGTAGCCTGGGAATAAAAAGGGTGCCCTTTTTGGCTTCAAGGGGCTTATAAGGGAACCTGAACCCTGCAAAAAGGGAATAAGGGCCTACTCCAGGTCCTAGAACGCTAAACCCAAAGAGAGCGCCAGGTTGCGCAGGCCTTCCGTCTAAGCCAGTTCCCCCAGTGCGGGTCCTGAAAGCGTTGGGCTGACAAACTCTGGGCAACGGCTAAGGGTTTATGGTTGAGGGTTTAGGGTTTAGGGTTCAGGGTCATTCGTCTTATCCAAAATACGAGGACTTTAGAGGGGCTCATAAGGCTTCTGCAAAGGCTTAGGGCTTGGATTTGAATGGCTCAGTGGACGAGATCCAGTGTTGACGGTCGGGGATCGAAGTTTCAGAAGCTCGCGATTTAGGATTCTAGGGCACGGGGTTTGGGACTTCTTGGAGCAATTCCGGTTTCACATGAGGGAACTCTTATCACCGAAGGGAACACTAAGCAGCCAAATGTCTGTGCAAAATGCCAGATGGTCTCCCCTCGCCTGGGACTGAATTTGTCGTTCGCCTTGCCGACACTACGACATGTAGGTATTCAAGACTCCGGAACCCATGATGCGGCCTTTTCCAGTAAGGAACTACAGAATTTCCCGGCGTGCATCGTCATGAACACCATGTATCACCATCATCCACGCCAGCAACATCATCATCACCACCGCTGTCAACACACGACGCAGCAAGTCTTAAAGTGTCAGGACGCACTGCTCTCGGACCCAACAAAGGCTGAACCGTTGCCGACTGACAAGGCCATGCTCACAGCTTGGGGCTTAGATTTGAGCCGAAATCCTGAGCCCGACACACCCAATGCAGAAACCTGCGCCGAGATGTGCTTGAAACCCAGCGCTGGGGACGAGGCAGCATGCAACGAGCCCATTTCCAGCAGCATGGCCTCAGTCGGCAGTATGCTGAGCACGGGAAACTTTAGCAATTGGCCGAGATGCTTGGGTTGAAGTTTCTGCAGGTAACTCACCTGACGAAGGGATTACTTGGTTGTCATATGTATGCTTCGTACGAATGCTACTTAATACATTGCCGGGGTAGCACATCTGCACGCCTGTGTCAACAACGTGGTGATGCGAAAGGTAAAACATTAGCTGAATCTGAAAGCCAAACCTCCGTCCTGAGCAGGCCCCTGCAATAATCCCCCCCGTATGCCCGTCAAGGAACCCTAATATCGCGACGCCTATATTCCCAGCCTCCAAATCCAGCATTCCACGCACCCTAAACCCTAAGCCGTGATTCCAAACAGCTGAGGCTGAAGCCAGGTACGTCGTCATTGCGACACCCTGCAGCCGCTTCGCCTGGGAAACATCTGTCCGAAACAGCTTTCTCACTACGTTTTATAGCGGCAGGGCTTCAGGGTTTCAAGTTTAAAGCTGAGGGTACAGGGCTTAGCGTTTAGGCAGTTTGGGTAGTTAGTGCAAGGGTGACTTTCTCTTCACAGAAGTCAAGCTTCAGTCACAACTTTGCCTGCACCTGGAACTGACTGCATTTGATGGCTTTGGGGTTTTGGGCTCACGATTTGTTACAACTGCGACAAGGACCACCGATGCTACGGACTGTTTGGGCTTCAGACTTGCTAGTGCGTATTACAAACTATGATCATTGTTGCGTTCCTCTTGTGGGTTTACGGTCTAGGGTCTAGGGTTTGTTAGTTGCCTGACGGCCTTTGCTTGTAGTCTGTTGAACACCAGGCACATCTGCGCGATTGCCACCAAGCCGTGGTGGACACCCCAAAGCCTGAACTCCGCTGAACCGCGAAAGCAGATACGATAAGCCGCGAGACTCTAAACCCCAAACCCTCAGCCCTAAAACTCTAAACCCTATGCCCGAAAAACCTGAAAGCCGAAAATCATACAACTTAATAGCCCTAAATCCCAACCTGAGGTTTCGGATGCCGGTTCAACGGTCGGGCAGGGCATTCCTTATCAAGTTGCTGCTTGGAGCGGCGGCAGCGACTGCTTTTGGGTCTTTACTGTAGCCGCCTGAATAATGGGAATCGGGTTTTGGGGGGTTCCTTATTACAGTTATAGAATCATGTACCCCCAAAACCCTATTCTTATTATTAAGGCCCCTATGTTTCTGGCAGGGTCCAGCCTTCAGAATCATTATTCCCACGGTCCTGCGGTCTTCTGCCGTCAAGCCTCAACATTCTCACCACTGTCCGGGTCCTTACAGATCCCTTGTAGAACAGACCCTCATCACAGTCAACTTGAATGCCAAACTGAAATCGACTTAACAAGAAACTAGGACCCTTCTAGAACCCCTCTCTAACCCGCGCAATCGATCCCCGACAGAACCCTTAATTATAGCTACAGATCCCTGAACAAACCTAAAGGCCACTATACCCAAACAGTATCTACGTTAGCCCTGCCTGTGGACCCTAGGAATCCCCAAAGGAAGCCTTCCGGAGCCTCAAGAGGAATCCTTCCGCACAGGGCACCTCCTCGAGGTCTCGCGCAGCGATGGCCTCCAAGCGTTCTCCGGCGACCCACTCAGTGACCTCAGGGAATCGGGACGCAGGGCTGCGGGCTTGGGATGCTGCATGGTCTTTAGCATGAATGGGTTCCAGCTTGCGCAGAACCCCATCATGACGGAACCGCAGTTAGGAACGCGGCCGTGATTTGGAGGGCAAGAAAGGTGGAGTTGGCTCTGAGGAGTGCAGAAATCATGGCTAAGGATTTATAGGGGAAGGCCGGAAAATTCAATTTTCAGGGCTTGTTGGGTTGGGCTTAATTACAGCTTGGCCGGCGCTGGCTTGTGCTCCTAGACCCCAAACCTTGACCCTTTCGGCCAAACTATGCTAAACTAGCATTGTGTTTCGAAGGATGTGACACCCACCCGAACAAAACAGGAAAAGCATTCTGATTCGACACCTGGCGAACATCCAAAGTTCCTGAAGGCCGATGTACCCATCCATATGACTTCGGTTTAGACCGCTTGGCGAAAAGGTCAGAGTTTGGGGATGACTCCTGAGTTCCAAATGCTCAACCTCGAGCAATGAGTGCCGGACCAGCACAGAGGCAGTTGTCAGCTCAGTCACCTGCGTTTTGTTCTGAGCCCGAAAGACCTAAACCCTTATAACCTTTCAAACCCTACGCACTAAACCCTAAAAAAAACAAACTAGACCCGAGAGTACAACATTTCTCACATAGCATCGTCTACAGAGCAGGGCAGTTCGTCTTCTAACCCTACACAAGCCCTAAACCCCTCCCTGTTCGGCAGGTTCCAAAGGCTTCGTGCAGCTTGCAGCTAGTCTGGTCAAAGTGAAAAGAACAGCCACCGCAATGCAGACAAAGTAGTAGCAACACCGATACATGTACATGCAGTGATCAAAACCCTCTGAAAGCCTCAGCCCTAAACACCCTTCAGTTGACTCCTTGCAACCCTTTCAGCCCTCTCCCCCAGACCCTGACCTTCAGGCAGCTCAAACCCAAAATGAGTCCTCGCCTCCTCGCCCCCTCTGCTACATATTGCAGGGCTTGAGGTTTATTACGGTATGTTTCTTAAACTTACTCTGGGTTTCTTTCAATCCAACACACTAAACCCCATCACCCAAAAGCCCTTAGAACCTTAAGAAGCACGGGCCCTGAAATCCCCGCGCACCGGTTTCGCTGCGGTCACGGAGTTGAGCTCGAGATCGTGGACGTGCTGTCGGAACTCGCTCGCACGCTCTGCCTTCGCACGGGTTTCGGTTTACTAGGGATAGAGTCAACGGCTTATTAGCGTTCTATCAGCCGGCTCAAGGGTTACTGTAAGAGGGTTAAAAGGTAGTGATGGGCGCGGCAGAGCTGCGGAAGGCTCCTTGGATGCACTTGATCCGTTTGCAACTTCTACATCGATCTTTTGACCAACCCTAACTTGATTTCCAGCTTACCTATAGTCTCCATTGTAGTTCCTTTGAGGGGTTACCTTATAGGATCCTAATTATATTACAATGGAGACTATAGGTGTTTCTAGTCTTCATGTCCGGATAACATCAATTCTGTTCCCAAGATTCCGCGGTTTCGGCATGGACTCTGGGAAGAAGGGCCAGGGGTCTGATGGAGCCGGGAGTGCTTGGAGGATCAGGGGGACTTAGTAAGTAAGTATATAAGTGGGGTTATAAGTAATCATAGCTAATAAACTATTCTAACCCCGATTACTAAGTGCCATGATCCTCCAAGTGGAGACTCGAGAATCTGGAGACGTCTCGAGAAATACACAATGTTTTTCGGAGTCTGCTAGATTTTCTGCGGCTTGGCAGAGACTTTTGAATTTGCCGAACTGGAGACTAATTTAATTTGGAGTTCTAACTGCCAACTACACATGTTCAATAAGCTGCTTCTTAAACGGGCGCCCGGCACTACTGAAACGGTTCTAAGACAGGTTGCGGTTTAGGGTTTACAAGTTTACCTGCCCTCAAGACTTCACAGTTTCCGGGCTGGGTATAGACTTTGAGGGACTTGGCGTGACATGTCGGTGATGCGGCGGAACACCACTAAAGCTCTCTAAGGCAAGTCGCAGCCGCAGCTCTCGAGCAAACAGAGTATATATATACATCTTCAGGATGGGCGACACGGAGGATCCCATGTAGCTACCGACGCTTTACCAGCAGTGTACAAAGTCTTACTACTGACCTCTCCTGCATCAGAAATCCCGCAACATCAAAAGGGCAGAAGAGTCCCCGAACAACAGCCTCCTAGAATTGCGCTGACAATGGGAATTCCCAGCTTCGAGGAGCACATCCGATCCCGGGTCAGCCAGCGGTAGTTCTGAAGCAAATGGAGCACCCGGATGGTCTGGATTTCCATATCCCCGACCCCCAAATGCCAAACCCTTCTCCCCGGCTGCCTCCCTTCGGAAATCGAGCTCATCCACCAGACGGCTTCCGTACTCGTCCACAAGCGAAGGCAACTGCAGGGGGACAAGACGTTCACACTTACAGTAGAGACTTGGGGTTTGAGCTTTCGCGATTTAAGTTTTCAGGCGTGTAATGTCTCAAGGTTGAAGGCTCAGGGTCACGTGTTCTTGGATCTTTGGCGTAGAGGGTCAAGATCGCAAGTGCAACGACACCGATCATTCTCCCAAACTCCTGCGCCCTAAACCTCTCAAACCTCAAACGCACACCCGAAAGCCCACCGGAGATCGGTATCTGTGTCGAGAGTTTGAACTGACGCATGGAGAAGGAAGCCTTCGAGCATTCCACCCCCGAGCATCCGAGGCAAAGGGGGGAAATCCGGGAGGCGAGAAAAAAACAGAATCGCCCTGGCAGGCCCTGGCTTTAAGCCTCCGGGGCGGGACAAACAATGAAACCTCTCGTCTCGCAGAGAAGTCTCCACACCCGCCCCGGATGCTCACTCACTTACTCACTCACTCACGACGGCAGGCTTGCAAACTAGGAGGAGGGAGAAGGCGGGGAAAGCAAATATGGCTAATGTACGGGGTTGGGTTGGGGTGTAGGTTTTTTTTTTTTGGGGGGGGGCTAGGGTGCAGGGCTCCACGGGCATCTTGATGTGAACCAGCAAAGCTGGAACAGTACCCACTACAGTCACTACCGGTTGGCATGCCGCCCTTGCAGAAATAGCATACGCTGGACAAGAATGACGGCCGAACTAAAGCCAAAAGCCCTCAACACTGAAACAGACACCCTGAACCCTGGCAGGCAAAGCAGGGGGTGCGCACATCAGTGTTGAGGCGAAACCATCGTTGAGCGGCTCCAGCCATCAAGCGAAGTATGTACCTGCCAGAGAAGGTCTTGCTTCTTAAAGGCTTAGAAAGTGTTGGTTCAGAGTGACAAATAAGGCGTTCAATGATTGGAAAATGCAACTCAAGACGACGTAGCAATAGGGCATTCTGATCGAACCAAACCGTGCCAAGAACAATTCTGTCACTCCATGTCACTTCCGTCCTTTCGTCACAGACATTGCAGACATTAGCTGCAACCAGCAACACGCCCCTGAAGCCTAACCCTGATCCAGCAGCCCGAAGCCCAAACCCCTGCATCCTAAACCACGAACCCTGAACACTGAATCCTCAACCCCGAACGCCCTAAAACGACCCACTTCCTCAGTGACTTGAAAGCCTTCGAAACAGTTGCAAGCCGAGGCACAAATCTATACAAATCTCCGGCCGGATCGACGGCCTTCGCGAAATTTCGTCTCGGATTTAGGAATGATGGCTGAAGGTCTTAGGGAGGGGTACCTTGTTGAGGGAGGCGCATAAGAACCATCATGCTCGGGTCTAGATTGGGATGTGCCTGTGGACGTCAATGTGTGGATGCGTACGTGTCACTGTGTATGTACTCGCAAGACATGTGCAAACATCATAGTGGGACCGCCCGGTTTCCTGCGCGGAATGCGAACCTAATCTTGCGGGTTTTAGCCAGGGTTTGGCCACGTTGGCCTTTGCGCGTCCTTGCCTTTTTTCTGCCGTCTCTGTCTTATAAGCTGAGAAAATTATCCGACGAACGATCCTGCGAAGTTTGTCGAAGCATTGCCATTGGCAATACGTGCGGAACTCCGAGTCGGCAAATCTCGACTCCAGAGCAACTCATGGGTTTAGGGTTTAGGGTTTAGGGTTAAGGGTTTAGGGTTTAGGGTTTAGGGTTTAGGATCAGAGATGTACTGACTTACCTTTGGTTAGTAGAGAATGGAGGAATGGGGTACAATCATGACTTATGACTACCATTACTACCATTCTTCCATTCCCTACTAACCAAAGGTAAGGAGAGCAACTGGTGGGTGATCAGACATGTAATGCTGGGTCTAGGGTCCGAGGCTTAGGATCAGAGGGTTTAGGGTTTAGCCATTGGATTGAACTGGCTCATCTTTTGTTGACTAGTGTGGGAACTCTAACTTGATGTTCTCATGCTGGATGTCTTCCCCGGAGCCTTGCATTCTTAGAAAGAGTTCTAGCGAGCTTGGGGTGGGCCATTCACCCTAAACCATAGAACCCTAAACCCTGTAAAGCCTAAAACCCTAAGGCTCCAAACTCTATGCCTGAATGCCAGCAGAAATTGCTGGGATTTCGGTGAAACGAAACGCAACGCATCTCTGCGCTTGCTGGGGCTTCTGAAAAGTGAGGGGTCCTCTCCGCTCCATTAGGGTTTACAGCTTCGGGCTTAGGGCCTTAGTAGACTGCCGTTTTGCAGCCGCGTTTTTCGTTCTAAACTCGATCGAAATGGAAACCAGAGGGTGTTTCCTTGGGCCTGGGCAAACGGCAGAGACGCACTTCACCAAAGGCTTGTGTGCACCATGACCTCGCGCTCACTGCTGCGAGGAAAGCTGATGCGGTACCTGAGAAAAGGCTTATAGGGTGGATTTAGGGTTTAGGGCTTAGGGCCTGCAGTCACGCGCCTTTGCGGATGCCAAGCTGGTAGCAACTGCCGGATCTACTTGAACAACAGAGCGACACCAAGATAGAACAAGCTTTCACATGTCTGGTGGATTGACATCTACACCACTCTCCGTAATATGTTCGTATGTTCGTCTCAAGCTAAACAGACCGAAACATACTGAGAAGAGAGCTGCAAGTAGCAGTAGCAGGTATGTCCACACATCCCATGACTCAACTTGGTCCCGAAGGGCGGTCGAAACAAGACGCGTTGGGCATTTGCTGCTTCTCAAACTTTAGAACCTTATCAAGTCGTTAGTGTACTGGGGATCCTGCTGTTTCTGAAGCTGCAGCACATATAACTCATTCGTTTGCAGAAGACTTCGGGTCGTGGCATAAGTAACGATTCCGTAGATCCCTATCTCAATGATCCAACTCGTACCGAAGTCAGCCGAAGTCGGGCAAACGGCCGAAAGTCATCCAAACGCAATTTTACGCCCCCCCAAACCGAATTTCACACGAAGAAACCAGCCCCCAGGTCTAAGATTCTAGGGTCTACGAGACCTTCAGCCCATAACCTATCATAACCTTAAACCCTAACCCCTCTAGTCGTGTGTAAGTTGGCACCTCTGTGACTCAAGATGAAGCTTTGGCCTTATAAGCCCGGAAACCTGAGGTCAAAAGCCGACACCCTGCCCTACCAAACCCTGCATATCGGAGGCCTGGACACTTAACCCTGAAATTATGAACACTAAACCCCAGAGCGACAATTTAGTACCGCATAGTAACCCCTACAAGACCCTGATAATATCGGAGAAGACCCCCCAACTAAACCCTGAAAATCCCTAAACCCCAAGCCATAAAAAATGTCTTTGAGATCCTGGCTCGCATTCCTGCTCCTCCCGGATGGCGCGGAGACGAGGCGTAAAGGAGGCCAGCACGTCCTCTCCAGGGCTAGGAGATCAATAGTGTAGAGTTTCGTAGGGGCTCTATAAGGTGTTCTGCGGGATTATTGGGAGGATTATGGGGAGCGCATAAGGTCAGAAGTATATACCTGAACTAGAGTTAGCATGAGTTAGCAACGGTATGGTTGCCTTACTTATTACCCTAGCTATTAAGTCCTATGATCCTCTTCGTCTCAAAGAAAGCTTCAGATCTTCTGACCTCGAGCAGAGAGGCCCCTAAGCTCCCCAAGCTCCAAGAGTTTAAGGCTGAGGCTTCTCGTGTCCCAATCCGAACCATGCTCCCCTTACTTCTGGGTTGGGGTCCAGGGGTATGAGGTTTGGGGATTTGACGGCTTCGGCTTTTGGGGTCCAAGGTTCAGCGGCTTGCGTCGAGGGTTTGGGGTTTGAGGGATTTACTCCAAAACCCACGCTGCGGCTTCAAGTCCGAAGAGACAGTGCTGAAGCCCGTAGCCCCCCACGGCCTCCAGATCAGACCTCTTCTCACCCGCTGCTTTCGGAGATGCCTCAGCTCTGGACTCTAGGCATCTGGGCCTAGAGATATGTGCTCCTACAGTTTGAGAGGACTTCGGGGTTCGAGGCGTCTTCGAAATTTTACACCCTCAGTCAACCCTAAACCCGAAGAGCCCTAAATCCCTAAGCCCTTAAACCCTCACACCCTGAAGCCTTGACACTAGTCTAAACCCTACATTTAAAGCCCAAACACCGACTTCCTTAGGCCGGCATTTTAACCGCTAAGTACGTGAATAAAACCCCAAAGGTTAGAAGGATAACCTAAGTGATTAAACCAAATGCGACCACACGACTCGGAAGGCCTCGTCGCCTCCACAAACTTTTTCGAGCAAAGCAGCCTCACGGATTCCGACCTGTCGTGCTACACTCCGGCATGCTTCACGCACTCCCCCTCGCTCGGCCGACAAGGCGCGAGCGATTGAGGATCCAAACAGGAAAACTTGTGAAGACATGCCTATCTGTTTCTACAGGCGATTCCGTTGACTTGTAAAAGGACAAAAGCTTCTACAGGACATCATTCCGAGTCTTCGCACTATACCGCGAAGCACCTCCTTCAGAGGTAATCGATCATCATGTCCCTAGCATCCTTTAAACCATTATCCTAGAAGGACCAGAGACTTCCCCAGAATTCTAGCCGGCAAGACTTAGCATCACCAGTTTGTAAAAGCCCAGTACTTCAACTGGAGAACCTGGGTACTCCTCCCGCCTTCTTCAAGACTGTTCACTCCCTACCGGACCAGTCGCATGATCCTCGGCAACTACACGGCCACCTTCGGAAGCATCTGACAGGGAGCCTTCATCTGAGAAAACGGTTCCCTCACGCTCAAGCTTACACAGATAATCGCCTATCAACCCATGGAAACCATACCTAACCCTGTCAGAATACTCGGGGTCATCTGCATCTACTTGATAGCCAGCGATCCACAACGCGAAAAGGATCCTGTCTCGATTTGGGACTCCTCTCTTCAGAGGAAGTGGGATCGCTGAGCCATCAGCGGTCTGGCTAGCAACATCCTCCTTACTAGACCGAGGTACACCTCGAGCCGTAAGGCACCAGCGCCCAACTTCCCAAGTCACGAGCAACAGTACTCCCTTCAAAATCTCCCACAGGGTAGACCCGTCGCAGTCACTGGACCAACCCAGGGATGCAGCATCACTCAGGTCAGCTGAAGCAACAGAAGTTCCCGCAGCACACCCCGAGGCCACAGGGGGACCAGGCCAAACAATCAAGAGATTCTCTGGAACCTCCTGAGCCCTGACTCCTTGCACCAGGAACCACATCAAAAACAAGCTCCAAAGAATCCCACGTAGCCCCGCTATGATGCCCTGAACCCCTCTTCTCAACCGGCTCCGGGCCCTTATAACCGGTGGCGGATCAGAACTCGAACCTGGAATCCCACCTTCAGCAGCTACCTCGTCAAGCCTCTGAGAAAAACCCGTCCAATCCCCAGTACGCAATCCCTCAACAACAACTTCAACCTCCTCTACTGTCCAGCCGTCAAGGGGAACCCTCAACATGTCATCTACATAATGAACCAGAAGTGCTCCCTCTGCCGCTTCGTAAATCGGCCCACTCACCAAGACCGCCGTTCCCGCACTAGGCCCTGCAATAGCCTCTGGCCCTGGCTCGTAAACAACGGTACTCTCTGATTCCACGGACTCACTGACAATAGAAGGCTCTTCTGTCGAGGAAGAGGAGTCTTCGGAAGAAGATTCCTCCAGTGCATAAACAGGCCGATGAATCTCGACCTCGAGCTCCCTAGGAGCTCGATGAGGCCGATCATCAATTTCTTCATCCTCACTTTCAAAGAAAGGATATCTACGGTCCCCAGACTGAAAGTACGCGAACGCCGCCTCATAAGCGATAGTGCCTTCAGCCTGCCTCGTAGGGCCCGTGGCCTGCAACCAAAGGATGATGGACAAAATGAGGTTACTCGGAAAATCTCTGGAAGCCGCGCGCAATCGAGCCCACTCAGGCGCCCTTTCCCCCAGCATGGACAGTACCCGAAAACTCTGAACCGCTAAAATCCTCCAAATATAGTGTGTTACACTAGGGGGACCCCAATACACATACGGGAAATGTGGTCCAGCTGAGGAAGACGGCGCAGAAGCTGACTCTCGAACCCATCCGAGAATCTCTCCTCTGCAGAGATAGTGCTCTACCGCAATGACCCATTGAGGTCCAGAAAATGCCACTGCAAACGGACCCACGCGCAGCAAGTCAGCAGCTGCACAAGCAACTGCCTGCCGAAAATAAGCGGAGGTGGCCCTCCAGGCCAACACACTCGCCGAGCGAAGCCCAAGCAACAGCAAAAGCCTACCACCTTCGTAAGAAAGAAGCTGCACTGCATAGTGAACTACCAGCCACGTCCCTACAAGTGGGAATTGATCATTCCCCTCAACCGGGGAAACATAATCCTCATAGCAACCCGCCGGCAATTCCACTTGCATGCCATGTGACGACGAACTAGCAGCGCCCTCAACCTCCGGTACCTCAACATCACCACTGAAGACATCGCGACTACTCGAACTCCCCCCGAACTGAACCCTACCTAGCCTCCTACCGGGGTCAGCTAACCCGCTTCCAGGACTCTGACCTCGATCCAATCCATGATCAGGAGACTGATGCCCTAGCAACTGCAATGACCGATAAGATCCAACCGAACCTTCATGATCCGACTGCGATGTTTCTTCAGACTCAACCGAACCTTCATGATCCGACTGCGAGGTCTCACCGGAATCAACCGGCTCCTCAGAACCAGGTTCCATAGCATTTGTCCCTGACGGGCGGTCTACGGCTTGTGGTTCTGAAAGCCCAAATGGCTGCTGGGTTGGAGTTTCCTGGTGCCCCGAGCTCAAAGCCCCACCACCAAGATCACTTTCAACCCCCGTAACTTCACTGTGAACTGAAACCGAAACCCACCTAAGACCATCCCCATCGTCTACAGCCCGAAATTCAGCCCTGAACCCAGGATCCGACGGCATACCTCCCGCTGCCCCAGTGTCCCGAAGCCTACTCAACAGGCTCAGCGCTGCGTTCCTCTGAAAACTCCCGCAACAGTTGCGCAAAGCTGCCCACTCAGGGGCTGGAGAACCCAGGAACGGAAACAAAAGCCCTCCCCACCTAGCTAGCACTAAAGTTAAACCACAGGTCGTCTCCGAACTTCCAGACAAACCCTGCTGGTCATGACTAGCACCACCCGTCAGCCATGGTGGTAAAGGCCCATATCGCTGCTGGAAAACCGGCACCTCCACTATTCCGCCTGCATGCAACTGTCTTCTTAACCTCGCCCGTTGAAGAAAGGTCAACCCCGTTTCCCTCTCTACTGCTCTAAGCTGAGCCTCTGCCCGGGCCCATTCTTCGTGATCAAAAGCCTCAGATTCAGAGCCCCCTCCGTCCACATTGGAAGCCTCAGACCCGTCAGTAGCACCTGACTCAGGATTGAAAACACCGGACCCATCCGCCGCTGGCTCGACCGAAGCTAGCACCTCCGTCAGTGTTTGGACACCATCAAACGACCCTGCCGGTGAAGCAAACTGCTCCCCCGGAACCTGACCCGCCCAAACACACAGCCCCCACCAAAGCCCTAGGCCTAGGAGCCCAACCAGGATAGTGCACACCACTACCGTCCAAGTGTACAATTCTGAACCAACACTTCCCGCGGAACCTCCCGGTTGAGCACCTACACGCGGCAAAGCTGCTAAAAGGGCTAACCCCGCGAGTGCTTCTGCAGTAAGAGGAACTGACGAGATTCCCGTAAGCGAAAGTCGACTCAACATCCGAGCCGTCCGAACCGCGCCGAGCACATCTAACGGTTCTCTGATATTGAGCAGTTCGAGCAACTGCATGAGGCGAACTCGGGTCAAAGCCTTCGTGCCAATGTCCGCCACCTGGTCTGCACCAGGTAAATGGGACACGTGCAAAATCCCTGCCAGGACCTTTTCGCGGCACGAGACCGCCCTCATCCTTAAGTGGCGGTTCCTCCAGCCGTTTCCAGCCATGTCGAAAGATCGGACAGCGGCGGCGTTGTCGCCCATAAGGGCCATGCCCGTGTCCTCCTCTAACATTTCATCGATTAAGGACTGGAGAGATTCAGTGATCTGGACGCTATGAACCATCGCCACCAGTTCCGACTCCGCACTGGAAAGAGTCGTGAATGGTTGTCTCGTCGATTCCCACACCAGGGGCGAACCACGCCACATCACAATCACACACTGAGTCGAGCGGTCCCCGTTAGGAGAATGCGAAGCGTCTGAATAAATCTCCAAGACCTGATCCGTTCGAGGAACGTTCAAATTCCCGTGAGCCGAGAAGTATAGGAACCCGCATTAAATAAAAACTCGATCCCTAAAGTAGACGTGGAGCTCAAGTACGCTAGAACCTGCAAGCCTAACTCAATGGAGACCTTCGGTGCCTTAGTGGCCATTTGGCCCATCTTCGAGACGGCAAAAGAGATGTCAGGCCTGGATCGCGTCGCAATCCACAACAGCGCTCCTGTAATCCCTTGAGCAGACCTCACCTCTGCAAGATCAACCTCCCCCGGGAGTTCTGGATCTGTCCACTTGGTCACCGGTACAGCGGCAGTACCCTTAACGTCATATCGATGAAGTAGCTCCCGAAGATACGCCGTCTGAGCCAGCCGATATCCACGTCCTGTAAGCACGATTTCAACACCGCAGAAAGTAACCGGCTCCTCACCAAACCACGTCGGTGCGGAAGTTTTCCACTTCTCTTGTACTGCTTGAATGAAAGCTTCGCAGATGGCCACCAAGGAGAACACTGCCAAATCATCGACATAGACAACCAGCAATCCCACAACATCCCCAAACTCATTCCCCTTAACTTCCCTAAGAAACCACAGAGACTCGTCGGCCTTTGATTGCACAAGTCCATAGGTCCCGGCACTGCAACGAAGCTGCAAGCGACGAAACTCCTGATCTCTATAGTTTCCCCAGTCCTTTGGGGATGTAGGCAACCCGTACAAGGCTTTCTTAACCCACCATCGATCAGTGCTCTTTAGAATCCCTAGTTCTGTTAAGAAAGACGGTGGCTTCACCACAATACGTTCCTCCTTACCTTTCGCTTCTGCTCCAATCGGGGCATAAAGGAAAGCAGACTTTACATCAATGGTGAATCCCCTCCATTGGGCGAACCTGGCAGCAAATGCTAAGGCTGTGCGCAAGGTGACACCCTCCGCTCCAGATGCATAAAGATCGTCCCGTGAGAGACCTAGTTTCTCCGCTGGAAGATAATTCCCACAACAGACTGCGCGGCAGCGTCGTCTGCCCGTTCCCGACTTCCTAGTAAGTACACACTTACCAGGAAGTTGGATCACCGCTATCCCTTGCTCAACCCATTGATCTACCTGGCGCACATCGACTCTCACATCAGCCTCGTTCGTTACTTCTAAGCTGGTGACCTCCTCTTGAGCTGGCTCCTTCCAACAAGTCAACTCACGACGTGCTTCAGCTAGACCAATGGTTCGAGTCTGCAGAAATTGATCCCCCTTTGAATCTCCTTCTCCTATAGGGACTTCAACCTGAAGCGCTTTAATTGATCCACACACCTCGCTCTCAGCCTGGCATCCTCGCAAAACCTGCTCTAGCCATTCACACCGAAGCTCCTGATGATACAAGCGCTCAGCACCTAAAGCAAATAACTCCGGTGATACACCCTCATCTCCAAGCTCTTCTACCAGAAATTTCTTAAAGCAGATTTCTCCTTGGTGGAGCCGACACCAAGAGTCCCGATCAGCGTCATCGACAATCCAACAAGGCAAATCTACCTCCCATTCGTCTCGACAATCCCCTGGCTGCTCTTCAACAACGGCCTTGGCTTGGGAAGCCGCTGACTCTTTCTGCTCCGCCAAATCTCCTAGCGGAAAGCCTAACCCAGCTAACCTAGCCCATTGCTCCGAAGTAGTCTTTTGATACCCTACCGGAACAAACCCGGAAATAACCCACCGGCTAGATCCTTCCCAATCTTCCGCTGCATGCCAACGACTGCCCCAAAAACAGATTGCCTCCTTTCGAATGTCATAGACAGTCCCCGCCCTCGTTTCTCCATTTGGCAGGTGTTTGCAAACGGGACCTTGATCATCTTCGCTCTCAACCCACAGGCCTCCGCCCTTGAATTGCCCAACCGCCTTAACAGAAATAGGGAACCTAGGAGAATTCCTAAGGTCTCGATGAAGAGGAGCTTGCGTGTTGTGTGACACATACAAGCTGGTCCAAACTTGCCCAGGAAACTGTTCGCTCATGTAAGCATTAAGGTAACGAACTACTGAACCGAACCGATCGGTAGCCCTTGAAATCCCATGAAAACCCCCAACACTATACAATCCACAAACCACAGCTCCACCCGTCCGGGCCATTATTGACCGAGCAGCTGATGGCAACACTCCAAAACCCCTTTGTAAAACCTCCAGACATTCCTCAGCGGTAAACTTTCCGAAGTCCCCACCTACTTCCAAAGGATCACAATCGAGAACCTGAATCTCATAGACTCCCGGAACTTCTCCCGTATCTCCTTCGATTTCCTCTTCACTGCCCCAGACACCTAGAAGACCCTCTTCGGTCCACGATTTTGGCTCCTCACCCTCGGACGCGTCACTAAGCTCCGACGAACAATCGTCATACCCAGAAGCCTCGCAACCGTTATCAAGGCTCAAGGGATCAAAAAACCGCACCGAAGAAGACCCCCCCCCACGCACTTTCGCGTGGGCAAACGGGGTTTTTTCCGAAACAGCAAATGGCCTGGCAGCAGCTACAACCTTGATTGCAAAATGGGAGCGCTTGCCAACCAGCCGAAACTTTGGCCGACGAGGCACCCCTGTATCTTCACCCCGAACAGGATAAACAGTGTTGGTCAACAACACCTTCCGTGAGTCCCCATCCTCAATGAGAACTAAGTGCCCCCCCGGCGTATTCGGGGCAATGCCAAGGTACAAACCAGGAACAGAACGCGATTGCCACTGAGCCTCAAACCCAGTCTTAAAACGCCTTCTCGCCTCAACCTTAACCCCAAACGGAAGCAATGGTACCTGAGGCCTCCCCAGCGATTCACCGAACACCACCCAATTTCGCTCCGTGGCGTGACTGAGGGCTAACGGCCAATAACCGACCTCTAACTTCGCAATTCCAAGCAGCTTTCGGACTAAACCCTTTAGATTCTGAACGCCCAACTCTGCCTTGTTGCCAGCAGGACTATCACCTGGGGTCCATGTAGCATGTATGCCTTTATTGCGAAGCCAGTCGATCAACGCCGAGGCCCGAAGCTCTTTAGCTCTATCAGAATGATAACGGTTCACCGGGTATCCATGGGCTTCCAGCCTATTGATCAGGCACTGGACTTGAGACAAAACCTCTTTACCCCTCTTGGTCCTCAAAGGCGTTCCAAGGAAAAGGGTTCGGGTCTTAAATTTAGGCTCGGCAACCACAGGAGAAGAGGAATCCGCCGGCTCCTCAACAAGAGGATCCTCGTCTTCAGGACGCTTTTCTTTAACACGAAAACGCACAGCTTTGACGCCTTCAACGGAAGTCGTCCCTACCTCCGGGAGGTCCCAGAGTTCAGGAAACAGATCCTCAAATGCCCCTATACCCGTAGCACCCGCAGAATGACTCGCATCATCCTCAGCCGGAGCAACGCGCTCCGCATCCCCTTTAACTTCCAGCCTTGCTGGGCAGTACGAATCCGGGATGGTATATGCACACGCAAGGAAATACCGATAACCTTTTCCTTTATCCCTACCGGAGACCTCAGGGTTAAATGCCTGTCCAGGAACGAACGGCCCAGCTATGTCAAAGCTAGCTGCATGGACGCCTGTAAAAGCACTACGCCAGTGTGACCTTTGTCTACCCTGTGCACGAATGCACTCGGGACACCCCTTAAGGAAAGGCACATGATCATTAGCAACATGTTTAGCATAAGATTCCTCTGCGGTCATCTTCGTACTTCATGAACCGCTTCATAAAGGAACCAGGAGGACGTCAGGAGTTCACATTCCCTTATACACAATGCCCCGAAACAGCTTTGATCAAACTCAGCTCGATTCAACTCGTACACTTGCGCGAACGAGAGCACAGACGCCGGGTCCCACGGCCTCCTTCGTTCATCCCTTTTCACCGGAACCCTAGGATCCCCTGGAAACCCACATACCATGAACACCATACTGTGGTCCCGATCTGACCCCGAAGAAGTACGCCGGTCCCGGGAAGCAACGGCTGATGCAGGTGGACTTGGTGACTGGGCAGACTCTTTCTTCCCACTGTTCGGCAAGCACTCAGACCTCGCATCCTTGCTAGCCTGAGCAACCGAAAACAATAAGAACCACCGAAGAATCTTAACCGAGCCTTCGCAAAGAGTGCGCCAGTCACTGCTAGCATGGACTTGCGAGTCCCAAGAGAACTCACCGGCCTTCGCCCCAGTCTCAAACACTCCATCCCCCTGAATCAAACCGCCAACCTTCCCTTTCTCAGCCCAGTTCAACAATAACTGAAAGACCAACCTGGACCCTAGACCCTTTTTGGAATCCGATACCGCTACAACCTTCCCGAGCCCCTTCCACAAGCTTTGGCCAGAGGACACTGAAATCAGCACAGATCCCGATGCAGCCCTGCCAACTGACCGCCTAAAACGCCTATTCCAAGGCGACTCACCCCAGTCTACAAAGCCACTATCCAATGCCGGTACACACGCCCTAGCCAACAACTCCATGGGAATCCCAGGAAACATCCCACGAAGAAAGACCAACTGATCAACATCCGTCAGACCTTCCCCGCGCTGAACTAGACGATCTCGCAGCCACACACGCGACTGCTCCGGAGTCAAGACGGTCTGCAAATCCATAACCTCAACCTTGCTGATCAATGGAGCCCCGACCCGGCGACCCTCATACTCGCTCAGTAAGGCCAAACCAACCTCCCTAGGAATCAATGGACAGCCCTTTACAACCGTCACATCCAGACACCCCTTCTTGGGATGTTTGATCCGGCAACCTCGCCGCTTCCAGACAATGGAGAAACCAAGCTGAATCAAGTAATTAGCAGGCAAGATAACCTGACATGGCCCCGAGTGCAACAAAGTACCGCTCTCGTTAATCAACAGCTCTGTTCCTCCACTCGCCAGATCAACATGGATTGTGCGACAGGTACCGATTTCCTGATCACTAGCCGGGCGCAGCGCATTAGTCGCTCCGGAGTCCACGAGGCAGAAGTCTGGATTCGAGGCATTGGTTAGGGCACTACGAACCCAGGCCAAATCAACCTCATCATCAACCCTATAAGAACCTTAAGGGAAACCCCTTTTAGGAGTCTAGTAGCCTCTGCTACCAGCAACTCCGGACTCGCCTGAGCTCCCGAACTCGCGCTACCAGCAGATGCACTAGCCACAGAAGCTTCGGCTCTCGCCTTTTGCTTGCACTCCAGACTTAGCCTTCGCCTTAGCCCTACCACCCTTTCCACTAGGTGACCCGGCTTTAGGAGATCCTTCACCGCCATCCGTAACAACCTGCCTATTCTCGGGGGCTACGATTGGGCAGTCTGGTCTAAAATGCCCACTTTGACCACACGCAAGGCATTTATTCTCCCTTCTAGCCCTAGCCCTATCGTGCTTAAAGATACACGAATCCCCGAACCGACAACCTGAGGCGTCTGAGAACTTGTGGCACAGTTGCTGCCCCCCGTCACCCCCCTTCGCCTTGCCTCCACCCTTTCCCTTCCCCTCACCCTTATCCGTAGCTACGGCCGCAACCGATGCACCAGGAGGCGGAGGGGGAGTGGGAACCGACTTAGCCGAAGGCGGGTTACCAGTAGGACCTGGGGTGGTTAACGCTGCTGTTCTAGCCCGCTTGTCCCTTACAGCATCCGAAGTAATCGACCCAGCTTCGCATTCAGCTTGTATAAGGCGGACGAGCTGCACCACACTCGCCACAGATGGGTTATAATCTATAGCCAGCTGATGTCTAAACGCGTTCACCCTAAAGCCTATCATGGGATGAGCAGAGAGAAGGCTAGAAGTAGCACCATCCACCCCCTTTAACAGAAGAGAAGCATCAGGTAAAGTCGCCTGTATCTCCCCTGCTCGCTGTAACCCTTGTTGCCATTTCCTCAACCCCTTGATTGCGTCACCAAACGTCTTACACTGCTCGGGATTAACTAGCTGCGACAACAAATGTGACCTCTCGCTCGATCCTCCAGGTTGAAACAAGCATAAGATCCGAAACAGAATCGCGGCACTAGACAGCCACCTATTTGTCACCACATCGTCTCTTACCGACTGGGGCACTGCAGCAAGGAGCAGACTTACAGCCCTCGACTCTACCCGACCGTACAACTGAGGATCGAACTCCCCCCTAACCGTAGAAGGATCTATCCCCAACCTTCCCAACGGATCTGCAACCAGCCAACGACGGTACGCCGTCGTAGCCGGCCCTTCTACCCCTTTCCACCAGACATCCGCACTCGGAGATAGACCTACCAACACCTGCCTAACTTGCGCCAGCCAGTTACCACAGGTTACGGCAGATTGGGAGAGTTCAGTTTGATTCAACTTAGGCAATTCATTTATATACTTTGCCGGTTCCTCAGGTCTCACTACATCCCCAACAACCCTTTGTCCGACCCCTCCGATGCCTACCCCCTGCCCCCCAAACCCTGCCCCTTGAAGGAAAGGTTCCACCCTGGGCGGCGGGAGCGGCGGCGGCCGAATAACAGTTCCTCCTGGAGAAATAGGATACCCCTGAGCGTCGAAACCCATATGACCCCCTGCAGACGATCTAGGCGTATGAAAACCCCCAGACATCCCTGAAGCCTCGGCTATTGCCTGGGTAGCAAACTGCCTCATAGACTGAGTCCCTCTAGCTGCAATGTTAGACGAAGCCTCATACCCCATAACCGGTAGAGGAAGAGGTGGGGCGCTCGGTACCCCGGAAGACTGCCATAATTCCGAAGGACCCTTCTCAATCGAACTTTCCCCAATAACCGGAACCAACTCTAACCCCATAGCCCTTTGCCCTGATGCCACCGAGGCGACCGTGGGAAGCCCAGCATTCCTGAGAGCTTGCTGCTCCCCCGAACCCGGAACCGATCCTACGCTCCCGAATGTAGCAACATCATTTCTCAGACCTGGGAAATTGGCCGGCACAGCCCCTTCGAGGCCACCCGGAGGCACACCTATGAAACGGCCCAGTTCAGACCACGTCTGTACATTTTCCCCTACCCGGGGTCCGCCATCCATCGCAAAAGACATAGGCGAGGCCAACACTTCGCCCGGAGTACCGCTGTGCCAGCTAGAATGCGATCTCAGTTCGGCTTGCTCAACCCGTATTTTCAACGAACGGTTCTCATCAATGAGTTGTGCCACAACCTGTTCAAGTCTCGCAGTTCTATCGTTATCTGGCAATAGCTCCGGCGCATCATCATCCGGAGGGTCCAGCCCCTCAACTGCCACACCCGGTTGCAACCCCGCTGCAGAGTCACGCTTTTCCTCTAACATTGGCATCCCAGTAGAAACTCCTTCTCTTCCCGGTCCCACAACGGAACCTTCCAGAGTAGCGGCTTCCCGAGGACCAACAGCTTCCACTCTCGCAACTCGTGGGCCAAACCTTTCAGCAGTATCAAAAGCGGCCGAATAGTTGGGCTCCAGGCCCCCTTCCATATCCAGGTTCCCGGATCCCACTCTCGCTTGCTCTTGGTCTAATCCAGAGGGCCGCTTCCGCTGAAGCGCCACCTCCTCTTGAACTCGTGCACTATGAAATGGACTGGCAGTAGGGAGAGACGGGATACCACCTACAGACGAAGTAGACGCGCCGGCTGCACCACCCACAACTCCACCCTGTTCCAAGGTACCGGGCGATGCTTCCCCCGGAGCTACCGCACTCCGCAGTCCAGGTGGACACGCTCCCTGATCAACATAACTCGAACCACGGGGAACAATCCCCGAGTCTGCTTGACTCAAAGCTGCTGAATATTCTTGCTCCAGCTGTTCGCTGAAAGCACCCGTAGCCACTGGCTCGCCTTGCCCCGCAGCTCCTCTTCTCGAGCGAACCATCGGATCCATCGCAAGGACGACTACAGATCAGACCCTAAACTAGCCACCTAGCCTAAGAGCCCTCTACGGCTGATAACCTACGTGAATAAAACCCCAAAGGTTAGAATAACCTAAGTGATTAAACCAAATGCGACCACACGACTCGGAAGGCCTCGTCGCCTCCACAAACTTTTTCGAGCAAAGCAGCCTCACGGATTCCGACCTGTCGTGCTACACTCCGGCATGCTTCACGCACTAAGCCCTAAATCCAAAAGCTTTACCTCGGAATCTTACATCCTGAAACCCTAGACCTCTGACTCTACGTCTTCAAACCTTAAGCCCTACAATTCTAAACCCACGAGATGCAAATCCTCAACCACGCTGTAAAACTTAGCCACTACGTCCTGCGACTGAAAAAATTCTAAGGCCAGGGTGACACCAAAATTCTCATACACCTCTCTTAGCATCCCCGAAACGCCCCATAACATCCGTAGTAGAAAACACTGCCGAAAGCCTGTATAGACCCTCAGCCCTAGATCCTAAATCTTAAGTTCCGTAAGTCCTAAACCCTAAATCCTAAGCAGACCCTTAGGTTGCACGACTCGTCGAGCAGCTGCAGGGCTGTCTCGCGTCTGCGGGCTCTGAGCACCCTCATCACCAGACCTCAACGGCTTTAGAGGCTGTGATCAAAGGGGCCAAAAAAGGGGTTAAGAAAGAGGCTCTGGAGGCTTGAGAAAACGCCAGGGTTTATATAGGGGCTAAGAAGAAGGAAGGCTGTAGAGGCTTTGAGAGGAGCTTATCGGGGTTTAAGACATAGGGGTTTAAGAAGGCTTTAGGAAGCGAAAACAAATGATTTTGTAGGACTTCGTGCGGGCCTCAACGGGCTTTGAGATTCAACCAGGACTTTATTCGGTCTTACAGAAGGTTTTGCAGCGTCTCAATTCCGGGGTGAGAGTTCAGGGGAAATAATTTGCATATACAAGATTCTGTAAACACGCATTTGCCGTTTATTCAGTTCGAAACTGTTACTTCTGCTATTTTTACTACATCTTTGTGCCATCGCTACGAGACCTGCGTTTAATCTAGATTTAACATAGCGCTGGCATCGTTTATCGGAAGGTTCGAGAACACACAGCAAGCATTGCACAAAACATGACAAACGCAGCAATATGACAACACACGCATAAACAACAAATATGTGCATGCACTAATTACACACAAGTACATTCGTACACACATACAGTGCTATATGTGTGTGCATGTATAGATATATACACGTGCGTACACATGTAAACAACTGTGTAGGTATGCGTATGTAGCATGTCGGGAATACAAGGCTAGCTTGTTGTTGTCATTCAACCCAACTTTCAGCCAGTACAATCAGACTGTCGTCCTAAAGCCTGCATCCTAAGATCGGGAGTTAGGGTTTATAGGGTTTAGGGCCTCGGGTTGAGTTTAGAGCCTTCGGATTTAGGGTTCAAGCTTGCATCCGGGGCCGCCACGTTGGTCCGTTAATGGCATCAATGCCCAAGGGTGTCACAGTCGCAGGAGCATCTGCAGTGCATTTAACATTCAGATACGACTACATCGAGACGTTTGCAACCGCGGTCCATGTTTGGGCGTGTCCAAAAGCTGGGAACTGCCAAACGCCGCTGCAAAACCCACAGGCTCTGCCGATATTGGGGTGTTGATGTTCATGAACTGCAACAATGGTGGGCTTCGGGCCAGCATCTGCTTAAGGTAAGGTAATCCTTGGAGAGGAAACCCCAAAATTGGCTCTGGCTGTACAAACCCCCCTAAACCCTACTTAACTCCTTCACCCCCCCTCTGCAACCACAACTCTAACCCACCCGAGTGCCAAATGCAGTGCATCTTCCGACACTCTTCCTCGTCTGATACTACTTCGGTTACTGGCGGTACTCTTCTTGTTGTCTTCGTCAAGGAGCCTGCACTTGTGGTTTCGGGTCCAGCATGTAGTCTATTCGGATAGAACTTGGAAGCTTTGGTGGTAGTTGGGTTCGGGGATAGTTGTAGTCACTGTAGTGCTGCCCTGGCCTGCCCTTGCCCTCTGTGCTGCCCTGCCCTTCATTATTCGGCAAATTCGCAGCCCAGCCCAGCCCACGGCCTGGGCCGGGCATGCGAGGTGGTGGGGGAGGTGGGCACTGCCCTGCCTAATTTTCGGAGACTCCCAAAACAATGCGCGCCCGGGCCTCTCATCCACAACACTTCGCCTCAAGCCCTGAAGGCCGGATTTGAGCCTCAAACTCCCATCAGAAACTCCTAAACCCTGAACCCTAAACCCCTAAACCCAAACCCTAAACCGTAATCCCTAAAACAGAACCCTAAACCCAATCCGCAGCAGGCCTAGCTCTGGATCGGACTTGTAGAGCCGCTCCAAGCACGACCTGGACCAAAGAGCTCACGGATTTCACCTGCTTCTCCCGGTAGGGTTTAGGATGGTGTAGGGTTTAGGGATTAGGGTCCGAAACAACACCCTAACTCTCAACCCTAAACCCTGTCTGAGCTTTAGCTATGCCTTCTATATCCTTCTATGAAACATTCATGACAACTCGACGACCCCAGGTGTTACACAGAACATGACGAGCTTCGAATGCGAGGCGCCCTATCACAGGCAGGTGAGGAGGGGAGGGGGGTTTTGCCAACTCTGGCACATGCTCAAACCCTAAACCCTAGACTCGTCAGCCCTAAATCCCCAGACCACAACCTCCCGGACCCTAAACCCCTCACGCAAATCCTCAACCGTAAGGTGGTTTGTAGGGTGCCGTTCAGGATTACACACCAACGTGCCAGCCTCTGGAGAAGCCGTAAGATGGCCAAATCCTGCGCAAGTTTAATAATTCCTTTGGATTCGGGTAGTGTAGAAGTTGTGGCTTAGTCGGCTTATTGAGTTTACAGGGTTACCCGAAGGCTCCATAGTAGTTCCTTTTTGGGGTTCATATGAAGAATTCTGTAAGGTAATCCCAAAAAGGAACCACTATGGAGCCTCTGGGTAGGGCCCAGAGAGGTCTCCACACCCTGGACCCTCCTCTTACGGGGCTGCGTGGTGCATTCCTTTTGAGTTTGGGGTATGTGACTTTGGGCTTCGTGTGCTCTGAGTATCTACGGACCGGTCAGGGTACAGTGTTGGGTTGATCACAAACTCGTGGAGTGAACCTGGGCCTCTATGTCCTGAAAGTTCAAGCTACTTCTTCCTGCTACACAAGGTATCGCGTGCTCGAGAACCTGTAATTGTTGAATCGCCGGGGCGCTAGACTAGGGTTTTTGTGTCGTGCTGCATGACAGAAAGAGATCTTGAGTCACATTTGACGATCCTTGCTTGCGCAGTTCGAGCGACCCGACACCTGTACCCCCGCTGGTCTGAGCTCAGCATGGCGAACCAATAGCAAACTCGAAGTGTATACCGTATAACACAGTCATGCGCTTAATGGGAATCTGTATAAAATCTTAGAGAGTGTCGGTGTGGGGGGGCGCTAATCTGTCTGCTCCACTCGCTCGACTCGTTCCACTCGCTCCAGAGTTCCACTCGTTCCACTCGCCCTGCACGTTGCTTGTCATTCATTTTGTTTATAAAGCGAGTGGCGAGTGTCGCGAGTGGCGCGAGTGGAGCGACTGGAGCGAGTGGCGCGGAGGACTTTAATTCTCCCCGCGAAATGCTGGGGGGGTGCCGGGGAGGAGGGGGTATGATACACCGTTTTCATATGTAAGTACATGGCCACACAAACCATTCAAACACAGAAGTAAACGCACGCATGAATATTTCATAAATGTGTCTCTGCGTGCGTGTATGTGTAAGCGTAAGAAAAGCGTAAGTGTAAGGATAAGGGAAAGGGTAAGTGTCAGTGTAAGAGCGCGTGGAAGTGTAGGTGTAAATGTAAGTGCAAAACGTGTCTGTGTTGTATGTGGTATACATACATACATGCATGCATGCATACTTACATACTTACAGACGTACGTACTCACATACATATATACACTTGTCATGTACATGCATACGTAGATAAGTACGTACATACACACCTACCTACCGACATACATACATGCATACATACTTACGTACATACTTAAATACTCACATGCTTACATACTTACATACATATAAGCATACATGCATGCATACATGTACATTTATGAGGCGCGCACATAGGGAACATGACAAGGCCCCGATGCCAAACGCTGATGCCTTCGGGCTGTGTGGTGGAGTTTTGGGCAAAAGGGTTTGGGGTCCGTGCGCTCCTTTCTCGGATCGCTGTGTGGTACGATTTAAGGCCTCAGTGCTTAGGATCTTCGGGATGGATCGGACATTTACGGTTGTCTAGACAACGGAACCCAGGGTCCAGAGCAGTGCTTCCATCGACGAGGATCGTCGAATAGTCCTGTCGGCTTAGGGTTTAGGGCTCAGGGGATTTCGGGTTTAAGGCTTTACGGGTTGAGGGTTTAGGGTTCAAACAAAGCCGCCCAACCCAACTCCACACTTGGTAAACCCTAACATTGCCAACAGTATGCCCGGCAATTGAATCGTAGGCTGAAAAGGCTGAGATCACTACACCAGTCGCTTCAGGTCTTGAAAAGGTCGCGAAAGCTTTCTTATGGTTCTTTTGCAGACGCTGCTTCTTTAGAAATTTAGAATAGCCATAGTATGTCAACAAAGATATCTTCAGCCTCGGCAAGAAGGCTGCTAACAAAGTAGCGAGGTAGCCAGCCAGCCAGCCAACTAACTCAGTAACTCAGTGACTTCATTACTCATTCACTGGAAAACCAACACTGATTGACAGAGTAGCCCCCCCAACCCTAAACCTTAAACCCCTAAACCCTAAACCCTAAACCTAAATCCTAAACCTTCAACCCTAAACCCCAAGCCGGGCCCTTAACCCCAGCGATCCAAAACTGCATCCACCCGTCCATCTGGGGTTTGACGAACATGGCGTTGCCAGGGAGATCCTGCGTTCGTCGGGCTTGGATATAGCTTGCTTCAGTGACAGGGTCTTGGAGGATTGAAGTTTGGGGCTTATAGGGTTTTGGGACTTTGCGGTTTTGAAGGCTGTGGGTTGTAAGACCTTGTATATTTGGAGGTATCTCAAATCACCTCAACCCTAAACCCCCCAGCTATACTTGTAAATCCTGAACCTGAAGCTCTGAGCTCTTTTCATCCACAAAGACTCATGCGTCCTTGTGAGCCGGATGGTCTGCATACGGCTGCACCTGACGTCGCGGGAGGCTTTCGGGGAGGGGGGGGTAGGGTGCAGGGCTGCAGGATGCTTTAGGGTTCTCGCTTTTTGCGGACCTTTTTTTCCCTAATCCCGTATACGGCCCTAGGTTTGAGGCACAATGGCTGGCGTCTTCAACGTAGAATCGTGGAAAGGTAGATATATCCAATCATAGGGCCACCGTCGAAGTTGTGGACTCAGATTTGGGCCTTTAGGGTCAGTTGTCTCCAGACCCCATTAAAGTGTCACAGGCTGCCTGGCAGAGAGGTCGGAGTGGGCTATGATCCCCTACAGACCGTGAATCTTCCCTGAACAACTAAAACTACGCTCTAATCCGCGAAGTGGCTCCAGATTTTGGGCGTGATAAAGGTGTTTACACAGTGTTGGCGCGCGAGAGAAGGATAGTGAATCTGGCACTCTTCGTGTTGAAGCACGAGCGGAGCCAGAAAGGCAAGTTACTGAAATAATGCCTCCAGTTGGTGGTTCAGCTTAGAATTTATAGAGTGTGTAGATCCCCAAACACCTGTAACCACAAACGCACGACTTGCAAATCCAGAGCTTGCGCCACGAAACCTGAATCCACAAACCGTCTTGCCCAGCAATTCTCCAACTTGGCCACCCATACCAAGCCCCCTAACCGTAAAGCCTCAACCCTGAACCCTGTAGACAATAATAAACTCAAAAGCCCTAAACCCTAAACCCTCTAAACCCTGAAACCCCATACCAAAACCGCAACTTGTCGGAGTGCCTCTTTGGCTTTCAGAGTTTGGGCGGAGAGGCCGATCATATAGAGAAGCGCCTCCTGGGTTAGGGTTTAGAGGGTTTAGGGGTTTACGATTTAGGAATTTATGGTTTCAGGGTATAGGGCTTTAGGGTTTACCTGGGGTTGGCATTCAGGTGCTTCGGTTTCTTCGGATTTTGGAGATTTGAAGGTTCGGGCGTAGTTAGCCACCCCAGAACGCTGAGAACATGGAAGCCCGAGTCCTGAAGCCCGAAGCTGCAGCCCTCAGCTTCACTGCAAAACGGCCCTCCCAAGCCCTTCCCAGACCTTCCAATATCCCTTAATTAAGGAATATATACCTTAAATTATAGTAGGATCCCTAATATCATTTAAGGTATATTCCTTAATTAAGGGATTTTGGAAGGTCTGGGCCCTTCTGCCGCCTGTGAGGCATCCCACCATGATCCCTGCGTCTTCGGCTGGGCGAAGCTCTCCTGCTTTGATCTGGAAGGGCTTTGGGGTGAGTGTTGCTGCTTTCGGTTCCGCTGGTTTCGGGTCTGGGTTGCGGAGCCCCAGAGTTTGGGTTGCGGAGCCCCAGAGTTAGAGAAATAAATCGGGCCGTCAAGACCGTTCCAACATCCCGAAGTTGGCAAGATTCCGGACCATGATGTTGGGGCGCTGCATGTCACCACGGACCACGCGACCGAATGAGCTAATCATCGCGAATCTGAAACCCCGAACCTCTACAGCCAAGGCCTCTGAACCCTAACTTACGCCTTACTAAAACATTGCAAGTCACTGAATATCCTGGCCCCCTTTTATAAGGTCACAGCTCCTCGACATTCACAGAGGTGCCAAAGAAGCTGAGAAATCCGTTGACCTCCCGATGCTTCGCCAAAGCCTCAGAGCTTGCACACGGGAGCTTGGTCTAACCTCTCAGCGACTTAGACGTGTTGTCAGCGTATCAGGCATCCCATCCCGAAAACCCTACGTACAGAAACCCTGAAACCCAGCAGAGACCCTGATACATCCCTCAGAAAAGCCTCCCTCCATCCGAAAGCCTTGAACCCCAAAGCTGGCAAATCCCGGCCCTTCAACCCAAAATAGTAATAATAATAATAATAATAATAATAATAATAATAATAATAGTAATAGTAATAATAATAACCATAATAATAATCATAATACTAATAATACTGATAGTATTAATAATAACAAGGGTACCCCCTCCCCCGCCGGAACTGCAGACCACAAACTTCGCTCAGGCCGGCACCAACCTAACCGTTTTCAGGAGGTCCGCCGTAGTCCGCACCTTCGTCCTGGTGAATCATGGACTGGTTTTGGCGGAGGGCCGTGCTTTGGAGGTTCTGATCTTGTGCATTGCTTCATCCAGCCTCGAGAGAAGTTCAAGGTGCTTTCAAGCACCCCCCGGGTATCCTTACTATTATTATTATTGTTATTCTTACTATTATTGTTATTACTGAAATTATTATCAGTAGTATTACTATTATGTTTTTTATATGACCCTGCCGACCGACCTTAGCCGCGCCATGTAGTAGAAGGAAACCATCCGAGCTCTCACCTGCCAGGCAGTACTGTACCGTTTGGGCGGTTTGAGATTAAGGATTTGAGATGTGCTGCATGTTTTGGGGTTTTGAGATTAGGGCTTTAGGGATCTGGGGGAACCCTCTGGCACCCTGCTTCCCTTGTGTTTTGATATCAACTATTTAGGGTTTAGGTTGTCGGGCAATAGCATACACTGTGACACTGTCCAAAATCATACTCGCGCCACACTAATCCCAGCTCCTCATGCTGCAAAGTTCTTAGACTCACACCTTTGCCATGGCCCTTCAGCGCTGTGGCTCTGTCGAGCTTGTGAAACCATATTGTGGAGCTGTCTCCCTCCCGCCCAACCACTGCTCCGCAAAGGCGTTTATGTAATTGAGTTTGCTGGGTGCCGGGTTTTCATCCACGAACTCCAAACGTTTCGAGTTTGCAAACATAATGTTGCAAATCAGGGAATGCTATGGTTCGGTCAATGTCAGCTCATGCCACGATCGCCTTGTGAAGCAACGTTGACAAACCCCCAACTGCTGCTAAGCTGGAGCCCTTGATAGATCAGAATAGGGCTTTGGGGTACACCGTAGTATAATTACAATGAGGCGCCGACTCAGGGATTCCATCAAATACAGCTCAGACCTGGTGAGACCTTACGGCGTGACCGCTTCGCCCCTGGAACTTCTGACTAAATCCTAAATACTACCTAAATGCCTAAGCACGGCCTCCTCCGGAATCTTCAGGGGCTTCCAGTTCGACTTGGCGTTGGCCTGGAGGGCATTCTAGGAATCCTTTTGGGCTGAGCGGTTTAGGGTTTAGGGTTTAGGGTCAAGATGGTTGAGGGAATCCGAAACCTGATGTAAAGTACCGAGACGGTCGTCATACCCTATCCTCGTTTCCGCACTTACCGTTCTACTCAAGCTACAAACCATGTTCCCAACATATCAGGAAAACCCACCACGTAGTAAGGTACCCTGCAGATAGGCAGTGGTGGTCTAAGTTTTACGGTTTAGAACTCTGTGTGTGTGGGGTGGTTTGAGGTTAGGGGGATGGGCATTAAGGTTCTTCCTCAGGTATATGGTTTTCATATCTTGAAGAGATTCTTCCAAGAAGCTAAGCACGTACAGCTTCCCAACCCGCCGGATAGCCTAAACCCTATACACTCTACACTCAAAACTCCCAGAAACTAGACAACTAGCTGAACCCTGGTCCTGCAGTTTGCCTTAAAGTCCAGACTCAAACAAAGCTCGCAGCTTCAGGTTTAAAGTGTGGCTTCTCTAGGTACCCTAGAGCTCAAGTGCTGAAAATCACCAAGGCGTCCGTGTTTAGGTCAGAAGTGTTGTGGCGAGGTTTTCTGTAGACTTTGGGGGCTTCGTCGACCGTGTCTAAGTGCATGAGCAAACATTGACATGGCCTTCGGCTGCATACCCAGTAGCATGCGTCTTCCCTGCCGGAGCTTTGGGCTTGCGGGATCTGAAGATCGGGCTTCAGGCTCGGGTTTCAGGAAGCCTGGGTCGGCTTTGGGGCATATGTACATGTGTATATATATATATATATATGTATAGATATAGATATGTAGATGTAGATATAGATATAGATATAGATATAGATACAGCTAGTGTCATTGAGGGGATCTATGTATCATGTTGCTTGGCATTCGAAGGTCCCTAAATACCGGGCAGGATTTAGTCACTTCACTTGATGAGTCCAGTGCCAGAGCCTCTAAGCCTCTAATCCATGAGGCGAACTTGCTCTATGCTTAATGCAGAGGTCTCATTCATTCTGAATCGGGAGTTAGGACATTCATACAGGTTCAGTTTGGGGCCCTGCTACGGGTACAATTCCTAGATAACAGGATTCGGAATCAAAAGGAGCCCTAAACAAAACACCTAAGAAATCGCATATCAGGGCCTCTTACTCTCCCACCTGCTGCCGAAACGACACTGCGCGGGCATTGGTCTTAAGGGCTCGGGATTAAAGTCTGGGCTTAGCGACCATAGAGATCAGGGTAGGGTTTTGGAAGCTACTGGTACGCATACAAAGCCCATCTGTCTTGTCGTGCATGAACTACACCACCCTGAACTGAACCCTCCATCCTTGCTGCGACCTCTGAGCCCCGAGCACCCGAACGAGCACGCCAAAAAACAACCAAGGCCAAGACCAAAATCCTAAACTTTGGTGGGAAGCCTAACAATGGGATCGAATGGAAGTGGCTGGCAGCAGCTGTGACGTGGGCAGCTCCGATTACGTCGTGGCCGCCCTCCGTGAAGAGATCGACAGGGGGCCTGACTGACAGATCCCACCGACGAGGAGTACTCGAGGAGGCCATATATATATATATATATATATATATATATCGCCTCCCAGCGTTCAAGCTCCTGCATGCGCAGCTCGGTCTGAGCTTCAGCGTCCTCGAGACTGCGTCTTCCAGTTGAAGTCCTCCGGCGCATCGTCCATCCTCGAATGCCAGAGCAAGGTCTTCCAGGTCAACGTTGGGCTCTTGAGCCAACATGGAATCCTTTCGAACCAGATGAAACCCAAGACTCGCAACAGAGTAATGACTGGATATTGAAAATTGGTATGTATCGTTCAGGCCTCGATCTGTATTCAATCCAAAATGCCAAAGTCGAAGCCCCCCAAATCGCAAGAAGCTTCAAAAAGACCCTCTTCCACCAAGGCCCCGACGGCCCCGAAACCCTAAACCAAACCCTATAAACCCTAAACCCTGCGTGCCCAACCTTCTTGGCTCCAGGCTTCTCTGCCTTTCAATTGTCAAGACAAAACTGAGCTTGGAATACTAAGTATTAACAACAACATGTTCATAGTCAACATATTCATATTGACTCATAACAGTAGTAATAAGAGAAAATGGACAGGAATTGATCTCAAATGAAAAAAGTCCAATTAAATGCCCTCAGCAAGAAACGGATAACATCGGAATTAAGTAATTGAAACCCAAGCATCCGGACTCCGGAGCCTCAAACCAAAAGCAGAGACCTGGAAACCTCAGGACCTCAACCTTATATATCCTTTAGGTACTGCCCCATACAGTAAGAGTCCATAATAGGGCTACTATTAAGGCCCTAATATATCTATATTATGAACATTATTCAACTATTACTGAGTGAGGGCCGTACCCTACATATCCCATACCAGGATCCCCAGTAACTATTAGGACTGAAAAAGGTTGCCAGGAACCTAAGGCGGCATTAAGGGAGACAAAGGGACCACTGGGAGACCTTGGGATCTGCCCCCGCCCAGTAACAGTGGGAAACTACTTTCCTTATATATACACCCCCAGAAAAAGCACAACTGTTTGGAGGCCTCTGGAGTTCCCAGTTTTGGGGGGCCCCAACTGTTCAGCAGGTTTGGGAGTTTCGGGAGCCCTCGCTTTAGATTCCAAAGGTTGGCATTTGGAGTTTCCAGATTTTTGGGGCCCCAACTGTTGACCAGGTTTGGGCATTTGGAGTATCCAGTATCCAAAACTTGGGGGCCCCAACTGTTCAGCAGGGTTTTGATTTCGGGAACCGAGAGTTCCAATTCGGTAATTAGCCCAAAGGCAAATAGTGGAGGATTGAAGAATTGATGCTTGGTGCTTTCGGAGGGTTTAGGATTTCTGCAGAAAATCGACGAGAGTTTCGGAATGCGCCCGGCCCCAGGCCAGCAGGGCCAGGGTGCTATCTGGCCAGGCCAAATCTGCAAACTAGATTGCAAAAGGGAGCACAAGAAAAGCACAACTACTTTGCTTGAAATTTGGATCAGGCCAGCAGTTTGCCCAAAATCTCCAAACTAGAACGCAAAAGTGAGCACAAGAAACGCACAACTGTTTTGCTAAACTGGAGCACAAACCCGACCACAAACTCCAAAATCCAGCACAAGAAAAAGCACCAACTAGAGCACAAGAAAAAACACAAGAAACGCACAACTGTTTTGCTAAAGTGAGCACAAACCCGACCACAAACTCCAAAATCCAGCACAAGAAAAAGCACAAACTAGAGCACAAGAAAAAGCACAAGAAGCGCACAACTGTTTTGCAACCCAGAGCACAAACCCGACCACAAACTCCAAAATCCAGCACAAGAAAAAGCACCAACTAGAGCACAAGAAAAAGCACAAGAAACGCACAACTGTTTTGCCAAAGTGAGCACAAACCCGACCACAAACTCCAAAATCCAGCACAAGAAAAAGCACAAACTAGAGCACAAGAAAAAGCACAAGAAACGCACAACTGTTTTGCAACCCAGAGCACAAGCCCGACCACAAACTCCAAAATCCAGCACAAGAAACGCACAACTGTTTTGCGATTTGGAGCACAAGAAACAGCACAAACTAGACGAAAACTTCCAATTTACAGCAGAACCCAGGATTGCCTTTTAAATTGGTCAAAAGGTGCCAGGCCTGGGGAGGCCCTGGACGGCCCTGCCAGGTCTTAGGAGCTGCATCAGTCGTTCTCCCTCCCGCCCTCACCACCCAGAATCGCCCCATCCCCTGGGTCCACGTCCGATCCATCCACCCAGGCCCCCCCGCCATCCCTGGCTGCGCGTAGAGGGAATGGAACGAAATGTTTCGGTTGAGGGTTGCAGCCCAGTGACTAATTGGAAACGAAAATTGTTCTGGGCCTTGCGTTCGGCAGATTTCGATTTTGCTGGGAGGGGAAGCATGGTTTCGGGGCTTGTTTTGTCAAAGATTTAGGTTTCACACTCAGCTCTCCTGGCTGTCCATTTTTCATATTTGGAAAACCGGTGAACCCACTAGATTTTCTTGTGCTTTTCGTTGTGGTTCAAATTGTGACAACTGTTAGTGGGCGGGGGCAGATCCCAAGGGAGACCCATAAATCACCCTGAAACGGACACCCAAACCCCAAACCCTAAACCCCTAAACCCTGAACTCCGAAACCCTAAACCTAAACTTGTACCCAAACCCTAAACCCTAAACCCTAAACCCTAAACTCCGAAACCCCAAACCTAAACTTGTACCCAAACCCTAAACCCTAAACCCCTAAACCCTAAACTCCGAAACCCTAAACCTAAACTTGTACCTAAACCCTAAACCCCTAAACCTTAAACTCCGAAACCCTAAACCTAAACTTGCACCTAAACCCTATAAACCTAAAGGGCAGAAGCCTAGAAGCCCTAACCACCGGAACACAAAAAAACAGCCCAAGTCCTACAGCCCCAGGATGCGGCCCGGCGCCTTCTCAGGCGCCCCCCACAAATCCTAGAAATTTACGCTGCTTTAGGGCTTAGGGTTTAGAATTTCGGGTTTAGGGTTTAGAATTTAGGGTTCAGGGTTCGTTGTTTTTTGAACCCTCGGGTTTAGGGTTTAGGGTTTAGACCATAAGCCCTGAACCTCAAGCCAGAATCCTCAAACCCGCACCCCCAAAACCTTACATCTCCAAATCCTGGATGCCCGAAGTAGACACCCGCACAACCTTAAGCCCAAACCCAACCTTCAAGCCCGAAGACCTAAGGGAAACTCCAGAAAGTTGGAATATGGATTAATGGTAGGATCCCCTATAATTTACCTTAAAGGGGTTAGGATAATGATATTCCAACTTTCTGGCTTCTACTGTAAACCCTTAAATCTTAAACCCTAAATCTTGGGCCCTAAACCGCGAAACCTCCTGAAACCTTAAGCCCGAAGCCCCTATGGCTCGCTACGCTTCACGTCGTGCCTGGCCCTGGAATAACCTCGGCCGCAACTCCAGGGAGTAATCAGGGGTTGGGTGTTGTAGTATGCGTCGAAGTATGGGTTGAAGTCAGGAGGGTTTAGGCCTTCGGGTTCACGGGTTTAGGATTAATGAAAAATGTGTGTGTATATATATATATATATATATATATATCCCTGAACGCTAGCCCGAAAACCCTGCACCCTGTAGGATGTATGGTATAATCGGATTTTGCTAGGGTGTGGCGTGTAGGGACGTAAAGAAGAAAGCCTCTTGAAATCAATACTTGACAATGTTCCGGCTTAACATTTTTAAAGAGTGTTCAGGGGGCATTGCAGGGTTTGGCGCATCCAGGCCGCCAAAGCTATGGGGTGCCGTGGGTTGAGGGTACGAGCATTTTGTGGGTAAGAGTCCCTATGCAGTAGAAGGCTTTAGGGTTTTGGCGTTTAGGTTGTAGCGTTCGGGACTTCTGGGTTTGGGATTTGATTAAGTGCATTCGGACTGGTGTTCTTCGTCGCTCTGCCTCTCTCGCCCGCGGCAGCACAGGCTTGCAGCGACTGCTCTGCAATGAAACATGCTGGCTATTTGTCGCGCACGAGCTTGCACAACTGGTCTCAAACTGTGGCTTGCGTCCTATAGAACTTCTCCTTCAAACACTGATCTGGATGATCTGCACCAAGCGCGCGCAAAACAACGCAACAAACTTTCGCAAACAACAAATGAAAAGCCGACGCCCGTACCCTAATTTAGCTCCAAGCAGCTTCTTGGCGAACTGCTGGTAGAATCGCTCAAGCTGGGCGCTCTCCACGCGGTCCCACTCCTTCATTTGAGTGTCGCAGAAAAGAAAGGGACCAAAAGCAGAACTTGGGCAGTACGATTTTCATTACGAGGACTCGAAAACAAGCCGTGATGGTAAGAAGTGCCATATACGTAATGCACACCCTGTGTAAGACCTTGACGGTACGGACACTTGCTGTAAGGCCTCTACGTAAGACTACGCTCTAAGATCAAAAACCCAGTGATGCAGCCAGAGGCGACCGGGGTTTGTAGGGTTTAGGGTTCAGGGTTTAGGGGTTTAGGGGTTTAGGGGTTTGGGGTTTAGGGGTTTAGGGGTTTAGGGGTTTAGGGGTTTAGGGGTTTAGGGGTTTAGGGGTTTAGGGTGTCTCCGGAAGACGTACTGATCCAAACGTCCCAAGTCCTTCTCGATTTGCTTGCATCTTTCCCGCTTGGTGACCTCATGCCAGCTGCAAGAGAGGTGACAGCTCTCTCAGCAAGCAGCAGCAAGAAGAAGGAGCTGAGAACAGAGGATGTCACTAAAGAGAGAATGTAAAGACGAGCATGAACCGCAAACCCGAAACACAAAAACACAAGTAAAACAATGGCCCAACACCCATACAAGGCTATCATTCCCCATATTCTAAGCCTTAAACCCTAAACCCTTTAAGCCCTCTAAGGCCCCGGCCAAGAAGGTCCTGCAATTTTGCTGGATACGCCGTACAGAGTCGACTGCCTTCTTCATCGCAGACTTCACTCTCGCCCATTCACCGAGCTGTCCCAGAGTGACCTTCGAGTGCTGCTCATGACGCTTAGAGTTTAAAGCTTGTAAAGTCTAACGTTTGGGAGTTTGTTTGGGGGTTAGCGGTTTGGGTTTAGGCGAACTTTTGCATTGCCTCATAGAGTGAGATTAGAATAGAATCGAAAGGCTGGCTATCATTATGAATCATGGCGATGCTGCTGTTCTTGACACTCAACTTTTTTTTCATCTTGTCATGGGTGTGTTGTTTTAGTGATGCTGCTTAGCTGCTGCTGCTGTCACTGATGGATGGGGTTAGGGTGTTTGTGGTGGTGATGGTCCTGGTCGCCGTCGTCGCCGTCATCGTCGTCGTATTTTGCCACCATGGTGGATGTTGTGGCCGTTCTACCCAGTATTCTGGTGGTTGCTTCAAATTCTAGTACCAGTACTGCTGACAAGGCATGCTTGTCCGTAAGTATGATTCATTGCAGAAGCTGCAGCGACAGCACCAGCAGCACTGCCAAAGCATGACAGTGTTACGACACACGCAACGGACCACAAGGACAGCGGCACTGATGTGCGCTGATCCTTTGCTTACATAGGCAACACTGCGTGTCCGGGTGCCTTGATCATCTCGACGCACCTGTTGCGCTTCTGCACAGTGCAGAAGACCAGAGTCCAACGCGCGAGGGCCCGGAGAATGGCCCTGGCACGCCTGACTCTTTGCAGTCTCAATCCTACCGTTGCTTGGGACAGTGCAAGTAAAGCTCGATTCTGCATAGACTGTCGGGGGCTGACCGTTGTGGGGTTTGGGGTTAAGGTTGTGAGAGCCTTTCGACATTACCCAGGACGTAACGACTCCGGCTTCGGCTGGTGTTTCAACACCAGACAAGACAGTGAGATGATCTGATTTGCTCACGCAGCAACACGCAGAGAAGCATGCTGCTCGACACGATGGAGTGATAGCATCATGGGCTACAAAATTAGGAAGTTGGGAATTCTGGAGCAATGTCGACAGGAAGCTGCTGAGAATCTGGTATGACAAACTGAGTGTATTGGGACATACCACGTGCAGATACAACAATGATTGCAGCCTGTTCAAAACTTCGACACCATGTAGCATCTGTGGATCAAACAGTCAATGTACATTTTGATGCAGGTACGTAACATGTATGTGAGCGCATTAATATACATATATATATACATATGTAGGAAGAGAGCGAGACATACAGGTAGACACACACACATACATGCAGTTAAACATCATTTCACGACTTAGAACTGACATACAGAAAATCTCCATGTGCATAGTTATGCCCATGACCCCCGCAATACTACCCTAACCCCCTAAGCCCTAAACCCTAAATGCATTAAATGCCCTACGCCCTACCTCCAGGACTTCAAAACCCTCGATCCAAGACCCCAGAAGCCCCTTTTCCAATCTTGCCTGGCCCTCTGCTTCGTCCTCATCCGCATGAGCTCCAACTGCAAGCAGGCTCATGTGTTCCAACATGGGTTTCCGAGGCTCACACCAGTACCCTTCACAAAGGAGTTGCTACGGCTTAATGCTAAAGTGTAGTGTGTGGGGGGAAGCTGAGGGTTTAGGCTTCGGATTTAGGAATACATGTCAACATGTATCTGGACCCTGGCAAGGTGTAGGATATTCTCCAACAAGAAGCTGGTCCCCGCCAAACCTAAAACCCTAACCCCCCCTAGGTCTGCAATACCCGAAACCGTAGATGCTAAACCCTAACGAACATAGCGGCCTTAATAACCAGAGTAGGTTTTTGGGGTGTAGTGTACTAAAAGTAAATTTTTGGTGTTTCTATATACGACAATTTTATCAGGATCCACCAAAAAAGTGCTAGTAATTGTTAGAAACCCGATGGTAAACAAACACTACCACATGCATAGAAAGGCCGGCCTCCAGCGTACGATCCGTGCTGGCCCGGCTCTTCGCTTCTCGCAGGGCGTTCGGCTTCAGGGCTGTACTTGGAGGATCTTGGGACTTGTAATTGGGGTTATAAACAGGGTAACTATAGCTATATTTACTTATAACCCCAACTAGGGTACTTATCACCTTACTTTCACTCCCATGATCATCCAAGTAGGGGATTAATACAAAGCCTTAGTGATCAAGATAGGGTTCTTGGGTATGATACACTCCAACTACTGTGTGTGTACCTAAATAAACAAATAAATAAATACATATAAATAAATATATATATATATATATATATATTCATATATATATATATAGAGAGAGAGAGAGAGAGAGAGAGAGAGAGAGAGAGAGAGAGAGCGAGAGAGAGAGAGAGAGAGAGAGAGAGATAGCTACGGCCTTAATGATTTCAGGGTAAAATATGCTCCAATTATGATAAGGAACCCGAAAAGGAATACTGTTGGTAATCATTCCGACCCCTATACTACAGCTCTCGGGCTTCAAGCTTCAATCCAAGGGTAAAAGGAGGGACCCTTAATAAGGAGCCCTAGGTATGTACCCTTCATATAGCTATTATATACCCATTATATAGCCCATTATAGGGTAGGGGTCCCCATTAAGGGTCCCTCCTTTTCCCCTTTGATTCAACTAAACCCTAAACCCTAAACCCTATAGATCCCTTTAAAGGAACCCTTATAGATCCCTCTAAAGGAACCCTAAGAGCCCTAAATTAAGGGTCCCTCCTTTTCCCCTTTGATTCAAGGGTATTCGGAGAGTTGGCCCTGTAGGAGACCAGCTCTTCAGGGCTCAGGATGTTCGGATGTACCTACCCAAAGGGTCCTATGTACTGTTATGGGGGATGCTTCCCCAAATCATAATAGTAATTCCTAAAATAGAAACCCTACATTCTACTATAAAGGTACTTTGGACCCTTTGGGCTATAGTCTCCATTGTAGTTCCTTTTCTGGGTTTACTGAAATATATAAAAAGGATCCTATAAGGTAGCCCCAAAAAGGAACTACCATGGAGACTACAGGTAGAGCTGCAGGTTTGCTTAGGGTTTAGGGTTTAAAGGTGTAGGGGCTTAGGGTTTAGGTTTTAGGGTGTAGGGGTTTAGGGCTTAGGGTTTGGGCGGTTTAGGGTTTAGGGTTTCTGTTTAGGGATTGTCTGAGGTCAATATTTTGGGGGTTCAGAGAGTGTTGCCGTAAGGACTTCCGGCTTATGGTATTGGATGCTTGCGTTGGAGCGCCATTTCTGGCAAATGATGCAAAGCTAGGAACTCGTTCAGAAGCCTGTCCTACATCGACACTTCCACAGTACTATAGGGGCCTTAATAATCAATCAGAATATGCTTTTGGGTTCCGTAATGCGATAGTTAAAATGGAGAAACCCCAAAATAGTATTGGTAGTTTATTCAGGCGCCCTAAAGTAACCCTTAAACTGCCATGAAACCCCAAGGAGGTGCCCTCACAAACAAGTTGTCCTTGTGAAGGGGTGGCCTCTTAGTTCAAGGCGAGTGAACCCGGATTTGGATTTGGCAGTTAAGGCACCAGATGCGGACTTACAGTTTTCCAGCAGTTCAAGTCTGGACGATATTGACGGTGGAACTGCATAGGCTCATATTGGTACAAGCATTCCCCAATCAAAAGTCCCGGGTGGGGGGTCTTGGGTGCGAGGATGCCAAATTGCCCTTCAGCTTGCAACGAGAACACACAAGGGTACGACAGTTTTCGGGGTCTCGGTACTATAGGATCCTACTACGGTGCGACCCCTTCTTTTCGGAAAATCCTGTAAACTAAGTTGAGTGACCGGTTATGCCCAAAACCTGGATCCCAAACCAACCTCAAACCATGTGTGTCCTGGAAAGCGCCCAGACATGCTGAGCTGTTCGCCAGTGGCACACTGGGTCAATTTTCCGAGTGACCGGAACAAACTGCTGCTGGTGCTCTCCTGGGCGTTGAACCCTGATGCTAAACCTTACACCTGAAACCGTGAACCCTAAACCTAGAAGTTTAAACCCCGGTCCCAGAGCTTAAACCCTGAACCTAAAACTAGCCAAAACCTCGTCTAAACCCTAAACCGCAAAAAAATGGACCTTAGGCTTAAACCCTAAACCGTGAAGGACCGAAACTCTCCTCGAGCTTCGGCTCTGCTTGAAGCAACTGGCCGTGATCAGTTTTGGGGCATTTGGTTTAGGGTTTAGGTTATAAGTGGCCGCCCTGTAGACCCAAACCCCAAACCCTGGATACATAGCTACTATGATCTTGCGAGAGCCGAAGCCCATTGAGTCCCCAATCTTGACCTGGTTAGAAGCCGCTAGGTGCATGCCCCACTTCTACATGCACCCTACGCCCTAAGCTCGAAACCTGAGACCATGCAAATTTCGTAAGATGAACATCGTCGAGTCGGGAACGCCAAACATACGAACATGTGTTGAACACGTTCTTCCCAAAGAGTATGGTCATATTCCGCTTGCATTCTCTGTATCTCACAGTCTTTTATGGTGGTATATGGTATGATTTTCGATTAAGAAGGGTCGCCTTGGGTTCTCTTAGTGAAACATCCTCTTGCTAACCTATGCCCGTATCTGGAGCCCGAAGAAGGAGACCTCAAAAAGGGCATTACAATATGGAAGTCGAAAAAGTCAGGCTTGTCAGGGTTCATCCAGGCACTAAACCATCAGCCACCCTGATCCATATGTCCCTCCCAGAGTTTCGAGAGTAACCTGGCCGAACTCGCAAATGATGACTTCGGGCTTTTCGGGTCCGTGGGACATTCTCAGATTTCGGGGGGAGTTTCGGGTTTAGGGTTCTTGGTGTTTAGGACTGAAGGTCCTGGATCTTCCCTAAACCCTAAACCCTAAACCCTGAACCCTAAACCCTAAACCCTAAACCCTAATGGGGTTTAGCGCTCCCGAAGCCCTCGCCTAAACTCCTGGCGGATAGATCCGAAACATTGGAGCCTCTGTGGACCTACCCTAAAGCTCCATAGTAGTTCCTTTTCGGGGTTCATATATAAAGTTCTATAAGGTCATCCCAAAAAAGGAACCACTATGGAGCCTCTGTGGATCTACTTCTTAGGGTTTAGGGTTTAGAGGTTTAGGGTTTGGGGCATTTAGGGCTTCAGGGTTCAGGGTTTACAGGCAGAATCCAGAATGCCGATAATAGAGAAGCCCCAGGAAAATACCACTGAGGACGCCGTGATGTTGAGTTGCTGTTGCTCTAGGTGCCTTGACAAATTGAAGAGGGTTGGGGGTGTAGTATACCATAAACATACCAAAACCCCCCCCCCCCCCCGAAAAGATCATTAGTACTTCTTTAATACCATAAATATACAAAAAATCACCCCTAAAATGGCTTTGGTAGTTCTGTAGGCTTCTATGCTACGGACTTCGCATGCTCTGCATCTCAGGTGTAGGGATGCTGGTCATTGGTGATGGAAGCCGCTATGATGATCATAGTGTCATAGTGACGATGAATATATGAATATACATATTATGATGATGATGACGATGACGATAACTAATGATGATCGTTCCAGCATGCTACAAATCACCGTCACGAACATGCACAACGACACATAAACGCAAACGGCAAATGCACGCACCAAAATACCAGCACCAACGGATCTTCAGCAATGCAGGAGTCGTAAAATTGCTAATGCTGCGATTCCGCAGGGCTCCTGAATATACTTAACCCAGTACAGTACAAACATTACCCCAAAACCTCAGTAATTATGATGATTGATTATCCTCGCCGTCTTACAGCTGAGAAGCCGGTGCAGCAGCGAGTTTGTTCGCCAAGTTGTCGATGAGGCCATTCCTGGTATTTTATGTTTCAGGCTAGGGTTTAGAGGGAGCACACTCTTGCAACTGGGCAATGCCAATTCCGGGCATGGTAGGGTTTCGTCTCCAGGATGTAGGGTAGCTGTGAGCACTATAGTTCGCCCAACGACTGGAACAGTGTACTGTCACAGGGTCATGGTTTCGTCGGATTCTATCATGTAGCTGTGGGGGGCTCGAAGGCTCTAGGGGGGATTTAAGGCTAATCACTCAGGCCTGTCCATTATCACCATGACCATGACCAAAAGAACTCATCCTGTGTACCGTTCATGGTTCCGGCTGGTCACGCTAGTCCGACACCTGCATTATTTGAACTATGCAGGGCTTTCAGGTATAGACCTAGAAAGTCCCGGGGGAAGATCACATCATCCTGCTTCAAAGGGCTAGCACGGTGAATCACCATGCATTAACCTTAAGCCCTCGCCGAGTACTTCACCTTCGTTACAATGACCTGTGCCCCAGCAGAGGCAAAGCTACTTTTCATCTTTTCTTGGGATCCCGCTAGTCCCTCCTCTAGCCTAAGGGTCCATGTACCCAAGTACAGTAGGATATAACCTTACCATATTTTTGTCCTAAAGTAGATATAGCTACATGAGTCCAAAGGGTTAGATCTAAACGATCTTTTGAAAGACCCCGAAGCCCTGAACCCTTACAGAACCTTTGGAAGGCTCTATGAAAAACCGTCATACAAACACAAACAGATTAGGAGACACAAACACAAACAGGACAAAACCAAATTGACGAAACAACTAGTTCTAACTGAACGTAAGAATAGACGCTCCCCTCTCTCAAAGGATCCCTGAAAGGATCCGATAAGGAACGTTGAAAGGAACCCTTATGGGACCGAGGCTCAGGTTTTGGGCCACCACCGTCTGCAAGGAGTCGATCTCGGGGTCAGGACGCGTTTTCTCGAAGTCGAAGTAGGCCTCTCGATCTCTCTGTTGTCATTTAGGGCTTTCGGGGTTTAGGGTTTAGGGCATCTCTGTTTCTGGTGTCATTTAGGGTTTGGGGCTTCAGGGGTTTAGGGTGGATCGCTCTCTTCGTTGCCACGTAGGTTTTGAGGATGGGCCTCTCTTTTGTGCTTTCATTTAGGCCTTGGGGTTTTGGGGCTTTCGAGGAGGTTTAGGCTATAGGACCTTTTTATAGACTTTATTTGGGGGAATGGATTTAGGGGTCAGTTTCAGGTTTCCTGTGCGGGTTCCAAGAGCTGCACAAGGGTTTCTGGGGCAGATCGACAGGGCTTGCGGCATATGAGCGCCTGAACATCCTCAAAACAAGGGACCTTCCTTTCAAGCAGAAGCCCGATGAACTCGGCAGGTTGCGGGGTTCCGATTTCGATGGTTAAGGGCTGAGGGATCGGGGGTTCTGGATCTGGGATTTGGGGAGCTTGAGGAGCGGAAGCGTAGATACAGGGAAGTGGATCTCCTGTCAAACTCTGACTGGTGGTCTTACTTAGGGTGGAGTTCAGAGGTACGGAGGGACACGCGCAACTCGGGAAGTGCAACCGGACTTCAACACCCTCCCTTGATGCGCGAAACTAGAAGAACCTGCAACGGCTGCTTGCCTACATGCATGAGATTTCGTAGCCTCATGCCATGAAGTCCGAACTGGGCTCTTGACCCTACTATGCTACACACTAAACATCTCAGTCGAGATGAGAACGACTCTTGCCGGTTTAAGGCTTTGGAGGTGGGGTTTAGGGTTTCGCTGCTTAGGGTTCAAAGGGCTTTCGGCTGTAGCGTCTCGGGTTCCGTACTTAAACACCCTAATCACTCACCCCATGTTCGTAAAACCCCGAATAAACCCCTAGGACCCTGAACCATCCCATAAGCCCCGAAAGCAAATGACTGGCCTGAAGCGAGCCCATCTCAATGCACATGTCCTGAGCTCGGCATTTGGTGTTCATGATGTAGCTTGCCTCTCTTTCTGTAGGAGCCTTTTAGCTTTATCCCCACCCATCGAAAAAAGAGGGATCCTGATTTCTGTGCGCTCCCTTTGATACCTGGGGTTAGAACGGCTGGTGTTGAGGGTATACCAGCGTCTCCGGGGTGAGGCTTGCTGCTTGAAGATGCGTGTCTTTACCGCTACACCACGTAATCAAGCAACTGGAAGTACTACCACCATCAACAACATCATGATGCTCCTCGTCTTGTTCGTCATGGTCGCGACAGTGCTGATGATTATGTTGCTGGCGGTGTTGTTGCAGATGTGACGGTGCCGCTGCTGCTGCTATTGTTGCTTTTGCGAGGCTGAGGAGGCCTCCTCAGAACTACTGTTGATGGACAAAATCCTGCATTACCCGTTATACGGAATATCCCATGGTTCCCATAGTTTAGAGTCCTTAGGGTCATGCAGGATATTGTCCATCAACAGTAGGAACCCTAAACTCTACACCCCAAACAAGCCGTGGGTCCATGGGAAGGCCGCTGCGCATGGAGCACAGCTTCTTGAGGATGGCCTCTACTCGGAGAGCTTGCCTTGCGGGTTTAGGGTGCAGAGTTTACGGCCTCGGGCTTCGGACTTCTTGAAAAGTCTTTGTGAGGTACTCTCATGGTGGCTGTATAGGGCTCCCCAGGGTGTAACAAGGTTATGTAGCTATAGGTTTTATAAGGTTGGTTAAGAGGTTTTCACGTTTGAGTTGTTAGGGCTTAGTTTTTGAAGGTTTTGGGTTTGCCTGCTTAAAGTTGTTAGGGCTTTTAGCGGTTTGCTTCGTTTCTGTGTTTGGGATCCGTTTTTTGTGTAATTGCGTAAGGGTCCGGGGGTTTGATCCTGTCGGGATTTATGGCTTTCTTTGGGCTTCGACTTGCCTTTTTGGATTGGGTCGGGTCTGGGGCTTGCGACGATGCGTTTGTCCTTGTGTGCAATGTAAGGGTTAAGGACTTTCCGTTTGGAGTCTGGGGCGCTTGGGGCTTGCCATGTCCGGGTTTGGGTTTGCAGCTTTCGACTCTGTACTTACGAGGGCTTGGCGCCGAGGTCGAGGGTTCAGGACCTGGTGTTTACGATGTTCGTGGTTCTCAAATTATGGTCCCTTTTTGGGTCCCTATTATAATACGGCACCTAATACCTAATATTTAGGGTGCCCAAAAAGGGACCCTAATTTTCACAACCACCCATGTGTGGGCCTTCATGACCTCAGCTTCGTTGGGGCCCTGAACCGACTTGGGGGTTCAGATCTGGTTGAAGGTGAAGGGCCCGGTGCTTCCTACTAGGTTGGCCCTTTAAAGCCTCTGAAAACTATTCGTAAATAGGGTCCTATTAAGCCAAATAAGAAAATACAAAATGTCCCAAAGGCCTATACCTAGCCTAGTAGTTCTTCCTATGGTTGATGATATAAATCCTGCATTACCCATAATGAGGAATATACCACAATTCCCATAGTTTGGGGTCCTTAAGTAGGGTAATGCAGGATTTGTATCATCAACATGGTAATTGGAGCAGTGGGTTCAGGGCCGGCGAATGGGTGACTTTCACGTGCCCAAGCGCAAACTTCGCACAACAGCCCTTTTAGAAAATGTCAAGCACGCTCTTAATCAAGCACCCTGGGCTAGTTTAGCCAATACCGAAGTCCCAAGCTGCGGAAGCACGCACGAAATTCAGCAAACCGAGAACATTGAAGCCTTGCCATAGAACTATACCCTCCATCTCTACGTCCTCCAAAACCCCAGGAGCTTACATCCTGAGCCTCAAGTCTCAAACCCCTAGCTACCCCCTCCTGAACGGACTTACAAAGCTGCGTATATCCTTCTACAACGCCATAAAACACTTGAAACCTTGCAAAGCCTCATGGTACCCTTAAGGTTTATGTACCCCGTAAACCCTAGATCATTAAACCTATAAACCCTCCAGCGAAAAACAATGAAATCCATATGGATTCCGTTGAAACTCCTTCCGACCTCTTTCCAAGACCGTTGGAAACCCTAAACCTGAAATATAAAAGATCAACCGTGGACAAACCCTAAACTCAAACCCTTGATGCCCTAGACCCTAAATCTTAAACCCCTATACCCTAAACACCATAAACGCCAGACTCTAAACCCTAAATCCGATAATCCCTGGTCACAAAATCTCAAACACTGAAAACCCCTAACCCTACAAGCCCTAACCTTGCCCTCAACCCTAAAAACAGCAGCTAAAAAAACACAAACCTTTTGCAGTGAAACCAGGTCAAGCCTTCGCGCCAGAACGCTTTGCCGGCGCTCGTCCCAAGACACAGACTGAAGGGACTCTCGGGTACCTTTGTGTTGTTATCTATGTTTGTTGGATTGTGGGTGTGCGCGTGTGTTCTTTTAGCTGTTCGGGTTTCATCTGTGTTTCTTTCTGGTTGATAGTTGTTTGGCTTGTTTTTTGCACCACGGTTCGGGTTTGAATCGGGCTTCGGGTTTCAATTCTAAAGAGCTGACTACGCCCCTTTGCACGACCGGGCGACGCTTCGGAGGTCTTGGGCGTACCTAAACACCCAACTGTCCTCTACTATGGCCCGCAAGCCCACCTGAACCCGAAAGCCTAAAGCCGAAATCCTACCGTGGACGACCATACCGGCTCTGCTAGAAGGTACTTGGAGGGTCCTCAGGACTGTCCTTCACGACCTTAACGTCGAGAGATCTCGAATTTGGACTTGTCAGTTTTGGCATGTAAATGCTTTACGGAATTGAAGCGTATCCAACCCTCTAGGCAAACTTCTGTATTGAATCATGAAATCCTACGCCCGCAAGCAAAAAATCCCGAAGCCCTCCCTCCTGGCCGTTGGAAGCCGAAACCCTAGCACTGAGGGACCATAAGGGACCCTTGGTCCGAGCCCAAGAGCTATAGCCACTGATGGAGGACTTCATGCCCACGGATTTTGCAGAGCGGGGCGACAAGGAGTCGAGATCCTGCTTGGCGAATTTGCGAGTCCCGACCCAAAACCGTAAAACTCAGATATGAACTCCTAAGAATTTAAGAAGCCCGATTCTACACCCAAAACTTTGTAGATGCGGGTTGGGGTCTGAGGGTTTCGGGTTGAAGGGCTGATGGTTGTGATTTTGCGATGTCGTGCGTACAGCTTCTGGGCATGCAAGGCTTGCCGGTACGTGCATGTGTCCATTTTCTAGTCTGACCGAGAACTATATATAAGCTTCTGTTTATGCTAAAATATCTTTCTGCTACCGGTTGGTCGACTAATTGTTGCACTGGAACAGGTTTATTGTCTTCGGTTGGACGGCCTACATTTCGAATCTCCCCCCTCCGCCCACACCCAGGGACTTGTTCTCCCGGCTCGCGCGTACACTGTAATCGTGACAAATGTAAAAACATTTGGAAAAACAATGCCGAAGTACAGAAATTACGAGACAAAAGCCCAAAATCCATTCATCAAGGTGCAGACAGCCCTATTCACATTCACTTTATGTCCGCACCCAGCCCGGAAGCTGCTTCGCAACATGTTCCGCCAGAGCAGGTTTTCCAAGAGTGCAGTGCGGAATACATGTGCTGCGATATATTCTCCACGGCGGGATAAAAATATTCGACAAACTTAATGGTGCGGTATACCTCGAGGATGCGCGAGCAGATCGATTCAGCGGCTCTAAGCAGTTCTCTTGTTACCACTGCCGGACACTTCCTCATTCCAAAACCCAACCAAATGAACACTGCTTCCATGAATGCGTTACTGGTCCATTTATGACCAGCGTGGCTCAGCGGGCTAGAAATATAGTGGTTGGGCACCCCCAAATCTAGCGCGCTTGCACCTGCAATGTCGCGACCCACTCGCTTCCACAGAAGCAAATCCAAAACCCCGACACCAGGGAAACCCTCAAGTGCTCAACCACTGCAACATGCTCCAATGCCGGTGCATTTGTGCTGCAGGCAGTTCACATCAGGTTTGCGAGAAGAATCCTTGAGCATATGCAAACACCGAAACCGAATCACATCCCATCAATCAATATGGCAAAACAAAGATCTCAGACACGGAAACGGCAGCAGGATACCAACCATTCTCAACCGGGAACCCCTCGGACCGTCCAAATGATGACCGCACTCCAATCTTGCATTGGAAGTCTAGCTCTTGTTATTCCCAACCCCACCACGCATCACATACCTTGAGTCGCTCTGACGTCGTCTTCAGCAGGCAGCACCCTTGCATAACATTCGACTTCATTGCACTGGGACGTTTGTTTGAGCCGTCCCCCGTCCGGACAAAGAGGTCGGATAACTCAATTCCTAAGTCGACGAAGCTTCCACGATGGTCGCCCACTCCGAAAGCTCCAGTTCTTGGTACAGGTGTCCAGGGTAGGGGAGCGATGCGCTTGTTTCGGGGATGTAACAGCGAAGCCTGACTGGGAGAGAATATCTGCGCTGTGTCAGGGTTTCTCCGAAACTCCTACGCCTAGAAATCTTGTGTCCATCGCAAACCTCAGAACCCTGACGCCCGAAAGTATCCTAGGTCCAGTCGTTACATACTGGCAGCTAGCCACGACACTCAATTGACAAGAAGCCACCGACCTGATCCAAATCACAACCAATGCCCCAAGTCCGTTTACGTGAGTGGGGGTTAGAGTTGGGCAGTGCCGGCGAAGGGTTCGGCACCGAGGCTTGTCTGGTATGACGTTGGCGGTCCCTCCGTAGGATCGACTTGAGCGGCATAATTTGAGGGATGGGATCGAAACATGCAGCATTTATTGTAACTACAGCCGTACATAGACATAGCAGCTGGGAGCCGTAGGATGTCCCGGAAACTACACTCAACATCTGCTGGAGTAGGAGTTGGGGAATGAATTGTGCCATTCCTGTTTAGGGGTTCGGGTGATTAAAGATAACCATTCCCTCAAATTCAAAACCAGACACCAAGCCCTATACTGAGCAGCAAACCATCCCGCCATCCCAAGACCAAGCACTCATTTGTAATGTAGGGGCCGTAATTAGAACAGAGTTCGGGGGTAGGTTATACTATAATTATAATAAAAGGAATCCCCAAACTAGTATGGTAATTATAAAAGCCCCTACATTATCTGCAAGAGCTTCCATGCTCTGGTTGCTTTTGCAAACGGGAGAGTGTTTTGATTTGTGTGCTGCTATCAAAGCAGGCTGTACCGCGGTATCCGGCGAGCCCCAACAAAACAGCGGGTTTGAAGTGCCCCGGGCTTCGTTACTAGTTCTTATAAAAAGAAAAAAGACAGTATCGCCAGAACAATTCGTGCTACCAGTCCATAGGGTGGTTCGTTGTCCGCATCGTACTATACCCCTGACCCTGCTATAATCAGTCAGGCCTATCGTAACCAAATGACAGTCTAATCTCCAAGTCCACAACCTCGAGACACTGTCTGAACCCTCTATAGAGGCCCGCACAATGATATAGGGACCTCAACAACTAATTGGTGGGGTGTTTTGCAGTGCAGTTTAATGCCATTGATGTGCAACCAGCCCCAAGAAGAAAGTTATTGCTCACTCTTCAGGCCCCTACATTAACATGTAAGGTGTCTGATTACCGCACACCCTCCTTACGACTTGGTCATCATGCTGTGGTCTCAACCAGAAATCACTGAACTCCACATTCCTAACACTCCTACACCCCTGCAGCTTAAAGTCTCAAGCTCTCCATCCCATGCACGCTCAATGCTGTACTTATTCTAGGCTAGCTATTTTCAAGGGTTTGGGGTCATATACTGGGGTTTACAGTATATCAGTATATCTTTGAAGCTCTAGCAAAACCCAGGAACAAAAACTCAACGAAAACGGTCCCTAAACCCTGAACCCTGCACATATTGAAACACAAATCTAAAATGCGGAAAAGATCGCTCATAAACCCCTAGAAATACTGAATCAACAAATGAAACCCTAAAATGATCGTCCCTACACCCTAACTCCTATAAATGCTCAGGCAAAGAAACCTGAAAGCCCTTAAATGATCCGCCTAAACCGTACTTAGAGGATCATGGGGCTTTGTAACCAGGGTTTTTACTAAGGCAAGTAGCCTTACTTCCTAAGTCCCATGATCCACCAAGTGCCATAGATTCCTTTTATCGTACCCCTTTCTATCCCTTATAAATAGTACCCCTATATATAGATTCCTTATCGTACCACTATATATCCCTTACAATACCCCTACAGATCCCTTAAAGGGCCCAAAATCTTTTTCGAAATCTAGAAAAATTAAACGAAAAATTCTACAATGAAAAACATATTCATATCCCGAAGCCCCTACCCTTGGCGCCTTCTTGGAGGCCTCCCTCTGCTCGCGAGCGCGCACCATGTCGATGAAAGCTTCGATGCCAGCACGGCCTTGAGGGTTTAGGGGTTAGGGGGGTTAGGGTTTTAGGGGTGAGGGATTTAGGGGTTTTAGTGGCTTTACGGTTTAGGGGTTTAGGGGTTTTAGGGCTTAGGCATTTAAGGGTTTTAGGTATTTGGGGTTCTAGGGATTTGGGGTTTGAGGGCTTATGGGTTTAGGGTTTTAGGGGGGGTTAGGGTTTTAGGGGGTGAGGGATTTAGGGGTTTTAGTGGCTTTAGGGTTTTGGGGGTTTAGGTCTACGGTTTAGGGTTCAAGGGATCTAATCTAGGCTTCAGGGGTCTAGGGTTTAGGGGCTTTAGGGGTTTAGGGGCTTTAGGGTGTAGGGTTCAGTTCAGAAAGCCCTACCTAGAACCCCTCGAAATAGGAAAAATAATGGGATTTGGGGCTCAAGAAGCCGCAAACTCGATAGGCGAGAAGGGTTTGCAAGGGGTTCAGTAAGGGTGTTGTCTTGATGGCCCAAAGGATGGCGAATGGGTTCAGTGTGGTTAGCAGTGTACAATGCGGTTTATGATGACTATTCCGGAGAGTATAAAGAAGCCCTATTCTAATTATTCAGGCCCCTATATCATAGTACCCTTACAGTAACCCTTATAGTAGCCCTAAACTTCCAGGGACTTGGACCCTTGTGGAACCCCAGGGTCTGTTCTTCAGCGCTCGCCTGGAGTTTATTTAAGGGGAAGCAGCCAAACTGTCTGTGAACGAGGTTGCTGTGGCACGGGGTGGCCTTGTGGGAAGGTTGTTTGCGGCGCCTAAGAGCTCGTCACCAAGTGGTGATGTCCTGGAATTAGTGGGCTTTGTGTCGTCCCTTTGAAGGGACGTTGGGTGTAAGGCATTGGATAGGGCATTCGAAGTGCCGAATGTAGCAGGAGGTTGCAGAAAGAAGAATGCCATGGACGTTTCGATTTCAGTTGAAACGAGCATCTCATGCGAGTATCTAGCCCTTCGTTCTCAAAAGTCTTCTTCGCAAGCTTTAAAAGTTGGGCCGGTAACACTTATGGCCCTTACTGTTACATCACCTTGTTCTCCAGGCCCTTGCCACATACCAAGTCCAAAGTTACGGTGTATCCCCCCACAGCCGTCCATCTACAAGGTTCCTCAATACTTAGTAAACCGCGGCCCTTTGAAACTTCCCTGAACTCTAAACCCGAAACTCCTACTCCTTAAGCCCATAAAGCCTAAACAACTTAACTCAACACCCAAATGCTTAAACCCCAACCCCCCCACCCCCCAAACTCCTGACCCCAATGCCCTAAAACCGTGTGCCCACCTTTCAGCTGCAGACATCGATTTTGGATGTTCTCCACATCCACCAGCGAAACCGTCTCACGCCCTTGAGGACCATCGACCTGCGGTGCTGGGCTTTATTGCAGGGATTATCATTCAGGGTTTGTAAACCTAGGGTTTCAGTCTTATCATTCAGGGCCGATAAACCTTAAGCTTAAGGCTTGAGGTTTAGGGCTGGGGGCTTATCATTCAGGGTTCATAAACCTTAAGGCTTACTAAGGCTAGGGCTTCTTGTAAGTGCGGTAGCCTCTTTGTCCGCAGCAGCATTCTTGGAGGCTTGTTCAGGATTGAGCTTGCACGCGGTCCCTCTGTCAATGCTCACCCTCGACGACACCATCATAGGGTTTAGGGTTTGGGGCTTGTCAATCAGTGCTGATAAACCTAAGCTTAAGGCTTAGGGTTTGTCATATAGGTTAGAAGGGCCCCCCCACCCTCTAATAGTGACTATAAGGATTATATAGGATTATATTAGGGCCCTATTATATTCCTATTATACCACTATTACAGGGTGGGGGCAGCTTCTAACATATAGGGTTATAGCCCTAAAACCTAAACCCACAGCCCCTGTATCGTAGGGCATATTGAGGACTGCAGAAGATGGCTCATCTAGAACTTAGGGTAGCTTCGGCCTTATAAGCTACTCCCATTCTCAACGACCGACACAACAAGCCCCATCCGACATAACCACCACCATACCTCAAAGCACGACGTGACAGATATCTAGAGCTCTCCTAAGCCCCTAGACACACAACCAAACGCGACCAGACCCAAACCCAAAACTCAACCACTCTAGCTCGGTTTCTTGCTGGTAGGATGCTTATGTCAAAGGGGAAAAGGAGGGACCCTTAATGGGGACCCCTACCCTATAATGGGCTATATAATGGCCATATAGCTATATTAAGGGTACATACCCAGGGGTCCTTATTAAGGGTCCCTCCTTCTCCCCTTTGTTTATGACCAAATCGGTGTTGCATATCGCTCAAGGGGTCTCTTTTGGGATGAGCTTGGGCACCAAATCCCAAAGTTCAGGTCCTAGTGACTGTAGTGCTACGGGTTCATAAAGTAAGTAGTTTAGGGGTGTAGGGTGTATACTAGTATACTCCTAAGCTCCTGCCCCTTCCAAGATGATCAGGTTTCATGTACATACACCCTAAACCCTTAACCCCAAACCCTAAACCCTAAAGTCTCAGCCCATCAACCACCAATCCGGCATCCCACACCCGCCCGAATCTCACCGAGACTAGAGTAGAATACGAAATCTCGCCACGAAGGGTTTGGCAGAGTATTATCCTGAATAGTTAAGTGTGTCTTTGGTTAAAAACATCAAAGACAAGACCCGAAATCCTAAACCTTAAAGCCCTCAGCATTAAGTCACCAGCCCTCAGCTCCAAAGCCTCTTCCAACACGGAAACACAATGCCAACGCACAAAAGCCAACTGGACATTTACCCAGATCCCAGCGACCCTGCGCCCTCCGAATGCCCTTAGCCAAAGAAGGCCCGCAGTCCTAAAAAAACGAAAAGGCCGAATCATTCGGGTTCAGGGCTTGATCTGGTAAACTTGTCCTGCTAAACCTGAAACCGATCTTCCCGAAAATGTGTCGCCCCAGAACTCCAAGCTGTTCCCTGTAGATTCTCACAATTTTCATCTTTTGCACAACTTTCAAGCACGATGCATCCTACATGGGCAAAGAACATCGAACACCAAACCAGTAAAATCGCTTTGCCTCCTGCCTAGGCCTCAATCCCTCAATCCACGCACATTGCCTTTGGAAATTTGCTCCCTCCCCTTAACCCTAACCCTCCTGAGCCCTAAACCCTAAACCCTCCCCCTTTGCACCGGACCTCGACAGGATGCATGGGAATGCTCGCCGCCTTTTCGTTGTCGCCGTCGAAGCGCCGCCGATTTTCAATGCGCAGGGCCACCTACCCGTGGGAGTTTAGGGTTCAGGGGTCCCCTTGACTCTAAGCCTCAAGCCATAAACCCCTAATTTCAGTTTCTGGGTTTGGGATTTGCGGATTCTGTCATAGGGTGCATGGCTCGTGCTCCGGATTCGCCACCAAGCCATGTAATATCCTGTAGCAGCCTTAAAGCGCAATAGACCGCGCAAAGCCCCAAGCGCCCGGCGCCCGGCAACTTTTAAGGGCCGCAGGGCTTAGGGAGCATTCGACGTCGTGAGCTTCCGGGTGTTAAACGAGGATTCACCTGAAGTCTGCAGCCCAAAAGGTTGGTGTTGAGAAGACCCTGAACCTTGAGCCGCTGTCAGTGTTGTTGCAGCACGTCCTAAAGTTCAGCACCCACGTGCCAACAGCCGCAACCCCGAACCTAAACCTGAACCCCCAAAGCCAAACTCAAAACATACAAAATCATGGAACGCAGCCGAGGTCGGTCTGTGTCAACGACCATCTCTGCTACCGGCCGTCTAGGAAGTTCACAAAAGGGGATGTATGGGGTTTCGGCCGTAAACCTCTCATGGTTAGTGATTCAAAGATAGCAAGGCTCCCCAAACGACGCCAACATCCCTGGGTCTGTTCCTTAATCATATTCGGGATCGTACTATGATTGAAGGTATATCCCGTCATTAAGTTAATAGTTGGCTGTGCGGGGGGCGGTGCAGGGTACACGATTTCAGGCTTTGGGGTTTAGGATTCTGTGCTTGCACTTGGGATTGTGTTCTAGGTTGCTGTAATGAAGGCAACTGACTTGGCTAAGCCCAGGTGCTCAAATAAACTCTGATGCATAGGCTCTAAAACCTTACGCTCCAAACCTAACCCCTTCGGTTTCTTCCTGAAACCTAAACCTCGAAACCCCTTAAGCCCCTAATCCCCGAAGCCCCTAAACCCCTATAGATATGGACTCTGAACCCCTGAACTCTAAGTCTCCCGAACCCTAAGTCTCCCGAACCCTAAGTCTCCCGAACCCCAGGTCTCCCGAACCCCAGGTCTCCCGAACCCGAAGTCTCCCGAACCCAAGTCTTCAGCATCCGGCACCTGTCTTCGAAACGGGAAAGTCTAAAATCGCTTGGGGGTTGGAATAGCGTTTCGGGATATACTGCATGTCAAGCTCCGTGTAGTAATTACCACAAGGAGCTCGAATGGAAGACGTTGATAATTTTTCAAGTTTGTGGCCGCAAAAGTGGTGTCATACAGTAGCAGTAGAAGCTAGAAAGCTTGCACATCATTACGGGCATGCCCTTAAGATCTAGTATAGAGGATCCCAGCTCTTGACTTTAAAGGGTTGTTGATAGCTATGAGGCTCAGCCTTCTTCTTGGGATCCGCAGCCTCCTGCTCCCGCTTCCGGGCCTCTTGAAACTTAGGGTCTGGTTTAGGGTTGAGGATTTGGGATTCAGGTCTTGGCATGTGGCTTCAGGGTATAGGCAATAGTCAGCTCTGGATTTCCAGTTCAGGATGTTGGGTTTGCGCATTTTGGGCTTTACTTTTTCTGATGGCGTTCAGCGCTTTCAAGAGTCGTACTGGGTCGTGGGGCAGCAGCAAGTGTGGGCTGGGTTTCTTAGGCTGGACCTGAAGTTTAGTGCCCGGAATTCTTCTACATACCACTAAAACCCTAAAGCCCCAAGACAGTGAGCCGAAAACCTCAAAATCGTGAAGCTAAGAGTCCCAAAACCTGAAATTGTAAATGAAATTTTAAACCCAGGTGCCCTAGCCCTAGCCCTACGCCACAAATCCTAAACTCTTCATGCACTTGAACCAAACACACATGGACAGATTTTGGCTTCTGGTGGACTTGGGAAGACTCTCCCATAAATAAACCCTACAAAATCCTACGAAGCTAGGTCCTAAACCCCATAGGGTGTAAAGCTTAGGATTGCAGTAGACTCTAAACCTAAAGCTCTAAACCCCAAACTCCCTCCTTAGCTCCTGCCTTGCGCTTCTCCTCTTCTTGGAGGCGCTTCTCCTCCTCGCGACGCTTTCGCTCCTTCTCCTGCGAATTCTTCTTTCATTGTTACTGTTCTTCGTGTTACTACTATAGTGTCATAATCGATGATGGTGGTGGTGATGATGGTGAAGAAGATGAAGATCATGATGAAGAAGATGAAGAATAAGAAGATGATGATAACGATGATGCTAACCGTCATTACTGTTTGAAGGTTGTAGTGTTTGAGGCTGCAGGGTTTACTTTCGTCTATATTTCAGTCAGGCTTGTGGTGCAAAGTGTCTGTATGAACGGCATACCCTTAACCCAAAAACACCCTAACCCTAAACCCTAAGCCCCAAACCCTTTAAATCCTAAACTCCCAACAACGCAAACCTGTGCCCAGCTCCTCTGTCTTGGACCGCCAGTTCTCGAAGCGGATGCTGCGTGCCATGTCCTCCAGTCGATCGGTAACACCTCGGACATCATGTCCGAAAGCTTCAGACCTGGGTGCGCAGGGCTCCTTTAAGGGTTCTATGTTGGTGAAGGGTTCCTTGAAGGCTGTAGGGCACTGTAGGGGTTCCTCTAAGGGTTCCGTTGCAGGAACTAGAATCGTAAGGGCTTCTGGCTTCAAGGGCTCCTCTACTAAGGGTTCATTGTAGGGAGCCATAAGGGTTATACAAATAGTACCGACCCCAAAGTATCTATAAATAGGACCTACTTTGGGTTATTTGGTGCCCCAGGGTTTCTATGAGTATGAGGGAGGGAGGGAGGCTGTAAGGTTGCACTTCAGCTTCTGAGCTCAAGACTGCGTACTTTATGATTTGTTGGAAACCGAAGGTATACCTGAGGTACCAACACCCTAACTTATCCCCTGAACCCTAAACCATCCTAGACCATGAACCCTAACGCCTAAACCTGTGCCACCGAGAGGCAAGACCTCGAAGCTGTCGAGTTTGTCTGTTACCATGCCCGTCTCAGCGACGTTCTCCGACCTCTCCGTCCTTGCCACCATCTGACCTAAACCCAAAACCAGGCATAAACCCTGAACCCTTGACAATTTTCAGCCTGAACCCTGAAATCCACTTTGTCAACCTAGTCCTAAAGACCGCACCCGAAACCTCTCTGTCCTTTCCATCATCTGCTCTGCCAGCATTTGCCTCCTGCGGTTCTCACGCCGGGCCACAGTGGAAGGTCGCCCGGTGCCGGCTTTCAAGGGCGGCAGAATCACAGAATCTGAGGCGCTCTTCTGGAGTCCCGGGCCCGGTGTGCCAAGAGAAGGCTTCAGAGTGACCGGCGGGATGCCGATCGGATCACCGAGTCCGGAAAAGCTCCCTTTGCGCATCAACTGCCGCCCTGTCTGCGACACGAGGCCTGTGACGGGCCGAGCCGACGTCGGGGCTCCATTCGGCAGATGCATCTTATGACACCATGAGGCACCGGGAGACCAGCACTGTCTAATGCACCCTGCTAGAAATAGCCTCAGCTTGCTGGTAGTGTCGATGCAGAGCCACATTACAACACGAACAATCTCAAGAATCACGAAGTCTTGTGTGCTGCTACATTTGCCATCTTCACAACTTTGAACTTGCCTTTGTTGTGCAGGGATCCCTCCGTGCGACATCCTCATTCCATGTTAACTCTTGGAAACCATATTCTGCATGACGACCCTACTGTATATCATGTCATGAACTCTGGTGACTCTTGTCTACAAAGATTTATACGCTCACTAAATGCTACTGTAAATAGCCGCACCAGCCGAGTTGTCTTAGACAACTCGGCTCTTCTTGCGGCCTGGTTCTGCCTTTGGCAAAGTATGCTTCGAGCCCATAGGGAAGGACATTCGGGCTTGGATGCGCTTCCCTAAACCCTCAGCCCCTTAACCCTAAACCGATAAGCCCTAAACCCCTAAACCCTAGATGGCTCGGGGCTTTGGTGAGGGTTTAGGGCTTCGCTTCGGTTCTGCTCAGAGTTCGAGGTTTACAGGTTCACAGGGTGAAGTACACATTAGAGGCACTCGGTGATCCAGAAAGCCATGCAAGCAGTCATAATTGAGGCATATTGCGGCCGCCATCGTCTTGCTACAGCTACTACGGGCTGTGAGGCCCTGTGTTGAAAAAGTTGTCTAGAACATTCAGATCTATATAATAGGTCGTTCACAGGCAAGATCCTTCGAAAGCCCTGATCACGGGCTGGTGACACGCTGAGCCAGTAAATGAAAAAACGACAACGACTCCTCTAAGATCAACCCGAAAGTAAAGCCCAAACCCGTACAAATGTCTTTCCGTGGGCGTGGGGCTTAGGATTTCGGAGCTTTGGAATAATTTCTGATTTAAGTTACTAGCATATTAGCCTGCTTGGTCATCAGGGGCAAAGGAAACTGCGCAACGACACTTCAGGCCAGAAGCCCTAAACCCTAAACCCCAAACTCGGAGGCCCTGCCCTCTCTAGCCCTCCTAAATTAAGCCTAATTAACCATGAAACTCAGAAGCCTGACCAAACCCCGGCAGTGCACTACATCATGCTCTGCTGCCAACAATATTTCGTGAGGGTGTTTCCGCACCGATTGCGGGCTGCAGCAATATACCTGTTGAGGCCCCTGTAATATCCTTTGGACTCGAGGAAACTCGGAGCAATGCAGCCCAACAAGCCTCTGAATCTTAACGGCAACGGGCCCGTGGCCCGGGATGTCGAGACAGTAAACCTGAGGGTTGTACGTTGTGGGAATAAGGGCCACGTCCTAGGGTTTAAGGTGTAGGACGGACTGCACATGTAATTCCAAAGAGCTCTCATCAAGCCATTGTGGACCAAGTCTGCCCTATCACAAACTCATATTTAAAAGGTGTTCTGCCCAGTCAAGATGGCGGAGAAGGGGAGACTTGCGACGTTAAAATCCCGATTCGTGAACCACAACGCTGCTCTCTGTAGTCATGTGACGGTGCTGGATGATGTTGGATTCTACTCTGATTTCAGTTCGTCAGCTTTGTAGACCCCTCTGGCCCAAGATTTAAGTTGAACGGCAGTGCAGCATGCTTCTGTTGCGTTGAGAGTCTCGGACTTTAGGTTGCAAGCGCTAGACTTGAGGGTTTCGGATTTATGGCCAACAGCTTCTACAAAACAAGCTGCGTGAGGGTGAAGTTTGATAACCCTTACCCACTCGACCCTGAAGGCTAATTGGTCGAAACAGCTACAACTGATTCCCACGCCCGAACCTTCCAGTCCACACCTTGTGTTCGAATGACCCGACCTCTAATAAGGAAAAAACATCAACTCCTAACTCATGAACTTAATTCTTCAATCCTCAAAAGCCCATGGCCCAGTAACCAGGGTACACCAAAAAAAAACCAACTACTCCCCATAAGCTCCTGAAGCAGAAAGCGCAAACACATCATCCCCCAACCACCACAGTCCAAGAGGGGCCCAACACATCCTAGGCCCCAGCCCTAAACTTCAAATCTCTTCGGACTCGCAAACCCCCCCCAACAACCCCCGCTCCCCCCCCACCGGGTCCACATCATACATCCCAACCCGGGCCTAAACCGCAAACCTTAAACCCTACACCCTCATCCCTGCACCTTCAACCCTGAATCGATATCCTTACACCCTAATCACCCTAACCCCTACAACCCTACACCCTAAACCCTAATCACCCTAAGCTCTATACACCCTAAACCCGAAATCGGAAGAAACAAACAGGAGCTCACCTGGCCCAAGGAAGCCGCGGCCCGCGGGTTCGCTGGCAGCCCGGCCTTACTTCCGACTCGAAGGCATCGTCACAGTGCTTTGCGGATTTAGTGCTTAGGGCTGTTTTAGGATTTAGGGCTTTTAGGGTTTTAGGACTTAAAGGTTTTGGCTTTAAGAAGACTTCTGCATACTAAAAGCAGAGGTGGTAGTGATACTATAAGGGCTCTACGACGGTTCTAGACGGGCGCTGTACGTTGCGACGTTTGCCATAAGGTTACAATGAACCAACATAGACACCCAGATAAAACCCAGTAGCCATAACAACGAAGCCCAAAAGGGAATGACACATACAGATGCTGTCTAAAATTCTAGGATGTTTACAAGAGGTTCTAGTCATATGTAAAGAAAAGTGGTTCTGCAAAAGGGTTCTACCAGGTTCTGAGGATTTGCTCTCTCGCTCTTTGCTGCGCGCTTAAATTTCGGGCTTCTGTTTTTGGGGCTGAGGGCTGAAGGGAAAGCCTCGGAGTTCAAGACTCTGAGGCTTTCCTGCCGCAAGCTTTTCAGCATGGATGTTCAGGGAGTTTAGGGTTTAGGGTTTAGGGTTTAGGGTTTAGGGTTTTGGGTTTAGGGTTTAGGGTTTAGGGGTGGCAAATATCGGGTCTAGGATGTGGGCTCTGGGCGTAGGATTTAGTTTCAGGGCACTGTTTCGGTTTTAAGTTCTGCAGCATGTGTTCAGAACGTCAGTCACTACCACAATGCGGCTTGAAGCTTGGACTTTCGAGTTCTGTTTTCAACCACAACTGCCGCGTGCTAATTCGTCACTGCCCCAACGGCAAGGAAGGCGCAAACAAGAGACAAGAAGATGTAAGAATGGCACCGCTTGAACAGCCGCCAGTGCGCTTTGTTGGCTTCGGGTGCTCTGCCACTCCTGCGTAGCTGCTCACATCCCAGCAAGCTTCCATTGCCAAGATCCCAAACCCTAAGTTCGATCCTATCGTAGCCTCCAACGAGGAACCTGGAAAGCTTAGGTATGTTGACTGTTGCTGCAGCACATGCGATCTTGCATAAAGATGTTGGGCTGTCTCGTCGCAAAAGGGGCTCGCCCTGCAAATCCAAATCAACTTCTTTGTGACAGTGAACCCTTTGTACGCATGATGGGGTTACTGCGGATTTTGGCTCCATGACGGTATCTGCGGGACACGGACATGCCTTCCTATAGAAAGAACACTGCCCTCAGCAGATCAGAACGATGAAGCTAGCTATGTTAGATGCGTTTATGATTCGAACATGGCTTTGCGATATAAGCCGCAATCTAGTATGTACGAATTGCAGTGGAACAGTAAAAGCCCAAAGATTACGGCTCTTTGGGTTTCGATCCCATTGGATGGTTGGAGGATGGCCGAACCGGAAACGTGAACATTTTCGGCGCGTCTGCAAAGCCTTTCCCTTTTCCGATATCAGAGACGCTTGAAATCTAAGCGGCTCACATCAACCCCCATGCTCTCGAAACCCGGACCCTGAAGCCACGCCCGAAAGCCGGAGCCTCAAGCCCCCCAGCATGAGCTCAGAGCCCGAAACTTCGCTTACCTCATAAGATCCTAAGCGGAAACTTCTTTAAATGGAGACTATAAGTACAGGATTTAAAGCCAGAGTCCTATGGCCCAAATCCCAGAAACAACAGCAGTCGGCCTTTTGCAAGGTTCTGTCGGCGGCCTCGTTCGTGGAGTACCGTTAGGGCTTAAGCCTCTCGGCCTTGAGGCAATATGGGGGCCTTAGTAGATAGAAACGTTTTCCGGATAGATGTATACATAGATGTATATGCATATCAAAATGACATGTTACAAAACGTTACAAATATAATGAGGGCCCGAACGAAGAACATACGCAACTTTTCAGGATTCTATGTTGTGGGGTGTTGGGGTTAGTTTCGGGTTGAAAGTGTCATTCTCTGCTCAAGCCTTGTAATTTCGGGGGGGGGGGGGGTCATGAGCTTGAAACTTTAAAATGTATAACCGGTTAGCAAGCTCAAGTAGCACTTTACACATTCCCAAATTTAAGGGTTGGGATTTTGGTATAAGCGAAGTCCATGCTTGCGACTTGAACATAGCTGGACATGAACTGAACGTCAAGCTTTTGGAAGACTCTCACACCCTGCCTCAACCAATGTGCCCTAAATGCTCGATCCTGTAATTCACGTTCTGTGCCGATGCAGCGCCTGCTGATTCCAGCATACTGAAATCAATGCTCGGTTCAGGGCTAGCGGCTTATATGGTGAAAAGCCCTAAGACCCAAGTGCACACAGTCGCACACTAATATTATGTTGTGGAGAGAAGGTTCAGGTTGAAGAGAGTCCTACTGTACTAAGTAGTATAGGAGTCTCTCCCAACACAAACACCCAATGGCAACCCTGTGTGAAAAAGTCGTCCGGCCCCCGTGCCTCTCTCGGAAAAGGGGCCACGCTGTCCGTCAGCTGGCTCAGCTCAGCGATGTAAGCGGGCCTTACCCAGAGCGCTTGTCGTTTCTCGTGCTATTTCCTTCACACTTCAAAAGCTTTGCATGGATACCTCGGGTTTCTGGTGTCGGAATAACATCTCGCAGGATAACTGCTGGGTTGTACAAACCAAAACTGAACCAGCTAAACCAGGACCGAAACATAGGTATCGAACAATTTCATGCGAAACAGAGCCGGATAGGGCGCCAGGGCTCTTTTGCTCCCGGGTTTTCGACCAGACCAAGCAAGACATAGGTGCAGAAGGCATACTGGCCAACGGCTAGCGTGAGACCATGTACAGCAGCACAGTGGCTCCGTCCGTGCATTGCTGCTGCAAGCAAAAAACCAAGCAGAAATTGGAAATTGTCGGAAAAGCATAGTAAGCATGTCTTAGTCGCTACAGCTAGAGGTCAACACGGCTTATGATGTCTGTCAATGGACGGAGCCAGCGCATCGCCGAGCCGACTGTGCGAGAGACTTTCACAGTCTATCTCGCACATCCTACCAGCAGCCAGTGTGGGGCACCTCGTGGGTCATCGTAGGCATGGGCAAAGACATGGGCTGTCTTTGTCGCAGTACTCCACCGCTCCACCGCACGGAGCCTGTCCTGCAACACATGGGATGACGAGAAACGCTGGTCTCGTACTTGCCTCTCCTAGCCCGACTGCAAGTCTCAGGAACATTATTGTGATGGCCTCAATAGCTTCAATAAGACTTCTGGGGTATATTGCGCTACAAGTAAGGAGCCCCGGGGCAAAGTTCGAATGACATTTATACAAGCTTTAATATTTCGCCACACCTTCGGTGCAAGCCCAAGAATATGCGGCTGCTGTTCCACTCTGGCATGTCTCTCGCGAGTCCTCGGTGGCGTTGCGATCTGGATGTGGTGGTCGCAAGCAAAGCCGCACAACGGACAACACCTGAACCCTAAACCCTAAACCCTAAACCGTGGTTCCCGGATCCAGATTTCAAGTGCTCTACGGCATCCCGAGCATTACTGCGTCTGTGGCTTCGACCTGTAGGTTGCACATCATTTCTGAGCAAAGCGATCAGAAATCTGCCACCTCTGGTAACCCCTAAATTGGGAGGGTCTCTAGGCTTGGGCTGGGTCGGCCTAAAGCCCCGGGGCCCCACGGAACAATGTGCATGCTGTGGCCAGATGATCCCAAGCAGCAAGTTGACCGTTTAGAGTCTAGACTTTCGGTGGGGGGTCATGGCAGCACCTCATCTTCGAAGATCACGAAGGCTTTGGGGAATGTCATGCTCTCCGAAGTGTATCAAGCACCTGGCTTGAGGCTCTGTGCTTGAAGGGCCTTGGATGCAGGGTTTAGCCGGGCCCTGGCCATGTATGAATGTTCAGAACAATCACAGGGTTGATAAGGGTCCCCTGTGGACGGGACCCCTGTGGGTTGGATTTGTCCACTGGGGCCTAATGGGGCCAAATGGGGCCTAATGGGGCCCAATGGCTTTCCCATTTGCCCCCATTAGGCCCCATTGGGCCCTATTGGGCCCCATTGGGCAAATGCAACCACAGGGGTCCCGTCCACAGGGGACCCTTATCAACTCTGTGAAACAACACGTTGGGGTGTGTGAGAATATCATGGCATTAAGTCATAAGAAGAAGTACTGCTGATTGGCACTTTAGGCCCCTATATCACTTCGAACAGGACTTCACATGACTTCACCTGATGTCAAACAATCCTAAATGGTCCAAGCGCCGAATAGTCAAAACTATGCTCTCCCAAACATAATATTAACTTACAAAACTGCTATCCCAAATCCGGGTATCTAATTATCAGGTCCCTGAAATGCTTAGGGCAAATTGTGAACCCCAAGGGCTTCTCGACTACAGGATCCAAAAATGAGCAGTGACTACTTGGAGGATCATGGGACTTAGTAATTGGGGTTATAATTATGGTAACTATAGTTATAGTTATTTATAATCCCAATTAGGGTACTTATAACCTTACTTGCTAAGTCCCACGATCCTCCAAGTAGTGTGCTTGATGATGCCTCCCCTGGCTGCATCCTGACTGCCAGCTCTTCCGGTGTCTGAGCTCTGAGCCCTGATTGCCTAGAGTTTGAGATCGCCCTAGTATGCCCTGTCTACGGCCCTACCGAAACTCCATACATACTGAACCCCCAACTTCCCGAAACCCTGAACCCCCAACACTAAACCGAATCCCGTCGTTGGCAAAGCCGCAATTGCTCGAACTTCTGCTGATGCTTCTCCCGCTCCTCCCTGTCCGAAAACTTTGCTGACAGCATCCGTCGCCTCGGACCATGCAGAAATGGGCTTTGGGGTAGTGTCTGTGGATTTGGATGTGGTACTTAAAGGTGTCCACCGTTTTGGCTTTCCACTTCTCGCTCTTGTGTGGTTGGTGTTGATGTACCAGGGACTTGCTCAAGGTTACCTCGAACCCTTGTCCCTTTGACCATGAGGATCCTGTCCGTGGTGGGTCTATGTTATTGCTGTGGCCTCTCTTCCGAAACTCCCAACATGGCCCAAAAACCTGTAAACTCTAAGCCGAAGCCCTGTAAACCCCAAACCTTATCTCCCACATGACCCAAAACCCCATACGCCTGCACCCCAACCCCAAACCCAAACCCCTGAACCCTGTAAGCCTTAACCCTGTAAGCCCCGAAACCCCGCGAATGAAGCTGGTGGGCAGACTGAGGATGTAGTGAAGATCGCGCTGCTTCGTAGGGCCGTGATTGGCTTCCAGCCCCTCCATGAAGCGTTGCCTGGGCTGTCAGCTTGAGAGGTTTACGGTTTAGGGTCGAAGGTTGATCTGCTGACTTCCGGGGTTCAGTGTATGATTAAGGCTTCGGGTGTAAGGTTCCCTAAGGGTCCATGTACTCATATAGTATATACATTGGCCTTAATGTAGTCCCTATATAGGTACTTTGGGGCCCATGTACATACTATATGAGTACATGGACCCTTAGGGGTTTGCGTCGGGGTTCAGTGTAGTCGTAGTAGACCACCTTCTGAAACTTCCAGCCAGTGCTTAATTCGGGAATACTGTCGGCCATCGTGTACTACTCGTGTCCAGTCTTCATGATAAGACCTCTTGGGAGGAATAAGAAACGCATAAGACTTTACCGAGGATTCACGGCGGATCTTTATGATCTTCAATCTCTTTTCAAATCTCATGCTTAAACTTTTGGTGAAGTTGCTTGTGTCATTCCAGTGTTCAATGCTCCGCGCTTTGGGTGTCGTGTTGAAGGGGTTCTTACAGGGCTTCGGCGAATGGATGGTTGGCTTCAGGCATCTATACACCGGGATTTCTTGCTTCCGGATCCCGAGGTATGATACGGGCAGAGGCTGGCGTATCTTGGAGTTAGAGGAAGCTCAACTGACCATAGTTTCTTGAGAGCTGTTTGCTTTGAGGCTCCACAGTGAACAACAGCAGTAGAGTAACTATCGTAACTATAAACAGCAAAGCTGCTTGTACGTCCAGAAGCCGGCCCAGCACGCTGCTTGGTTGCTTCCTGCTGATTGACTACGATGTGTTACAACAAACGGCAAAAGCTGGAATCCTATGCTGACAAATATGCTGTTAACACTGGCAGTGCTACGACAACAGCACCTCACTACAGCCTCTGCGACCCCAGTGACAGCCAAACGGTCGTCTCCTCACCACCAGCCCTAAAAGCCCAAACCCTCTGAAAAACCTGCGCCTGGAGTTTGGGCCGCATAGAAGTAGCAGTTTGCCACCTCAGACAGACATGAAGCCCGAGGTCTGCTGATGGAAAAAGCCTGCCTTCCTTTACAGCAGTCCTGGGGCTTAGGGCTTAGGCTTCAGGGTTTAGGGTTAAGGTTAGGGTTTAGGGTTTAAGGTTCAGGGTTAAGGTTAGAGTTTAGGGTTTAGGGTTAAGGGTTAAGGTTAGGGTTCAGGGATAAGCACAACTCCTCAGGCCGTCAAGTCGAAGGCCAGGCGAGCAACCAAAGTCCACTCTTAAAGAAGCTTACACCTCCATGTGCTATTGTCAAGCCTAAGTTACTAAATACTACTATTAAACTGAAGTGCTTCGGTTCTGAAGCTTGGAGGTTAGGGGACGACTCTCTATTCCAGCTGGAATTATTGAGGTTCTTCAGACCAGCTGTGGCTGCATTCGAGGTGCATTGTTCATGAGCTGAAGAATCCTCAGCAGTCAGGGGTACAGGTCGGCACACTAGGACAGTCACTCTCAGTATGGTTGGCATCTCTACTAGCCGTAAAGGTATCTCCGGTGCCGCCGGCGAAACTTTTAGACTTTCAGTATTACATGTTCGCTGGCCGGGCAGGTAATGTTTTCGTCGCAGTAGTCCCAGTCTTGGTCGTAGTGTAGGCGTAGTCGTCGTCGTGGTAGCAGCGGGAGGGGAGCAGGAGCAGGAGCAGCAGCAGTAGCAGGAGCAGGAGCAGGAGCAGTAGCAGCGGGTGTAAGTGTAGGTGTAGGTGTACGAGTTGCAGCAGCAGCAGGAGGAGGAGGAGGAAGAGGAGGAGGAGGAGGAGTAGTAGTCGCAGTCGCAGTCGCAGTCGCAGTCGCAGTAGGTGGCAGCACCAGTTGGTGCTTGATACAAGCTTTGGGCTGAGCTGACACACTGTTGGGGGTTTGGACAATTTCAGGTTTGGGGCTTCCAGCTCAGATTTAGAGGTCCGCGTCTTTCTTGGCTGGGGGAAACCGCTGAAACCATCCCAAAATACAACAGCCTCAAACTTTCCGCCCAGCTACTGTGGGTGCCGCGGCGGCGCTGGATTGGCCGAAGTTGTCGCAGTTCGGAGCCTGAAGGTTTGGGATTTGGGGTTTAGGGATTGCAAGTTGCGAGGTACAAAGCTTCTGATGGCTTCCGCGATGTTGCAAGGTTGCCGGCCCCAAGTCCCTATAGAACCTGAACAACAAATTCTAAACTCCAAAGCAAACCCTCGACCCAAACCCTAAGCCCAGAACCCCCAAATACCCACAACTCACAAATTTTAGGGGTAGGGTTCATTATAACCCCCAAATACCCACAACTGACAAATTATTAGGGGTAGGCTTCATTCTAGAGCGATTGCAGCTTAGTCAGGGCTCTTTTTGTTAAACAAGGGCTTGGGCCTCAGGGTTCAGGACGCTGCAGAGTGGAGCCATCGTGTGCAACTAAACCCCAAAGACCTCCCCAAAAATGCCCTAACTTAAACACTATATAGACATAACCTCCACAACCCCAAAACCCTACACCCAAAACCTACAATATCCTAAAACCCTAAACTCCTGAACCCTCAACCCCAAGAGCCCTAAACTCGTGAACCCTCAACCCGAAGAGCCCTTCCTGTCCGCCTCGTTTCCAGGGCCATGGCCTTCTGCACGGCATCTCCGCGTGCACTCTCAGCCTCGAGGGTTGGCAGAGGGTAGGTGGGTAGGGTTTAGGGTTTAGGGTTTAGGGGGCACGCTGGTAAACGGCCCAGGGTTCAGGGTTTAGGGTTAGAGTATGTCAGAGTTGCAAGTCCATAGTTATCTTGTGTCTTTGAGTGTGGTCTGTGTCGGGGCTTCTGCCCACTAGGGTAGTTGCATATCGTTTGGGTCGATAGGGTTTGGAGTCTAGGGTACTGTAGGAATGGGGTTGATCATCAAGCAAGACTGCAGTGACAGGTCCCGAACGTGCTCCTTCATTGCCCGGGCAGCGGTTCCAGAGTACATGACCCGAGTCCCGTTCACGAAGGTATGTCATATCTAGCTCGTACTTCTGTCTTCTATTCTCGTGGCAACACCTGTCACTTCTATAGTTCCTGCAGTTCAGACATATGACAAGGGCTGTTTCTACCAACTACTGAATACTCTGTGCTGAACACCTAAACCCTAAACCCTAAAACCCCGAACCTCTTAACCCTAACCCTAAAACCCTAAAACTCTAAAACCCTAAACCCTAAAACCCTAAGCACGCCACGAACCAGCCTTGGCCATGAACGCGTTGGCTTTGGCAGCCTGACCCGGCGCATACTTTGCACATGTATGTATGTATGTAAGAGAAAGAGGGAGAGAGAGACAGAGAGAGAGAGAGAGAGAAACTCGGTTTGGGGTTTAGGGGTTTAGGGCTTTCGTAGAGTTTAGGGTATAACGGCTAAGAGTTGTGAGATCTGTAGATGACATACCATTCAACTTGGACTGTCAGTCATTTCATTCGACACTTGACATTGCAGCGAAATGCATGGGTTCGGTCTAATATTGGGGCCTTGATAATTCGAATAGGGTTTGGGGCCGGTTATACTATATAGTTATTACATGGAACCCTCCCCAAAAAAAGTATTGGTAATTATTTAGGCCCCTATAGTAGCATTTCATTTTTGCCGGGCTTCAGTGGAAGACTCAGCGCGTCCGTTCTTCGAGATAGCCATCACACGTTGCCATGCTGAAAAGCAATGCAAGGTTTGGAACCCAGAATTTGGGTGGTTTACCCCTAAACCCTAAACCCCAAGGGTCCTAAGCAAGCCTTTCATTGTGCCACCGATGTTCCAGCGCCTCCTGACAGTAAAACCACATGTCTTCCCGAACCTGCGGCGCCTCGACCGTCAATCCCAAATGCCTGTAATATAAGGGTTTAGGGTTTAGGGGTTTAGGGTGTAGGGGCCTTGATAATTTTTAGATTAGGGTTTCGGGGTCTATTATATTACAGTTTTAACAAGCACCTCAAACCCAAAAGTTCAGAGCATGGGACCCAGAATAGTTCTACCCCAGTGTGTTAGAGACTGGAAGGAATGGGTATCTTTGCAGTTGCGCTGGGTCCGACGCCCAGGTATTCTCCATGGCTCAAGATTCACATAACTCAATCTCAAGCACTGGCCCTGACTGAATCCCTGAACCCCGAGACGCTTAAGCCCTAGCACTGAACCTCAAACCCAAACATCCACCCTAAAAGCCTATAAACCCTAAAACACCCGCAAAACCCTGAAGACCGTCGCACCCGCCAACCTCCCACCTCTTTCACGTGCCGCAAAGCCTCTGCCGCCACAAACTCTGCACCGCAAGCCTTGTAGAAGGTCTGGGTATTACAGGGGCCCCGCAATATTAACACAGCATTAGGGTTTCGGTGAATATCACACTATCAGTCATTAGGGGCTCCGAGGACATGATTACCAGAAGAGTCCTCGTGACCGTCAGCTTAAATGGAATCTAGCTTGGTCTAGGGGCCTTCACAAACAGAATGGGGTTTTGGGGTACATTCGTGTACATTGTCATGCAATCTGAGGAATAGTATGGGTCATTAGTCAAGCTTGAATATTCCACAGCTGCCCACCTTCATTTTGAGGCTTTTACCACTGAGGGATAGGGGGTTTCAGGATCAAAGCTCAGCATTGGGGATGCTTGGAATGATGCTTCTACACACGAGGCTTGCAGAATGGCGCTCGACCTGTGACTCTGTAAATGTGTGCGTGTAGATATATACACAGGTATCTGATCATGTCAAGATACACATTGAAGAAGTAGTCGCCATCACAGTGGTAGTGTATTAGTGGCAGCAGTAATTAGCGGCAATACTGCCAGCAGTGGTAATGGTGGCAACGAAAGCAGCAAGCGTCCACGGCAGCATCGGCAGTAATGCGATATCTTCGCAGGATGTAAAGCAGCTGTGTTGCAAATCCTGCTGGTCATCTTCGCAATAGTATTTTACATACCCCTGCTGCTGCCGTTAGCACTCTTGTTCACACTCAAGTCGTCCCGGACATGGAAACCTGAAGTTCATGTGCGCGTGCTTCAGCTGTCTAGAGTCCCTCGCCTAATAGCTGTACTGAAGTTACTACCTAAAGTATACCCCCAAACCTATTAGCACATCACATGCTGGGCCTTGCAATGTTGTGGATCTTCTCGGCTGAGCGATAAGCTTCCCTTCTTGCCTTTGACTGCTTCGGGCAAAGGCGCTGCTTTGGTGCTTGGAAGCAAGCCTTAAGCTCTGAGGAGGCGAGGCTTTGCAAACACGGAGTTATTGAGCTTTGGGAGCCTAATACAAGGTGCGGAAATGTCCTAGACCAGTGGTTTGTGGTGCTTGCACACTGTGTTTACGCATAAACAGTACGGATCCCAACACAAGGGTGCCTTCGTTAAGAACTCAGAAAATGCAGAGATACCACGGCGGGATTCCTGAAATCAGGCATCTTCCAAGAATCCTTATTACAAGTATGAGGATCTTGCTACTCCGGGCCTTCTACTAGAGCCCGTTCCCCCCTCTCCCGCCCCATTCCCCTCGACGTACTTTCCGAAAATCACATATATATATATATATATATATATATGTACATATATATATATATATATATATACATGTATAGAGAGAGAGAGAGAGAGAGAGAGAGAGAGAGAGAGAGAGTCATACTTGAGTCTTGAGCCACTTCCACCAAGTCACAGGAGCTGCAAGCAACGGTGAACTGTGGATCATTAGACCTTGGGTGAGCTTTGGGGCACTAGTGGTTTGGGTTTTGGGCTGGAGGTGTAGGCTTCAGGACCTAGCAGTTGCGCTTACTTCGGTCTCTTGGAAAGCTCTCGGACACCTTTATGACCGGTAGTCTGATAAGTGCAGCCCAGTCTCTCTTCAGAAACACATCGCGAGCACTTGCAGGAAAAACCCTGCCCAAGCTGTGATTGTCTGGCTTGGTGGTTCAAGCTCACCGTCACATAGGACACATTGACCTCACAGCGGTGAACGAGCTTGAGGCTGAACCGTAAGCATAATTGAAACTTACATGAAGCCTTTAAATCCAAAAGCCTGCAAGCCCAAAACACACCCACACACAAACAAAACCTGCGCCCTTGTATACCCGATGCCCTGAAGAGCTAAACATAGCTAAACCCTAAGCCATAAAACCCCTTACCCTAAGAGCTGAAACTAAAACAGTCAAGCTTCAAGAGGGCCGAGCTTTGTTTTCAAAGTTATGGGTCTGTTATGCGGATTTATAAGGCTATAGGGTTTATGGCTACGGCTCTGGACTTGGTGCTTCACATTCGGAGTTTATGGTAAGAAGCACATCCGAAGTGTTGGGGCGTCAGTGTCGGGACCGCTTGATTTAGACAACTCCACATTTTGACAACGGAAGAGCCTTGTGCCTGTGGGCTAGGATAATTTTACGAATCTTCGAATAGGAGTTCAGTAGTCCTGGCGGCACGCTCTCACCAGCTGAGGCGATGGCAGTTGTCCCAACAACCATATCGTCTTAGCTGGAAAGGGTTACAGATGAGCTTCGTATGCCCTGTCATGCTGAGACTAAAGCGTGCCGACTGAGGCATTCAACGCATGGATCTATTTGTCTTTTTCCCTCTCTCCCTCCCTCTCTCTCTCTCTCTCTCTCTGGCTCTCTCCTGAGCTCTCTCTCTCTCTCTTCGCTTTCTGCGTGCATCTCCCTGCGCCTGTGTAAACAAGACCTTTTCTCAGATGCAGTCTTTACGAGGACTTTGTAGACCGTCGGGGCACCGGCACGTGCAAAGCGCGATTGAGACAGGCATTTGGTGGAAGAGTCAGCAAGAATCTTGTGTCTGTGTAGATGTGCGTATTCGTGAGTGGCTGGTCTGTCGGATGCAAGCACTTCTACAGGTCCTACGAAGTAGGTCGTAGGCAAACACAACGAGCCCAAGCACCGAGTACAGGAATTGTGGTCTGTCATGTTGCTCATCATTACAAGTGTAGTGCTTCTTGATGAAAAGATGATAGCAATGGCATGCTTGCAAATCGGGCTTTCCAATAATGCACGGCCGATGTGGCAGATCTTTTCAACGTAACTGCTTTCGCGAGTTTCCTAGCCTGTGTACACCGTCCTGCGTTATGCGTCACTGGCTCGCCGAAACGGGAAACCTGTCAAGTTCTGACTGCAATCATGGCACCCAGCGCGCGAAGGACAGCATGCGTCTGCGCAGAATCGATGATGGCATTGGGGCAGCAGGAGTGCGGAATTTGCGAGCAGGCTAGAAACCTCGGTCCAAAGATTGACAGCATACCTTGATGCTCGACTGTTGGTACCTGGGACACCTTTTTCACGAAGTGCAGCATGGGACACCAACAATGACAAGGTAGGTTAGGACGAAATGAGGTGGGCTGCATGACCATGTGAGGGGGAATGGTAGGGGAGAAAACAAGCATGCATGCACAATACCAATCATATTGTCATAATGCACACTCAAGCGGTGCATCCTCCTTGATATTCATGCAGTTGAACTTCTAACACGATGCACATGGCACAAATGAAAGCTAGCGAGCTACCAGCTGGACTTCACAGTTCAGTCGGTGTGTTTTGCCCGCCTGATCTCCACTACTAAACGACTGCTACATCCCGGACTCTGATGCCCAAGATCCTGCAAACTTATGCCCTTATTGCGCCTCGGAATCTCGACCCTTCGTGGACGACGACCTTCCCCCTCCGTTCCCAGAAATTCAACGGGATGTCGAGGGCATGACAATCTAGTCCAAGTTTCAGCGCCACAAATCCCGGTTCGCGGCTGCACTCCTGCATGGCTTCCGACCGACCCGGAATTGCAGGGCTGCTTTGGCTTCACTACATCACCGGGGGTTAGGGTTTAGACGATTCAGGGTTTAAGGTCTCGGACGTAGGGATGCAGAGATTCGATACAGGCGACCGCTGCTATGGAAACAAGCTATTGTGGAAGTTTCGACACGACTTGCACGTTGAGCGCAAGGGTAGGTCCTGCACGAAACAGTGCCACTACCAGGACGGAACAGGATTCTGTAGACCAAACTCAGCTCACCTGAAAGTTGAAGACACGAAATCGCAACCTACGTTCATGGCCCTCAAGTAGTGCGTGTCTTTGATGAGGCGTTTACATTATGCCGCGGTGGTGCTGACTCCTTTGCCCCAAGGTTAATCCTGCGACGAGTCCCCAAGTTGAATCAAGGCTAAGTCTTGCGTTCTGCGTAGTAATCTCGTAATCTCATGCATAGGTCAGACCAGGTCACATCAGAAGGCCGCAATAAGGACAGCCAGCAACATAATAGCAGTGAAGATACTGGCACGGCAGTGTGGATCCGCTCTTGTGACCAAGGAAAACCACCCCATCGTGCCCTATAACACCGAATCCCTAAGCCCCGTGACCTCCAACTGGGTGGTTGTCAGAATTAGGGTCCCTTTTTGGGTACCTTAAATAATAGGTGCCGTACTATATTAGGGACCCAAAAAGGGGACCATAATTTTGACAACTACCCAACCCTGGATCCCTACAACCCTGCACTCGACACACCGAAACCTCTGAACCCTGAAGCCCTGAACCCAATTATACTATAGCTGAGGTTCGCATTATAGAGAATTCCTAAACGTACACATTCTAAAACCCTGAAAAACAACCTTAAACCCTAAAGCTCTAAATCCCTCCCTAAAATTCTAAAATTCCAATAACCAAAGAGCCTAAAAGCTTAAAACCCGATAACTTTAAAACCCCAAAAAAACTCTTTTAAACAACCTGAGACTCTAAACGCCTAAAACCCTCCACCTCTAAAACTCTCAACCCCCCCCCCCCCCCCCCTTGCATCTTATCGCCCTCGCATCGCTCCCGGGCGTTGCACGCCAAGCCGGCTTCGAGCTCCCGGGTTTCTCCCGTGAAGCGACCGGTGGGGAGCTTCATCACCTCACAGTTGGGTTTAGGGTTTTCAGGTTTAGGGTTTAGGGTTTAGGGCATTTTAGGGCCATAGGGTTTAAAATAGGGGCTTAAGCTTCATCACCTCACAGTTTGAGTGAGGCTTTAGGGGCTCGAAGGGTGTCGGGGTTTAAGCGTTTAGGGGTTTAGCGGTTTAAGGGTTTAGGCTTCATCACCTCAGGGCCTCAGGGTTTGGGGTCGGATCTTGGGTATGGGGTTTGGTGTTCGGGGGGGGGGGGGGTTCGGGCTTTGGTCCTATGTAGCGGAGGTTAGCCTTTCTGATCTTGGGGCTCGCAGCCCCAAAACCCGGAGCTACAGTCTGCGAGAGATAGCCTCCTGTATGGTTAAGATCCGAAGAAGTGAAATCACCAAACAAGGGTCAGCAATGTAGGGTCTAGGTAGCCTTGTTTCGGGTCAGAAGTATAAGGATTTCCAGGTCTAGGGCTCTTGTAACCCTAAAACCCTAAACCCCAAAACCCTAAATCCCTATAGCCGAACTACAGGCGGCTTGAAAGCCCCACTAGAGCCTGCACGGGGGCTCAGTGAGTCCTGGGGACAAAAGCCGCTTCAGAACCGCACATCCTGAAACGATCCCCTAATATGGGAGTTTCCGAAAATAGGAGACGGTAATATGATACCCCTAAATAGTAGGATCCTTATTACAAGGACCCCAAAATAAGGTGCCATTATTTTCGGAAACTCCCACTTGCAGCCGAGGATTGTGAGGAAACCCAAGCTGCTGAGTAGATGGGGCTCAAGGTGTGTGCGATTGGCTTGTGAGTCGGTTTAGGAGTTTCGGGCTGGAATTGAGGCATTGGTCTCAGAATCCTGTGCAACTGCACTACATAAGCCCAACACCCCTTTCAACTTCTTTCGCCCTAGAAGAGTTCTACAGCAAAACTGGTTCTGGGCGAACGGGCTCAGGATCTTCCTGGCTATCGGGTCCATGTCCTGAGCCACAGCCCGAAGAGACTGAAACCCTAAACCCCAAAACCCTAGACCCGATCAGCCCTAAGCCCTTACAACCCTGAGCCCTAAACGCTGAACCTTAAGCTGCTTCTCTTCACGAGCTTCTATCTATGGGGAAGAAAAGCCAACTGCAAAGCCCTTGAATCCTGGCCTTCTCAAGAACTCCTGGCGATGCACGGCATTGCCTGGAAACGGGGCCATCTAACCGGAAGTGTATGCACCTCTGCAAAACCCTAAACCCCCAGTTCCTGCGAGTGATGCACATGCCTCTTGCGGTAAAAGCTTTCAGACTGTATGGCTGTGACACGCTGTTGGAGTTTAGGATCGTCCGTGGATCGCCCAAATCGTACCGTTTACAATGTGGAAACGTGTATCACAACCCGCAGGTAATTGGCTTATATGCTACATGCGTGATCTGTCTCTCTCTGTCTGTCTGTCTGCCTGCCTGCCTGCCTGCCTGCCTGTCTGTCTGCCTCTCTCTCTCTCTCTCTCTGCTTTGCTTGGGGCTTGGGGCGGGAACAGCGCTGCCCCATCCACTTTGTTGAATGAATCTACAGGACTGTGTGCCTCCCCTCACAGGGTGGTTCTGAGGCCCTCCGACTTAGTGCAAACAACAACAGCAGGAACTCCAGGAGTATTGTCGGGTGCCTCTTTGCTGGTGCCCTGCCTTAACCTGTATCCCCTCCTTTCCCTGCCTTATCCCGAACGGACGCCTCACCCCCAGCACAGCACTGCCTGTGACCTTCCACTCCGCCCTGAAGCCCGTCGTCTTTGATAGTCTTCTCCACAAATTTCAGAGTGTTTCTCTCTCTGTCTCTCTCTCTCTCTCTCTGCGCTGTGACTTGCTATAGGTTTGTGACTTGTGCGTATACACCCTGCAAGAAGCAACATCACTTCACCTTCTCGTGAACTCGGCATGCCTTCATGCCATCATCTGATCATCGCCAGCACCAGCACCCGCACAACTAGCAATACGACAGTCCTCGTCATCACGCACCACGTCATCCCCACAATCACTACATGCAGCTACATGCATCGTCATGATGCTGAAGATGTTGATGACCATGAGCAGCACCGCTTGAACATGGCCATCGCCAGCCACGTCATCATTAATTGGCAGCATCATAAGCCACAAAAGCACTGTCAACATCAGCGGCTGTGTTGCATGCAGCATGTCCAATACTGTAGCAGAATCATCTGGGTCACCATCAACAGCAGCACCAGAACCAGCGCCAAAAACCAGCATCAAGTCATAGCATCCTTCAAAACCTGAAATGTCCAATCCCCTAATTCCTCCAACCTCCACCCTTGTCTAAAGAAGCTGTACCCTGAACCCTAAACCCCTAAACCCTAAACCCTAAGACCAAGGCCTCGCCAGAGAGCCACAGGCAGTCGGACCCACCGGAGCGCACGCGACAGACGCCTCGAAGAGAAGTGGCTGCCCAGCCAGAACCTTGGGGTTCGGCTCGGGTTTAGGGGTTTAGGGGTTTAGGGTTTAGGGTTAGGGTTTAGGGTTTATAGGGTTTAAGGATTCGGCTCGGCTCAGCTAAAGGCTGCAGTTTAAGGTTTAAGCTTTAGGGCTTCGGGTCTATAAGGTTTGGGATTTAGGGTTTAGGGCTTGGGTTCAAGATTGAGTAGCACAACGGCTTCTTATTCAGTTCCTTCGTTCCTTCATGCTGGGTTTTTCAAGGGATCAAACCATGGCTTAAACCCCAAACCCGAAGGGTTGAAAGGCTTGGGGCTCGGGCTTTATCAGGCTTTGGGTTGTATGGGTGGTTGTCAAAATTATGGTCCCTTTTTGGGTCCTGAATAGGGTACCCAGAAAGGGACCATAATTTTGACAACTACCCATATACAAGGTCTCTGTGTCGGAGCTTCAGGGCAAACTAAGCGGGTCTGCAGGCGGCTAAGATAGTGGCCTTAATATTTAGAACAGGGCTTTGGGGCCCATTATATTATACTTATAATAAGGAACCCCCACAATAGTATAGGAATATTATTTAGGCCCCTTTAGTACTATCAGCTACGACGATGCGCGAAGGCTGAGGCTTTCTGCAGTGAGGTGCGACTCATGGCTTTCGGTCTGTGCAGGCATGAAGAACATGGAATACGTACTATGGCTTATGGTTCAGGGTTAGGGTGCTCCCAGGTCTGCTGGATCAGGCTCTAAGTTTGAGCGGGCCAGGATGCAGAAACTTTACTCCGTTGTGAATACGGCTTTCCGCTCTTGGGTTGCAGCTTGCCGAATCCGACAGGCCTTAGATTCAGGCCTGTCGGGCTCGCGTATTGAAGGCGTCGCGATGTTGTGGGTGAGAGCCGAAAGCCACAACATGAAAGCACCGGGCGACTGGGTAAGGATCGGGCAGTATATGGTGATTGGGTAAGCATTGTGATACTTGGACGAGGGTTCTGGGGCATGTTACAGTACAGCTTTTTTCGGGAACCCCCACGGAATACATGTCGCACTACAGCTCGGGCTGCGACGTCCTTCGCGACGACGAAGCCGCCCTCATCGCTCCGCTGCAGCCTCCCCTCCAGGATCTCCGAGTAGCCAGTGGAACGCCGCCTCTTAGGCTTCGTGGTTTGTGGGGTTTGAGGTCTTTGTAGGGTAGACAAATGGTTTTAAACACATATTTTAGATAAACTTGCTTCGTGGTGCAGAAGTAGGGGTTTCAGGTCGAGTGTTTGAGACACATATTTTAGAAGCTGCCCCCACCCTGCAATAGTGACTACAAGTATTATATTATGCCCTATTATATTCTCATTATACCACGATTTCAGGGTGGGGGCCCCTTCTAACACATATTTAACTAATCTAGGCAACTTAACCGTATCTTGGGAAGCCGAACCTTACCCCTCGACGGAAACCCCAAAACATAAACCCCGATGTCGCTGACCCCAATCCAAACCTGAGCTTCGAGGTAATATAGTGGCCTCAATCATTAGTAGGGCCTCGGGGGAGATAGTACTTATATACATATATATATATATATATGTATATATATAATATAATATAATATTATATTATAATATAATCTGCTAAGGAGCCCGAAGGAATCATGTTGGTAATTCTTCCGGCCGGACTTCTACAATAATTTGGGTTTTCGGTGATCCCCCCCGTGCCACAGGATCTTCGAAGAAGGCTTCTGAGGCTTGTGTTACAGTTAGGAAGCTTCTATAGTCAGTCTAATCGAAATTGAACCTCGAAAGCCCCGCACCTTGAAATCATCTGCAACCCTGTGCATGCTCAAGCCCTGACACCACCAACCTACAACTCTAAAGACACACAGCCCCACGAAATCAACAAAAAAACACAAAGTTACAAAGGCCTATCCCACTCGGCGCCGAGCTCGCCCGCTTTGCCAGCCAAAGACTCGAGGAAGGGTGCTGGGGCGCCTTCGGATGGACGCAAAGAGCTCAGGGTTGAGGGTAGGGCTTGCAGGGTGTAGGGCCAAGGTGGGCTTTAGGGCTCTGGCTGAGATTGCGGTTCATGCTTTCAGGGTTTCAAACTACATTTCGGGTATTGATGTGCGGTCCTGCTTTAAAAAACAACTCTACCTCTCCTTGGATGAGATACACAACAGTAATACTCTGCAGGGAGAGCGGTGCTGTCGTTGTGGTTTTCGCTCCGACTCTACAAAACTTCCTGTGCCTTTGTGATTTCTGTCACAACAACGACTTGACCGTAACCACTCATATCAGTGCTGCTTCTGCTCGCTTTCTGAAGTCTTCACCGCCCATAATGTAGAGGCCTCAGTTGTACATCATACTGCAGTTACTTCAGGAGTTGTCAGCGGCAAATCTTCAACATTATTCAGGCCCTTGTACTAAATTGAAGGCTCCAGGGATTCAATCTTGGGACTGACTCGCACTTGCGTGGGTCATGCCCGCTTCGGGAGCATATTCTTGCGCTGTGCCTGAAAGCTCGGATGATGGAGATGCCTCTTGCTGAACGATCATTCAAGCCAAGCCTTCTTGGTAAACGCGAGCTCTAAGCCCTAAACTGTCAGTTGCAATCAGCCCGGTAAACTTTAGCGTTTTCTAACCCTATGCTGCCACGGCCTCCCCTAAACCCGGTAGTATACAATGGTCCGTTAACGGGTCCAGCAAGGTCCTAGTTCCAACGGGGCCCTACAAACCTGCAACACCATGGCACATGTCTTTCACCACCTTCAGTTAAAGGTCCATGCGTCGATCACGTCAGGTCTCCGACCCTGAGTCCAATGAGGCTTGAACTCACCCAAAGAGCCCTCTACAGCACGGGCTCGCGGCTAACATAGGCCCTAGTTGGTCATAACAGACATTTGCTGGGGAAACCTTCCCACGACTACCCACTACAGCAAGGATCTACTGAGGGTACCTAGTACGTGGGTACCTACTGTGGGGTTTGTGAGCCTGGTACCCGCAGGTATCGTCGCCGGCCACAAACCCTCTCCCGCGCCCATCTCCAAATCTCCATCGGCCCGGGCTACTTTCGCTCAGATGCGCAGAGAAGTAGTTGCATCCTACAGGTCCTGACATGTGTATGTGCTCCGAAGAATTTCGCGCGGCATACAACAACGATGGGGCCGAACCCCGACAGATGTTATTGAATGGCATCAGGGCAATTGAACGAGTGCCCTTGAGGCTGGTCTTCAGTTCCTGTGAGCCGCCGCAAGTTGCAACTTTGTGGGTTTAGGCTTCCGCCTTCAGGATGTGAAGGAGGGGAACTTGGGGAGGTTGGGTCTCTGGACCTGCAGTGTTTGGGTTTCCTGTTCAGTACCAGTCAGGTCATAAGGAAAGCAACCCGGCAGTAAGTAGTAGTGCCTAGTAGTGTGCTGTAATTGAAACACCTTATAAAGTCAAATCCCATAGACAAAGCCGGCATCGCTCAGGCACGGGCGGAAGCAAGTCGACCCTGCTAGAGAGGAGCCTGGGTGTTTGCTCAGAAACTTCATTTTCCGAGGAAAAGTCATGGTTGTAACTTAAGTCCCTTAAAACGCTGCAACAACACAAAGAGCTTGATTGCAGCATCTCAAACTGAATTTCATCCCCTAAGACGACCTACACCCTGAACCTAAAACAAAAACGAAAAAGAGCCCGGGAGCCCACTGGAACGGTTCTAGAGCCCTCAGATTAAGCCGTATGAAACCTGAATGCCCGTCGAAAACCCAAAGCCCCAAACCTCATAGAACCCTCTAAACCTCCCTTAAAGGAGCCCTTAAGATTAAAGGAGTCGCTAAACAGGGGATTGAAAATCCTTATGTAATTATAACATCCCATATATATATATATATATATATTCTATGTATACATGCTCGAAACCTCTAGTCGAACTACTAAGGCCCTACACGGAACAAGAGACCGTCCAAGAATAAGACGCCCACCCAAAACCCGAAGAAGCCTTGTAAACGTAAAAGCTCGTCGAAGGAACTCTGAAACCAGCCCGAAGCAAAGGCCAAGCCTCCTAGAGCCTGCACCAAAAACCCTAGACCCTAAACCTAAATCCTAAAGCCTTAAACCCGTAAATGGAAAAAACCCTAAATTAAAATCCGAAACCCCATCTCAAACTAAAGAGACTATATGCTAAAACAGTGCCCAGGAGCTGCCCAACCTTTACAAAGCTGGGCCCTAGGTCGACGAGGGCTTTACGCAGCTCAGATGCCTGGGCTCTTCTTCGGCTTTAAATTTGTTCGGGTCTAATCTAATCTAATATAATATAATATAATTAATATAGTATATAATATAATATAATGTAATATAATATAGGGTTTGGGGGTCCGAGGTAGGGTCTTAGGGATGTGTTTTTGCTTCTGAGTTGTAGGGTTTCGGGTTGCGTAACTTCACTAACCTTCAGAAACCGTCATGCGATTTTTAGTAACTGCTAAGGATTACTTCACATGGTACCTTCCGTCAAGATTCTTTCATCCTACTGCCGTAGCCCAACCAAAACAACAAATACACCCTCAAGGCCGGACCCCTATCTAACATGTGCCAGATGCTCGCAGGGCATCCTCCTCCGCTGACGGATTTTCTCGCATGATGGCGAAGAGCCAGCCGCCACAGCGACCGGCCACCTTGGGCTTGCAGAAAACCGTGGTCTGGGGTGTACATGTAGTGTTTAGGATCGGAAGTTTAGGCCTAGAGGGCCCTATTCTATGTAAGAAGGGTCCCCTCTTGTCTGAAACTCCTACCTGGATGCATCGCGCGAAAACGCGCTGCATGTGCTGCTGGCAGGTCCGCGATATCTCCTCTGCAGAATATCTGGAAGGCAAAACCGGCCCATGTCGCGCAGAGCGGAGGTGGAACAAGTGGCTAGGTCTTCTGTAGGAACGCCAGCTGAAGACCGTGCTAGCTGCAATGGCTGCACTCATTGGCGACAGCTTCGCAGCACTTGATGGACACTCAAGCATTGTTGAACCCAGGCCAAGCATTGTAGATGTCGGTCTTGGTCCCAACCCCTGTGCCCACAAAGCCTCCGGCGTGCTTGCGACATGCCTGCTGTACATCGGTGAGAGCATCCGGTTCTGCTCTCTCGCATGGCCGAGACGAGAACGCTCAAGCCATGCGCGGTATTCGCGGGAACTGAATGGACCGGGCGCGAATGGAACGTACCACCGGCAACCAGAAAGAACTTAACTCCTGCTTCTAATAAAAGCAGTTGTGCACTTTAGGCATGGCTACTTCAAGCATTCGACAACTCCAAAACCTGAATGCCCTGAAATGAAGGCAGGGGCAACGGCTACTTTGGTGTGCTGCTCCCTGCATATTCGACTGCCTGTTCGGGCTACTAAAAACCTATCATGGCATGTTAGGCTTTGCTGCTGGGGCTTCTTCATGTATGACCCGCGGAAGCCAAAACTGGAAGCCACAAGCTGCAGGAAGACATGGCCTGTCATGATCTTCAAGCGTCTACCCTTCTCCATGTCCGACAAACATCGCACCACTGCTAGATTTCGATTGAGGCATGACTGTGTTGCAGAAGAGCCATCCATTCTGTGATGCCTACATCGGAGACCAAGGATTTCCAAACAGGACACCTCGAAACTCCATAGCAAATCGTAAGGCAAGCTGAACCCTTGGAACTCTCATGCCGAATTCACTTCCTAAGCCTATGAATGCGCGCTGGAACTATCAACTGCTTCCTGCCTGCGTCCGGATTATACTCTAGTCTAATTCTTAAAGCCCCTTTATAATGAAAGGTTATCAGATGACGGAAAGCGCCTTGCGCGCTTGGGAGTTGCTGGGGCGTTAGCCTGAATATAAAGGGGGTGTGGGGGGGGGTGCTGGGGCAGCCACCCGGATTTGCAGTATTTCGGGGCCCCCGTGGGCATCATTGGGGTTGTGCGTGCTTCTTGGGCTCCTGTAAAGGTCCCTGGCGGTAAGTTGCGTGCAACATTGGGAGCATAGACGGTTTTTATCGCTATTTACAGTGTTTTTGGCTAATGTTGGACACCTCGCGGGGCGGCCCCCAGCCCCCGCAAGGCGAGCATCATCAGCATCAGCTGGGCAGTGTCGTCCACGTTCGTGCGCACGTCATGAACTTCAGCTGGCGCGCTTGGCGCATGTCGCGGGGAGTCCCGGGGCCCAAAGCATCCTGAGCATCATTGGCGCTTCGTTTCTGCTGTGCTGGGGCGTTAGGCTTCGGGTGGGGGGGGGGGGCTCTCAGGAATGAGGACTGGACAAGGGTACTGGGCATGGGTTCCCTATCGTAGTTCTGCCCAACCTTTGATGTATTCCTAGGACGCCAGTGCTGGGGCCTTGGTCAAAATTCTGCGTAGCTTTCTCTCGAGAGAAACATGATGGCTGCGAAAGCAGAGGCTTGTGACAACCGATAGGGGCGCTGGACTAGCGGACAGAAGGCAAAAGAATGGCTTTAACCTTTATGTGGGCTTTTTGCTCTTACGTTTATTCAGTTGAGAATCCTTGATTTGAAGGTTTGGCTCCGCACAAGCGTTCCTGTTGGTAGGTTACTTCGCGGACGTCGTGTTCTTGAGAACAACTGCTTCGCATGACTGCTGCTGTTCGTGATGATCAGGACACAGAGATGCATACGCAAGTTTTGCATGGCAGTACCACGTCATCTTAGCCCAGGCAGAAACGGGGTAGCAAGCAGCCCAGAGCAACAGCATCAGCAGCAGCAGCATCTCAACTGCTGCAAGTGGGAAGTCTTCGGTGTCCAGCCCAGTCGAGTGTGACTGACCGCTACCTGCCGCGAGGCAGGACGGCGCCAAGAGCTTTGCAGGGTTTTTTTTCGAACTTGGGGCCTATCGTTTCGACGCGCGAAAGGTTCCTTATAGGGCTTGGGGCTTACCGGGGCATGCATCGGCTCCAACTATCAATCCCCAGCCGTTGCCTTCAACGGGCGACAGCTGCGTTAACCCAATGGGGCCCGTTTCGGTTCCAACATAATACTTTGCTTGCTTGCTGGTCCGCCGAATTCTGCGGTTCCTAGCCACTCGCTGCCACAACAGCGGCGCAGACTGAGCACGCGACCCGCCCGGCAGAAACCGGCTGCCACGGTTGGGGGGCAAGTTCGGAACTGTGGACTCAGGATTAGGCCGGACGGTAAGGTGGAGGGACAGGTTCGGGATGTCTGCTCGCGGGCTGGGACTTCAACGGCTCCTCGACAGACGAGAGCGCGCTTTCCGTTGTTTGCCAAGCTGGTTTGCAGGCTGCTCGTGGTAGGCTGCGGGCATCTGAAATCCTGGCGTCCTTGCATGGTATGCCCGGCTTTTTGCTTCAGCAGGTGGAAGCTCCTTGCGTGAGCTTACACCGATTGTGGCCCTAGACTCCCTAAAACCTTTAGGCCCTGAACCATAAACCGTTAAACCCTTTAACAGTTTGAAACAACAGGCCGCCCTTCTTTGAGAGCGTCTCAACCAGTCCCGCGGTGGAGACTGATGGATGCTATTGGAAGATCCGCCACTGGCTCAGTTTCATCTGTTATAAGACAAGTGATAATTAGGTCATTGGTGTTGCTGGTATCGAGCTGAATGCTCTGAAGCTCATGGTGGGCAGGCGATGAATTGCAACTCTGAGGGAGGCTTCTTACAACTACCCCAGCCCCCAATCGCAACCCACAGGTACTTCTTGCTACCAGCAACTCATGCGCCACGCCTGGCAGCTGCCCAAAAGCTCCGAACTGGTACTAGCAGCACGTGTATTCAAATATAAAGCAGAGGAATGATTTTGTGAGAACCCACTGCCATGATTGACATCTCCTATTTGCAAGACATTGCCGCGAACACAAACGCTGACCACCACCACCACCGCCACCGCCATCGCCACCGCCGCCACCACCACCTCAGATCACCTCAGCCTCCACCAGCCTACATCTGCAGAATCCCCCCATTGCCAACACCACCACCGGCAGCAAAATCGCCAGCACCACGCGAAACAAATCACAACGGCGATTGCTGTTCCCACTTCTGCAGCTGTGTATCAAGAAGACTTAAAGCAGTAAAGGCTTGAATAAGACGCAGCCTAAACCATAAATGAACATGGGCAACGCTGGTTCTTCAACAAGCAAGAGATGAAGTGACGCTGCAATAGTTCATTGCAATGATGATATCCTCGAGACTGGAATGGCAGATCCTCCAAACATCAGGTCTCTTAGGCCGCTAAACCACACCCTAAACCATCAACCCTCTAAACCTCAAACCCCAAGCCCTATCCTATAGACCTTACATCCGAAACCCTACCCTACCCTGCAAACCTTAAACCCTAAACCCTAAAACCCTAAAACCCTAAACCCTAAACCGTCACTTCTGGATCAGCTCAGGGTGCCGGCAGCAAGCGTTTGAACTCGGGAGAAGACCTGCGCGAGAGAAGAGCCCCCTGATACCCTAAGGCTCCATGTACCCTTATAGTATATACTTTGGCCTTAAAGTACCTATAAGGCTTAAGTATCTACTATAAAGATACATGGAGCCTTTGGGATATAGAACCCTATTATAGTACCCAAGAATACTTTATCTTAAGGTACCTACTTTTGGGGATCCTCCCGGGCTGGGTTCATGATCCGATGACCTGAATCGGATGGGAGTTTCCGAAAATAGGGGAGCCTAATATATAGTACCCCAAAGAGTGGGATCCTTATTAAAAGGACCCCAAAACAAGGAGCCCCTAGTTTTCGGAAACTCCCACATGGCTGCTTCGGGGTCCTGAACCAAAGCAAAAGACTTACGCAGCCGCAAACCCTAAACCCCTCAGACTTCGGGTCCCTGCACACTAAATCCCGAAGCACTCTTCAATGGAGCCCCCGCATCCCTGGAGCCCTGCAAGTCCGACAAGCCCCATATCACGCGACAAGAAGCCCAAGCCAAACAAAAAAAAAAAAAACTGAAAACCCCTACCAGTACATCCCTAAAAACCCTTAACCCTTAAAACCCCCTACCAGTACATCCCTAAAACCCCAAATCGGAAAGCTCCTCCTTTTTCACACACTAGGCAGGCTCGCACTGCCAGTCTCACATGCGATCTCTCCCCACACCTGACTGTCTAGAAGCTTCCGGTCTACAGGATTAAGTTGGTTTAGGGTTTAGGGTTTCGGGTTTAGGGCCTTTAAGGTTTTTTAGGGGTTTAGGGTTTAGGGTTTCAGGTTTAGGGCTTCACAGGGTTTAGGGTTTCGCAAGGTTGTAAAGGGTCTCTGGGGTTTTCGGGTTTTGGGGCTTTGGATTCTGGCAGGTGATTTAGGGTTTAACGGCTTCAGGGGGTTTTTGCGAGGGTTCAGGACTTCTGTTCTATGCCAGGGCTTGGAGTCATAATAGCCATACCACCCCCCCCCCCAAAAAAAAAAAAAAAACATAAAACACCAAAAAACTCACCTATCATTTTGAACCCACTGAACCCTAAACCCCCAAATCAACCCTAAACCCCCAAATGCTGGATTCAATTCCAACTGAAACCTAACCATGCAAAATACTACAACCCTACAGCTCTATGGTCGTAGACCGTCAGGCACTGGGGATCATTCCGTCGATTTGAAGAGGTTCTGGCCGGTTCTGGATAGCAAACTGAACTACCCTTGTGTTTTGCGGGCTGGGCTGCCGGAACTAGAAACTAGCCGCCGCTAAACCCTAAACCCTGACCCTGCGCCCTGTCTCTTCTGCGGCTTAGAGAGCCGAAACTTGGACCTTCAATGGCATAGCACCCGCGCATGCTTCATCCAATCCAGAATCACTCGCGACAACACACAACCGGTGTCGACACCACAAAGGCTGTACCAGCCACAAGCTAGATAAGATGACATTATGAAAACTAGTGGGCGGCCGTCGACCGAACTAATCCGCGTCTGCTGCAAGGCCTGGGGATACGTCACTCACGGCACTAAGCGCCAAATGCAGGGTGCACGTGCCCACTGTTGCAACTGCGAACCCCCCCGCCCCGCTGAGTGTCTTCTGGAAAAGTGGTCCATCTATTACTCAGACTGAGCTTCCTGGTGTTCATCTTCAGGAGTAAGGACCATGCATGTGGACAAGACACGGTATGCTTTGGAGCTAACCTGACGGCTCCTGCATGTGCCGGTCTGGCCGCTGGTCGCTAGGCTTTCACACGCTGCATGTTTCGTCACCCGTAGACAACGGACCTGGACCCTCAACGTGACTTTCAGTGCCAACGCTTCGTGAAGATAGCATAAATTGAGAGGGGCTTCTTCTTGTGAAGGGCTCGAGGGCTCTATTGGTTGAGCTGCGTCGGCTTTCTGGGACAGTCAGTGCGTACCGGTCTGTCGGACCCGACCCTCAAAACCCAACCTTATCCGTGTGGAGAATCCTGCAATACATCCTGGAGGCTGCCAACTCTATCGGAAGCTTACAAAACTGAAGATGACAAGGCCAAACTCGACCCCGTGGCCGCAAAAAAGCCTGCCGTACGTTCCCTGACATTGTAACCCTGAAAGATTTTTTAGGTAGGGCCATTAACTGCTGCATCCTCATCATAACGACTACAGTAAACCCTCACTGATCTTCTTTAGGGCCCCTTACATGCTCAACGAAGCCACTAATGCATACCCTACTTGAATTCCCTTGAATGACACGCCGAAGCCCCAGAGAGGCAAGGTAGTTCTCAAATAGATGAAGGCCCCGGACAAGTATCATTTGAGTAGGACTACTTAAGATAACAACCTCTGGGTTACCCGAAAAAACCAAGCAGGGCCAGACCGAAGTAAGATAACAACATCTAGCCTACCTATATGAGCCTCCAGGATAACCTAGCCAATTTCTCCTGTCTTCGGAATCACAGCTGCAAGGCCTTTGAACGAAGGAATCAAATTACTTGCAGCCCCAACTGCCAAAAAACTAGTAGGTTCTAACCAAGTACATCAGGCCCTCCACACCCCAAATCTGCAAGACCTCCTGGCCCTGGTATACTCCACGAAAACCCTATGAAAAACCCTAAAAACCTACAGTCCGCACCCTCAAGAATTGAATATCCCATGAAATCTTGCCTCTAGACCAGGGATAGCAGAGGGAAACTTTGCATGAACATTCGGGGCTCAGATTGAATTCCTAAAGCTCATGCGCCTCCTTGAGAAATTCAGACACCTTCTCGAGCTCGCTACCACAGAGCTGTTGTCGACCACGCGCACATGCGTGCCCCAGAGTCTCATCAACGATGAAGCCTCGACTTGAAGGCTTTTGGGGTTTAGGGTTAGGGTTCAGGGTGTGAGGCTTCCTTGGGTTTGGAGCTGAAGGCTCTTGGGGCTCAGGGACTAGATCTTTAGCTCCAGAAGCGGTTTTGAACGTAGACTTGCAGGCATGGCAGAAAGTTGATGCATTCCTACGATCCTTCACGCTCGCGCCAGCGAAGCAAGCGCTTGCGGCCACAACCCCTGCAAGGCTCTACTCAAGCTGCCCACGAAGAATGCAGGCCTCCAGCGGAAAATACTGTAGGCCCCTTAATCGTTAGAGTAGGGTATGGAGATGGTACTACTAATCCGAACACGACACGCTGCGAAATAGTTTTGTCGGAGTAGGGGCCTGATTGACTCGACTAGGGTTTCGAAGGGGAGGGGTGGGAGAATAGACGCATAGAACAACAGTCGTGGTCCCGGATGAGAAGGATGAATTTGTGAAGTGTTCGGCTTGGGGGCGCATGGGACTCCAGGCGCTTCGATTCATTCATGGCCGATGTACTCATTGGGGGGCGCTCTTTTTCACACAGAAACATCACATCACCTTGTTCATGTTTCGTGAACCTTACCAGCTAAGATTGAAATCGTCATCTTAAGACCAACTCCGTATCATGTGGCCCTGGTTATCGGTTATCGATACCCTGAAACACTGCTTTGACTCCAACTGCTGCCAAAACTGAGCCGTAAACATCCTCAAGCCTTGAAGACTTGAACCCGTAAACACTAACCCCTCAACTGTAATCCGGAACCTTCAAACCAAAAACTCTAAAATCCCACCCAAAACTCCCTTCTCCCCTAACCCTTAACCATCATCGTAGTATAGATCCCTTACAGGAGTTGTAACCCCACACCCCCAGAGCCCTAGAAACAAGGAAGGTCACGAGCGGATGACCTCACTTCCACATGGGCGGTTGTCAAAATTAGGGTCCCTTTTTGGGTCCTTATTATAGTACGGCACCTAATATTTAGGGTACTGAAAAGGGGACCCTAATTTTGACAACTACCTACATAGCAGCTCTATTGGTTGAACGGTTGATGATATAAATCCTGCATTACCTTAAGGACCCTAAACTATGGGAATTATGGTATACTCCTTGTATGGCTAATGCAGGATTTATATCATCAACCGAAGGAGCCCATCTCTCAGAGGAATCCTCATCCTTCGAACCCAAAACCTCCCGAACCCTACGGCATAACCCCGAACCCTAAACCCTGAACCTAAACCCCCGAACCCCAAAGCCTGTTCAGACACGGAAGGCGTGCTTCCACCCAAACATTAATAAACCCGAAAAAGACCCTAGTAAAGCCTAATAAACCCCTAGTAAACTCTAAAAAAAACCATAAAAATCCTGTAAAAACAAATTCCAGCCAAAGGAACGCAGGTCGGCACCCTTCACACGCAGAGGCTCGTAGCTTTGGCCTGCCTCCTGCAGCTTATATCAGGTTTCCCAAAAAGTTTATAGAGTTCAGGGCTTTTCGGGTTTAGAGTTAGGGTTCTTTGGTCAGATATTAGTGAGGGTTCCTCTAAAGGATCTAGTGGCCTCTTGGAGGTATCTACAAAAGAACTTGGGGGGAGGTCCTTTAAAGGCTCTCTACAAGGGCTCGGTAGGGGTTTATTGATTTTTTTCTGGGCTTTAAGGCTTCCTTGGAGGGATCAGAAAGGGTTCTATTCGAATCTGGAGCTGTGGGTTTCGGGTTTAGGGCTAGAAATCCTGTAGCCCCGGAATGTGGAACCTGTCTACGGCCCAAAACATGGAGCACACAGGCCTTATGTATGAGGATATTGTTATATTAGTCCCAAAGCCTGAAACCAAAATCGAACCCTTGCCAACACAATGAAACCCTAAACCCCGAAAATGAATTACGCCCAACTCATGAACCCAAACCCTAAACCCCAAACCCTTGAAACCCAACGGAAAGCTTTGCGAAAAGTCAGCCCTAAATCCTAAACCCTAAACGCTAAGCCCTAAACCCTAAACCTAAGCCCTAATCCGGGTCCTCCGGTGGGCAGAGACGATCCCAGCGTCCGTGGTAGGCCAGCACACGGAGACCCGACAAGTTCTCGGTCTGGTCCAGCTGCCCTTGGGTCCTTGGGTTTTGGAGGCTTCTTTGGGGGGGTCTTTGCGTTTTGGGGGTTTCTTTGGGAGGGTCCTTGGGTTTGGGGTTTAGGGGTGTTTGAGTCCTTGGGTTTTGGGGGCTTCTTTGGGGGTCCTTGGGTTTGGGGTTTAGGCGTGTTTGAGTCGTTGGGTTTTGGGGGCTTTGGGGGTCGTTGGGTTTAGGGTTTAGGGGTTGTTGTGTGCCGGGTTCAGGGCTTTGTTGGTTTTAGGTTTAAGCGATTTTCTTAAATTTGGTCAGTATGTATGTTGGGTTGAGTGCTTCTTTTGCACCGTATTTGTGACCAGTATGGAGCGTAGAGTTCTATAGAGTTTCTTGAAGTTAGTGGTGTACCGTTTGCTATCTGTCATCTGAACTATCCCAACCTATTGCTCGAAATGCTCACAGAGGGAATCCTCCCTACGGCCCTGGTTGAATGTTGGTTTCGGGTAGTGTAGCCCTCGTGGATGTATAACCCCTCCCCCCTGATAAGACTCGGATAGGGACCTCGGTATTGCAGCCCTGAAAGAAGAGGTGCTCTTAACCGGGGGCTCGGCTTCATGGCTTGGGGTTCATGTGCAAGGTCTTCCATGCATTAGCCGATGTATGCCGACGTTGTAAATAGGCAGTTTGTCAAAACCAAAGTACCTACACAAGGAAACTAATGGGGAGCAAAGGCCTTAACCCAAGTTTCGCACCGCTTCTGACCCTAATCCGCATAACCTCACAAGAAAGAAACACTTCTTTGTCAAAGGCTCGCCAGAACCCAGATCCTGAACTCATAAGACTCATAAGAAATCAACTACATAAACTTTGGGGACCCGCCTCTCGCAGACCAAAACAGTAGGATATTTGGTTCAATACTAATAACCCTGGTTTCTAAGTCCCATTATCCTCCAAGTAGTACTGAGAGGATCATGGGACTTAGTAAGTAAGCTTATAAGTACCCTAATTGGGGTTATAAGTAATTATAACTATACTTACCTTACTTATAACCCTAGTTACTAAGTCCCATGATCCTCCAAGTAGGAGGAGACGTGCCTCTGTGCGACAAGGCTCCAGCTCAGGGCAGCGCCTCTCATGCAAATCACACCCCCCAGTCTGCGCCCGTGACGTCGGGCGAGCTCCACAGCCAAAGCCACACCTTGCCTGAAGCACTCGCTCATAACAGTGCTCAGTAGAAGTAGGCAGATCAACGGAGGAAAGAGTATGAGGGAACTTCAGGCCGGCGTAGGAAAACACGCGGGGGTTTCGGGAAATCGGCGATCGTTTGAACCACCAGAGGTACCCTATGTTGACGATTCTGCTCGTAATCCAAGGTGTCAAGCAGGAAGAACCTGTACAACACAAGTTAGCGCCCTAACTAAGTAGATCAATGTTATCTTGTGTCTTGGCTGTATACCATGGTGGAATCCTTCTAAATATCCAGGCCCCTACATGCCGCCTTTAAGCCCTAAACCCGAACACTGAATTTCGCCTGGTTGCGAGAAGCCACCAACCAAAAGTCGTCTGGCATCTCTCCCAGGCAGCTTTTCCACCTCTTTCCTCAGAATGGCCTAGAGAGCAACATGGGTGGGGGCAGGAGGGCTCAGGGTTTCGGATTTAGGGTTTGCGATTTAGTGAGTGCGAGTCCAAGGGATATGAGGTTTCTTCCATAGAACTCAGCTGTCCCGTAAGCTCGGGTTGCTACGATCGTTGAGGGTGTGCCTGGATGGGGGAGTATATAACCGAGCAAGGTCAGCGGATACTTACGGAACAAGCAAGCGGATGTTTATACTTAGTACCGGCAAGGCCAGGGTACTAAATCAAGTATGAATGAAACAAAGGCAAGACACCGACTACATATCGAGGGACAGAACCTTCATAGCTGCCTCGCGCATGATCTCCGGAAGGTTTCGCAACTTCCTCTGTAGCTAGTACCTGAAACCAAGCCCTGCCTCGCATCCCAACACCCGAGATCCAATCCTAAACCCTAAACCCTAAACCCTAACCCTCAACCAACACCTAAACCCCGACAACTCTGGGCCTCCATCCGATCCATCTGCTCTTGCAGCTCTTGTGGGTCCTCCGCCTCGGTTGAGTTTCCGGTAGGCTCAAGTCTTGTCACTCTTTGTTTGGGAGAGGGTGTCCTACTACAGGCTTCCGGGTTTCGATTTCGGGCTGTAGGAGTTTGACGTAAGAAAGAAGCATCCTGCTAAAAAGCTGGCCAGTGGCATGCTGCCCATCCTGCGAATACGTAAACCAGGAGTTTTGCTCCTTCGTCCAGCCGTCAAATGTTTCCCGCCTGACCGGGGCGCAGGGGACCACAAACCGAATCTCGTTCCGGAATGGCACGTCCAAGCGGTGGATGATTGGAATCCAGTCGTCTGGCCCACCGCTGCAGGAATGTAGCAAAAGCCTGGGTTTTGCATTGGTTCGATGTCGACACTGACATGGTATAGGAGTGTGGGGGACTGGGGTGTAGGATTGGTAGGGCCCAAAACCTCAGAACCCAAAAACAAAACCCCATGCGCGTCCAGCATGTAAGGCTTCTCTACTGCACTCCATGGACTTGGCAGAAAGGCTCTACAACGTCGGTAGATTTCAGTGTAGAGGATGTTAAATTGGTATTCATTCAGGCCCTATCCCTAAAGCCCCGAATAACTCAAAAATAGGTACTTGTTATGGAACGTACCCCAAAGTAGGTGCTATTTGCATATCGGGAGTCTTAGAGTTTAGTACTATAGTACATAGGTGTAGCTTCAGATCCAGCATCCCAGGAAGTGGTAATTATGCAGACCCCTACACCAAGACTATAGCCAGACAAGGGTTGTGTCTGTCTCAACGGTTCTGTGGGGAGGTCTCCATGCGCGTCGCTTCACGGTCTAGAGTACATAACCTAGACCGTCCAGCTCTAAAACCCTGAACCCTAAACCCTAAACCCTGAACCCTAACACCTGCGGAATCTGTCCGGGAGCATAGTGAAGCCATGGTCGGAGGTCGGCTCCAGAGCCAGATCGTGGGCTTCGATGTATCGAGGATCCGGAATCGACTCCTGCTATGGTAGGGTTTGGGAGTTTAGGGGTCTAGGGTTTACGGTTTAGAGTTTAAGGCTTTAGGGCATATGGTTTAGAGTTTAGGGGTTGAGGGTTTAGGGTTTAAGGGTTTAGGGTATAGGGTTGACGGCTCAGGGTTTAAGGACTTAGGCAGGGCTTTGGGTGTAGGGTTTGGGGCTTGTCTTGATGCTTAAAGCAGCGGTCTGCTTTGAGAATAGGGTTTGGCGTGTATGCCTAAGGGAACTGTTAAGACATGTAAAGACTGTGGACGCTATAGGGTTTGGGGATTTGTGAATTTGAACTAGGCAGGAAACACAGGTGGACATTATTCCGATCCTGTAGTATCGTTAGTTAGGGACGCAGCATTAACCTAATCTTCAGCGAGGGGCTTTAAAGGAGCTTATGCAAGACCGAATGAAGCCCAATGCCAAACAGTCGTCAAGAACCCGTAGCCAAAAATCTCAATACAATTTCATCTGGGAATATTCCTTCAAACCAACAAGAAGCCAAAAATACGGATATCGAAATCCTGGATGATATACACGAATGCTGGGTTCTCTGGGTGGCTACCGTGCACGTACTTAAGGGATGCAAACAAGGGCGAAAGGCTTGGATCGATGCTTGGTCCTTGCAAAATCATACAAGGTTGACAGTCAGGACGGGAACGATAAAGATACACAAACAGAGGTTGCAGTAGTTGCAGTAGTAGCGGTAGCAATAGCAGTAGCATTTGCAGTAGGAGTAGGAGTAGGAGTAAGAGTCGGAGTGGGCCTGGGTGGTCATGGTGGTGGTAGTAGTAGCAGTAGCAGTAGCAGCAGCAGTAGCAGTAGCAGTAGCAGTAGCAGAGCAGTAGCAGTAGCAGTAGCAGTAGTAGGAGTGGGTGAGTAGGAGTAGGTGAGTAGGAGGAGGAGGAGTAGTAGTAGGAGGAGGAGGAGGAGTGGCAATGATAATCATCACCATGGTAACACTACTAGTACCAATAGCAATAGCAACAACAATGCTAAACACGGAAACACCAACAAGACTAGCATGAACAATGACAATCATGCACCACGGCAAACTACGGCTTCCTCGGCGCGTTAGTTGCAATCGGATTTCGACGCCTTAAGAAGATGAACACCTAGAGACCTAAAAACACCCAGTGAAGGCCGACTCAGAAACAAAATCACCATTTGAAATTGCAAGTCGAAGTAATCACAAATGAGACGCCGACATCCGTAGGTTTAGAGTTTCGGGTTTCAGGGGTTAGGGCCTGGGTCATATGAACTTCAGGCGGCTGATTTCTGGCCGAGGCGCTTCCTGATCTGCTTCCGGCCACTCCTCCCAGTTCTGCGACGTGCCCGTGCCCCAGGCCTGGTCAGAGCTTGAAACCAATTCAAGACCCGACCAATATAGGAGCGTTAACAATTACAATAGGGTTCTGGGGTACATTATACTACAACCAAGGAAGGAACCCCCACAATGGAATTGGTATTTGTTTAGGCCCCTTTATGAAGTCGGTCGTGGCTCCGAAAACTCAACCCCAAACGAACGCTGAACTAAAGCCTAAAGCCCCAGAATCGCCTACAATCTGCATGCCACGGCTTGGAGTCCATGTGCGCAAGCTGAAAGATAGGAGCAACGACCCCAAACCCACAGGAGACTCGAGACACTCGGTGAACTCCGTGGGTGTAAGCATTGATCTGCAAAGCCTAAAGCTACAAGGTGCTGAGATGCTATCTGTCCGAATGCTTGCAATGGGTTTGGGCTGGTGGCTTTCAGGACTGATGGCTGGAAATGGTGCTATGTTATCGAAGATTCAAAAGTGATAATACAGGGGTAATACAGCGTGCTTAATATTTAGAATTGGGTGTTGGGGCCCTTTATAGTATACTTATAATAAGGACCCCCCCAAAATAGTATTAATAATCATTTAGGCCCGTATGTTGGGCTTCAGTAAGGCTTCTGACACTAACAGGGGCCTAATGCCAGCAAGATTGGCACCTGTTGCTTTCGTTTCGGATGTGTTGGTTGAATTGCTTGCAGAGAGCAAGTAGTCCAAAACTGCATAACTCGTTTTAGACCTTATACTATAGGGATTGGTGCCTTCTTACATTTGTGACCTCGAAACTGCCTTGACCCATGTCCTCCTTCTGCGGTTTCGGATTTAGGCTCTAGTGGGATTTGGAGGAAACCATCGCTTCGGGTTTAGGCTTTCAGGCCGTTGCAACTGCATGAAGTTCTTTCTTCACAGTTGAGCAGTCATAGAGCTGCAATTCTGAGCCTATTGAGCTGTTGTTGTCTGATGCAGCTGTCGGATTTGCACATCACAGCTTAGTATGTGCAGACATCCAAGCTATCGTGCCAACGCCGAATCCTGCTGTAGCCCCCAACGGCACAGACGGTGCTGTAGCTGCAGCAGCGGCATACGTCAGGCCGCGGTGGCTTACAGTATGCCCCGCTCACGACACAGCGGCAAGCGGATGCATGCCACACGACAAGTCCTGTCGGGCTCCGCTGCAAGCGCACTTGCGCACCACAGACGTGGACACTCTAATCCCAGAATCCTGCAACAACCAAGGCCGGAAATTTGAACGATTCTAGCCTGAAGCTCAAGCACCTGCCGGGCTTACCAGGACCTTATAGGGGTTCTTGAATAAGGGTTCTGTCAAGGGTTTTATCAAGGTTCTGCAAGCTTCTCAGGAGCATAGTACCGAAGCCTGAAACATCTCAACAAGTGCGGCCCCTGTTCTACAACCCCTCCAAGCCCTAAGACCATCAGACTCCCTTAAACTCCCTTATAATAGAGACAACTTACCATAATCCTAAATACTACTCAAGAGTATTTGGAGGAACCCCCTTAAGGAATCTAACCTACGCCGTAGATCCTTAATTCCTAAACCCCTCAGACGTATAAACCCCTCTAAACCCTAGAGTTCCAAATCTTAGGGTTCTGCACCTCCTCCGATCGATCCGGCCAGACCTCCCAATCCCGCGTCGCGGCATCGCCCCATGCCTTGCCAAGGAGCTCGGGCTTAGTTTAGGGAGCTCGGGCTTAGGTGTGTACCTAGACTCCCCAACTACCCTTTATGGTAGCCCCTGATTACCTCTTACTGGGAAATATTAGAGCTCTTTAAAGGGCACTTGGGGGGTTCTGGTAGGGTTTAGGGGGTTATAGAGTTTGGGCGAGTAGAAGATCTACAAGTCCATTTCGCGTGTATAAGGTGTAGGGCTCTGGGGTTTTAGGTCCCAATGGAAGGTTTCATAAGTTGCTCATGCGAGCTTTACGACATTCTTTAATCCAGTCTGTGTGAGTGTATGTTTGTGTTTGCAATAGGGTTTTTGGAGTGCTTTTGTAAGGCTGTTGCAAGATTTGTTGCCAGAGACTCCACAATTCCATACATTCGCAAGGAATCCATGTAGGAATGTCGGAGTCTCTGGGAGCACCTAAACTCGTTTAAACACTGAATCTTACGTATGCTAACGTTTGACACCTAAAACACTCAACCCTGAACCCTATTTCCCGAACCTGAAGCCTGAATCCCAAAACCTTCAAATATATATATATATATATATATATGCTCACCCCCCCCCCATGACAGACCGTCGTGGGGAAGGGGAAGGGTGGCGTGCGTCCCCAGGCAGGATCTGTCAACGGATAGGCGACAGACACTTCTCCCAAACTCAATTCCAAAATGTTCTTTTAGATGGTTTGCAATTTTTGGAAATTTCTTCACACGCATGCAGCGCTCCTAGTCCCAATCTTAATCTCAATTCTGCTCTTCGTACCACTATTACTGTTTGTAGATCTTAATTCTTGTATCAGTGTTAGCATTAGTATTAGTTTTGTGGTAGTATTGATATTAGGATGTTTAGTATGAGTAATAGTATTCGAATTAGTATTACTCTTAGTATTAGCATTAAGTATGTGTATTGATGTTAATAGTAGTAGTCGTCGTACTAGCAATAGTTGTCGCACAGCAGTAGTAGTGGTAGCATTAGTATTGGTATTGGTATTAGTATTAGTATTAGAATGAGTATTAGTATTAGTATTAGTGACTAGTATGAGTATCAGTATTAGTTTTAGTATTAAGTATGTGTACTAGTAGTAGTAGTAGTAGTAGTAGTAGTCGTAGTAGTAGCAGTAGTAGTAGCAGCAGTAGTGGTGACATTAGTATTGGTATGAGTATGAGTATTAGAATTAGTAGCTAGTATTAGTACTAGTATTAGTGTTAGGATCAATATGTATTGTTCTTGGTTCTATTCTTAGTACTGCTGTCATTGTTTGTAGTAGTCCTAATCCTGGTATCAGTGTTCATATGAGTAATAGTTTTGTGGTAGTATTGATATTAGGATGGGTATTGCTTTAGTACTAGTATTGGTATTGGTATTTAGTATTAGTATTAGCATCAGTATTAGTATTAGTATTGAATAAAAGTATACATATCAATAATAGTAAATATGAACTCGTGATTATGTTCGTGCTGGTGTTAGTGCCAGTGTCGATGTCAATGTCAGTAATAGTACTCGTGTTAGTATTAGTATCAGTCTGAATGCTGGTTTTAGTATCTGTTTATTATTCACAGAAGTGCTGGTATTAGTATCAGTAATAGAAATAGTTTTGATATGTGAATATACTGATTGATTCGTACATTTTGAGCTTAATATAATAATACAGTAGTGTATTCGAACAATAGTATATTTGCAGAGTTGAAGATTGCGCGAATATATTAGTACGTTGGTGCATGAGTACATTAGTATATTGGTGTATCATGATATTCGTATGTTAACGTAGTAGTATATTAGTATATTATTATAGTGGTCTATTACTACATTTACTATATTCGTATTTTCCCTAATAGCTTATAGGTATATCAATATGTTGGCATAATGGCATGTGAACATGTCAGTGTACTTGCCTTTTACAGTATTCGTATATTAGTACACTAGCATATTTAGTGATAATTAGTGTTAATGCCAGTGCCAATGTCGATGTCAGTTTTAATCAGTCTTAATGATGAATTTAACATCAGTGTAATATTCGCGGACGTGCTAGTATGCGTATCAATACTATAATTAGTTTTGATATATTAGTATACTGATAGATTATATAAACAGCTTAGTATACCAACACATTATAATGTATTCGAACAGTAATATGTTTGTATACCTGCATGTTTGTATGCTCTTAGTATATTAATGCATGCGTACGTTCGTGCATGAGTACATTAGTATATTGGTGTGCTATTAGCTTCGATTATTAACATATTAGTGTATGAGTATCCTGGTATGCTACTTCATTTATCATATTCGTATATTATCTAGCAACTTGTTTGGTATATCCATATGTTAGTATACCATTGCCATGTGTCAGTGTACTTGCACATTACAGTATTCGTGTCTTAGCAAGTTAGCATATCAATACAGTATAATCAGACGTTAACAAGTAGTATATTGTCACGTTGGAAACTGGGTATATGACAAATTAAATACGAATATACTACGTTAGTACACGAATGCATTGATATATTTGCTTTTCAGATAGTGGTATGTATATCTGCGGACATTAATATACGCAGGTGTCTGTTAGTATTGGCATTAATATCAATATGAATATGACTATTGGTAGGCGTAGGAGTATTAATGTTAATAATAGAAATAGTAATGTGCATATTCGAAATGAAAGCATTAATATACATGTCAACGTTAGTGTTAAAAGCACTACACAGTAATCTTACTTGAGTCATATATAGAGCAGATTCCAGCATTTCCAAAATTTCCAAAATTCTCTCCCCTAACTTTCCGGATTTCCAAAATTTCCAAAATTTCTAAAATTTCCAAAATTTCCAAAAAGTCCGCCCTTATGTTTTGGAAAAATCCTGTCGACTAGGTCGGGAAATTTTGGAAATTTTGGAAATTTTAGAAATTTTAGAAGTTTTGGAAATTTTGGAAATTTCGAAATTTTTGAAATTTTGGAAATTTTGGAAATCTGGAAAGTTAGGGGAGAGAATTTTGGAAATTTTGGAAATGCTGGAATCTGCTCTATATATGACTCAAGTAAGATTACTGTGTAGTGCTTACTATGTAGTGTCAGCACAACCCTCATCCATACACGTGTGCTCTGTAATTCCTTTCTTGGTAGGACACCCGCGCGCCTTATCGTGCTGCTTTCTGGTCTCAGTCTTTTGGTGGTTCCAGGGATACGTTCGGAGGGCTCAAACTCGATACTCCGGAAAAAGCACGAACACACCGGCGGGAGCGATGTTTTAAAGGGGATGGTCTGTCATGGGGGGGGGGGGGGTGACCATATATATATATATATGTATATATATATATATATATATATATCAGCCCTGCACGTACATAAATGGAACCTGATACCCTCCCCCTCTCCGCCCCTTAACATGCGACTCCAAGCACACACCCTCAAGCCAAAAGCCACATCAACCCTTACCCAAATTCTGCCCTTTTTGAACCCTTGCACTATACTTAGTAAACATCATAATGCCGTTAGAGAACCCCCATTCTGAGAAAATGACCCTAAACTCTAAGCCCCCACATCCTAAACCGTATTATCAGCACCAAGATCCTAAATCCGATTATAAGCACCAAGATCCTAAAACCCAACTACAATCACCAACATCCTAAACCCTATTATCAACACCGGAACCCTAAACCCCATTAGGAACACCAAAACCCTACACCCTCTTTCATAAGCACAAACTCCTGAACCTTAAACCCCACAGTCCTAAGCTGAAAGCAACATCCCCAAACTCGCTAAACCCTAACCCCTAAACCCAAAACCCTAAACCCTAACCCGTAAACCCTAAACCCTAAAACCCTAAACCCCTAAACCTCTTTATCATTATGAATTTAAACCGTAATGGCTTCGTGGCCCCTAGGGTTTTTTGCAAAAAACCCTTGTTCGTGGCCGAAAATCCCGAAAAACCCTTGTTCGTGGCCCGGGATTTCCGGCCACGAACAAGGGTTTTTCGGAACCATTCCAAAAAACACCTGTTCGTGGCCGGAAATCCCGAAAAACTCTTGTTCGTGGCCCGGGATTTCCGGCCACGAACAAGGGTTTTTCGGAACCATTCCAAAAAAAAACCTTTTTCGTGGCCGGAAATGACGAAAAACCCTTGTTCGTGGCCCGGGATTTCCGGCCACGAACAAGGGTTTTTCGGAACCATTCCAAAAAACCCTTGTTCGTGGCCGGAAATCCCGAAAAACACTTGTTCGTGGCCCGGGAGTTCCGGGCACGAACAAGGGTTTTTCAGATCCACTCCAAAAAAACCCGGCTTGGGCTTTAGGGTTAGGGCCTAGGGCTTTAGGGTTTAGGTGCTTTAGGGTTTAGGGCCTAGGGTGTGGGCTTTAGGGTTTAGGGCGTAGGGTGTGGGCTTTAGGGTTTAGGGCCTAGGGCTTGGGCTTTAAAGTTTAGGGCGTAGGGCTTGGGCTTTAGGGTTTAGGGCCTAGGGTTTGGGCTTTAGGGTTTAGGGCGTAGGGCTTGGGCTTTGGGGTTTAGGGCCTATAGTTTGGGCTTTAAGGTTTGGTAGGGCCTTAGGGGCAGGGTTTAGGGCTTAGGGTTTGGGCTTTAGGGTTTAGACCTAGGGTTTTGGGCTCTAAGGTTTAGGGTTTAGGGCCTGGGGTTTGAGCTAAAAGGCTTATAGGGCCTAGAGTCAAGGCTTCTAGGCTGGCGTTTGGGCTAACTTGAGGATTTGTGGAGTGGCTTTTCGATTTGGGGCAACATAGTTCTAGAAGTATGTGAGTCCAAGTTGGCTTAAAAATTGAATAGTTTTATTTTCTCAATGTTATGGGATTCAGGGGTGGGTGGGTGTTATTTCAAAACAATAAATATAACTGTACCGTAGAACTTCACGGACCGGAGCTGCTGAACAATAACCCCTAAACCCTAAACCCCTAAACCCTAAACACTTAAACCCTATAAGCCCTAAACCATAAACCCCTATAAACCCCTAAACTGCTGACCCCTAAACCCCTAAACCCCAAGCTCTAAACCCTAAACCGCTAAGCCCTAAACCGCTAAACCCTAAACCCCAAACCCTAAACCCCTAAACCCTAAACCCCTAAACCCCAAGCTCTAAACCCTAAACCCCTAAGCCCTAAACCGCTAAACCCTAAACCCCTAAACCCTAAACCCCTAAACCCTAAACCCTAAACCTCTAAACCCTAAACCCTAAACCTCTAAACCCTAAACCCTAAACCCCTCATTCCTAAATGTTCTGAAGCTCCAGATCCGCCTGGCTCTGCTGGCCGCTCCGAGCTCTCTCCCAGCTCTCCCAGGGCTGATCCTGCAGGGCTTTAGCGCTTTAGGGCTTTTTAGGGTTTAGGATTAGGGTTTCTGAAGGGGTAAGGGTTTCTTTAGGGTTTAGGGTTTTAGGGTTGAGGGTTTAGGTTTAGG